TGTTAGCGCTCACGAGGAGCGACAAACACAGTTAACGAATGTGTTTATATTCTCTCTGTTTATTCTGTTAGAAAACAAACGTTTATATACGCACGCGAAAACAAGGACAAGAAAAATAGAGAAAAACGAAGAGAAAAACGAAAAGACAAAAGAAAAGAAATAGATCGAATCGAGGTATATATGTTATAGTAGAATACACCCTAACACGTGTCTATCCGCATAGAAGGTAAACATCAATTATTATAGCAACAATAAGAAAGAATCAAAGAGATGAATACTCTTTTTCGTTCTGATTCTTTTCGGCGCACAGAGAGACGAAACCATACAGGTAAAAACAAGAAGAGTTTTTCGCAAGTGTTTCATAACTACAAACATCGAACAACAAGTTGAAATTGTTTGAATTGCACAAGCACATATAGACATGGCATGTTCAAAGACACAATCAAACACAAACAATAACAATTTGGAAACCTATAGCATCTTTTGGTTAGATGCTGAAGTAAATAACGAGGAAAATTTGGCGGCTCAAAAAACATTACGCACTATTATTAATCAACTACGGGTCTTTGACAATCCTGACGAATTTATGGATCACGTTTGCTGTATTCAAAAAGGTGATCTTACAATTTTGATTGTAAGTGGTCAACTAGGTCGTATTGTAGTTCCCAAAATGCAAGAACTAATACAAGTATTATCAATTTATATTTATTGCTTCAACAAAGAGGCAAACATAGAATGGAGTCAACCATACAATAAAGTGCGTATATATCCTTCTTCAAAATCATTCCCTGGATGTTGGAATTCTTATAGGTTAAAGCTGTATGCAATAAACTCAATGAATTGATCGATGTAATCCGATCAGATCAAAAACAACGAAGTCGAAATGAAGAAGTGCTATCCATAGATATTTTGGATCGAAGTTCAACAGAACTCGATGGTGAATTTCTGCATTCGCAATTGCTGATCGATGTTCTCATTAGAATGAAGTTGAATGAACAAGATCAGAGTGAATTGATTGAATTATTGAAAAATGAATACAAGGGTAATGAAAGTGAATTAAAATTAGTGAAAGAATTTCAGGAAAATTATAATTCGGAGAGTAGCATATCGTGGTATACACGTGAATCATTTGTTTATCGTTCGTTGAATAAGGCGTTGCGTGTACGCAATATCGACATGATGTTCCTATTTCGAACTGTGATCCGTGATGTTTATGAGCAGTTATTGACTAATCAATGTGGCAAGCGCATTACTGCTTATCGTGGACAAATCATATCGAAACAGGAATTGAAAAAATTACAAAAATCAGTTGGAACATTAGTTTCGTTCAATTCCTTTCTATCGACATCATTGAATCGTAAAGTAGCCGAAAATTTTGTACAACAAAGCGTATATTTATGCAGTTCTAGCGATCACGTATCTGTAATTTTCGAAATTGTGGCTGATCCTTTGGTACTTCGTGATTCGAACGAAAATAATCGACGACCGTTTGCACAAGTTGATAAATTGAGCTATTTCGGAGAAGAGGAAGAGATTTTGTTTATGCTCGGTTCAATTTTTCGTTTAAATGAGATCTGTCATGATGCATCGTCAGCTAATGGGACAATATCGATCATTCGAATGACATTATGCGGTGAAGATGACAATGATCTCAAACAACTCTATGATCATATGAAAAATGAAGATAACCAAGAAGAAACCGATCTTCTCTCTCTTGCTGATGTGGTATACAAGATGGCAAAATTCGATCTAGCCGAAAAGTACTATCGCCGATGGTTGAACGAACTTCCGCCGAATGATCGCACGCGTGGTGCCTTGTATCAACGTCTTGGAATGGTTGCTAATGCGAAAGGTGACTACAATACGAGTCTAGACTGGTACCAGAAATCACTCGAGATGAATATGAAAAATCACCCATCTGACTATGTGACCATTGGAATTACACACAACAGTATCGGTGAGGCTCATCGAAAGAAACGTGATCATTGTCGAGCCCTCGAATCGTACGATCGAGCCGTATCACTTTTCAAACAAGCCTACAATGGGAATCATTCATATATGGCCATGTTTTATAACAATATTGGACTCAACTATCAAGAAGAGAAGAAATATTCTGAAGCGCTCGAGTTCTATGAGAAGTCACTTGCTATTAAGAAGATTCATTTGCCAGCGGAGCATCCTGCTCTAGGTACAACTTACAATAATATTGGTATTGTTCATTTTTTTCTTAACCAGTACGATCTTGCATTGGATTATTACAATCAATCACTGAAAATCAGATTGAGATCTCTTCCTGCTCATCATCCTGATATTGCAATGACCTATAAAAACATGGGTCTTGTCTATGAAGACACTAATGACTTGAAACAAGCATTGACATTCTTGCGAAAGGCTCAAGCAATCTATGAAGCAACACTTTCAACTAATCATCCTGATGTATTAAACAATAATAGTGTTGTTCAACGTTTAGAAAGTAAATTAAAGGCGAAGAAATAATGTATATTAATATCGTATATTCTTTTTTGTTTTTTGAATGATCAGATTTTTATTGAATTATCTGAATAGAATTTTCGAATGTTTCAACAAGTTAGATATATCATATTGATGTGATCTTCTTTATTAAAAAAAAAGAAGGTGAAAAATCATATATATATTTTTTTTTCTAAGAACTATTGTGATCATTTTCTAAATCTAGCATATCATGGACATTTTTTTCCGAATATTCTTCAATTGTTTTATTTTCATTATTGCTTAATGTCGAATGATCTTCTTTGCTCGGTAGTTTACTATCCAGTGGAGTCGTTGTCGGCAATGGTGGCGCCGATGGTGATGGTGTTACTGGTTTAAGCTTTGAGCGTTCTTGTATAATTTCGTTGGCTTCTTCAATTTGATCATTTATATTTTCGTACTTTTTCGATGATATATGTGTTCCTCCAAACAGAGTCGATGCTTCTTCTTGAATAAATTCGGAAAGAGTTCGAAGACGTGGAGGAGTAGTAGTAGTTGCTGTTGTTGGAGGAATTTTTACAGTTGGGGACTTTGCAAAAGGACACATTCGAAATGTATGTTGCTTGCGTTTAGGTTTAATTTCTTTACCAAGAAGTTGAAATTGTTTTTTATTTTTATTGTTTTTTGTTTCAATTCCAATCTTCTTCTTAGTTGAATGTTCTTCATGAAAATGATTTTTTTGTTCATTGTAATTTGGTTTTTCTGATTGTTGCTTTCGTTTTGGTTTCGGAGATTTCTCATTACTTGGAGTCGATACTGGTGTTTGTAGAGGTGGTAACGATGGTTTTTTATATAAAGTTCTCATGGTTTCATCAACGCGCCGTTCTGTATCCTTATCATTGGCACCTAATATCGTTCTATGAGATCGAATAAATTGTTTTGCGCGATGTTCCTTTTTTGTTTTTAGTTTTTTAATTTTAATTTTTTGGGATTTATCTGTTGGTTGTACTGATTGATCATCGTGTTCTTTTTCTTCGCAAAAAGAAAATGTCATAGGTAATGGCAGAATGCAAATAGATTTTTTAGCGGCTGGTAATAGACCAAATACAACACGAGATGATGCACGACGAAAATATTCCATAAATGGTGTTTCATGAATATCACCTATATTAAGAATTTTTTCAATCGATTCTTTTACATTGTCGGGAGTTTTTATTTTCGATGGTCGTTTTCTACTATGTTTTTCATTGTCACGATGATCAGCACTTTTTAATGAATCAAGTTTACGTCGAATACGATAACTAAAAAGAAAATAACATGAGATTTTTGTTTTTTTTACAAAGAATATAAGCATTGACATTTTGCTTTTCTAGACCTTGCATAGCAATGAAATCTTAGCGTCTCTAATCAAATTCAAAAGTAGAAGCTAAACTCACCGATAGTTCCATCCAACACTTCGTTCTTCTGGTGTAAGTTTTGATAAATCAGAATCGAGTTTTGGCTGAGTTGATGTTTGATCTTGATTATTATTTTTTGACGTTTTTGATTTATTCTGTTTTAGTGCTTCGTTCATTTTCGATACACGATAACGATATTGCCAACCCACAGATTTCGTATTGTTTTTTTGTATTCCTACAATGGGTTCAATGACTTTCTTTTCTGTTGGTTTTGGTTTGAGCTTTGGTTTTGGTTCAGCAACTTTTTTGTCAAATTTAGTACTTAATGTGGCTAAATCGAGTGCTATACCACTTTCTAATGAATGATTTTAACAAAAAAAAGAAGAGATAGCACTGTTCTTTTTAAAGTATTGAATGATAAAATTGAAATTTACCTGTTTGTTGTTGTTTCAAATGATCAAGTTTACGACGAATACGATAACGATATGCCCAGCCTACACGGCGACCTTCATCATTGACTTGACGTAATTCAGGATCAAGTTCATTTTCTCCTTTAATAATTTCATCATCTTTATGTTTAATAGGACTGATGGGTTTGATTTTTTCTTTAATACGTTCTTCACGTTTTTCTTTTTCATCATCTACATAATCGCCGCGTTTTTTCGCTTCGACCATCTTATTAATGCGATATCGATAGCGCCAACCAACATTAGGTTTATTTTCCTAGACAAAAAAAAATCGAAGAAATTTTGACTGAAAACTCTATATTAAAATCAAAATTCAATTACTTGTGCATTTATTTTTTGTTCCGGTTGTTTTTTCGATTCACTTGGATCAGAAGCAAATGGTTTATCTAAAACACGTTTACGTCTACCACTTAATTCTTGTGGTGTTTTACGTTTGATAGCTTGTAGACCTAATTTTAAGCGTTCTTGATCTTCACGGATACTTTCACGTAATGAATCAATATAGCGAGAAACTCGATAACGAAATTGCCAACCAACGCGAGGTTTATATAAACCGCTATCATAGGACTGAACGATAAGTATAGGATCTGTAGATTCTTCTAACGATTTCATTCGACGAAATTTATATATTTTATCGGAGTCTTTTTCATTCTTGCTGGTAGTTTCTTCATCTTTATCTTTGCGCTTAGATTTTAGTAATTGACGTTTAGGTACAAATGTTTCGGTAATTGATACGGTATTGGCAGTATTTTGGCTAGATCTATATGTATAAAGGAAGGGTTAATATTTACATACGGGAGGTTGAATTTGTTTTCTTTTTTGATTATTCACCTGAAAGACTGAAAATGTTATTTTAACGAAAATTAAAATTGAAATCAAGGATATACGGGTTTTATTCATTCGAATTTTTCATAACCATGGGTTAGAGACAATAATGTTCGATAGAGATCCGCTTCGATTAGTAACAATACAGATGTTAATAGGCGACATGGAACACAAATACGATTAGCTCAGTTGTCAATAACATGCAGAAGCATTGATCTGTAGATATTCACAAAGGAAGATTTTTGCCTATTCTACTCTATCATCTTTTGCTTAGCATGGCTCGACTTACAATATATTTCTCATAAGAAAATAATGGATCGGATCGAAAGCAAATTCAATTCAAGCTACTCGCATAAATAAAGGATGTGCTAAAGCGACATGCCGAGTAATCTGAGAGTTAGTAAATAATATTGATCAATGATTTGAATTTTGAAAAACAAAAACGATGAGAAAATAAAAGGTTGAAAAAACATGTGTAAACGTGTTTTTACAAAAGATAAAAAATAAACAAACAAACTTACAGATGATCATCATCCCAACTTGAATCTTGATCGCTATCATATTCAAGGAGTTTTCGCTTTGAATTTGGTTGTCGTTGCTGTTGGGAATGTTTAGATTTTCCTTCTCCTTTTATTTTATTTTTATTTTGTTGCGCTTTTTGAGCATCATTATAACGTGATATTCGATAACGGTACGCCCAACCGACTTTTGGCTTATTCACATTGTTTCCTGGATCTGATTTACTCTCATTTTCATTAGCCGATTTTGATGACATCGACTGTTTCTTTGTTTTGGCAGAAAGTAGATGACGCTTGGATATACTTGCTACTACAAATGATAAATCATCATCAGTTTTTGGATTCAAATTTTTATCATTTGAATAAAGATCAAACTCATCATCGCTTTTGTCATTATTCATAATCATAGATTGTACATCATCATCATCATCATCATCATCAATTGAAAGTAATTTTCGAGACTGATATTGTTGATGTTCGTTTGCTAAGTCGATTATTGGATTTTTGTGAGTATGATTATCACTAAGAGCATCATCTGATAATTGAAATACATTTTTAACAAAATGATATGCTCGACCAACAACTGAAACATGTTGTTCTTCATCATCATCATCGTCGGCATGTGCGCTTGATGATTCAGTTGTTTCATTTATTGTATTCACTGTTTCTGGTACAGCTTCTTGAAATTTTTTATTTTTTGTTGGCTTTGGAGGAGAAGAAGTCGTTTTTATCGGTATATTATTAGCAAATGGAGTGAGAGGTACATCCTCATTCGTTTTAGTAACTAACGGGCTTTTGGATTTTTTCTTTTCGTCCGGATTAGTTTTACTATTGATTTTCGAAATTTTTTCTTTTTTATCATCTACAGGTAAAGGTTTACTTGCAGCTGCAGCGTTTTTCGTAACAGTTTTTGTTGTTTCATTAATAGAATTTTTGATTTTAGGCGACTTTATTTTGGTTTGATTTGATTTTGACGTTTTTAATTGTTTACTTTTCTTATCAACTTTAGGCGTTGAATCAATACGAAGTAATGTTTCACATCGATGAAGGTCATCATCATTAACAACTACTAATCCTTGTGTTTTAGTAGAACCAGATGATTTATATTGCGTAGAATTTTTCTCTTTTAATTGTTTTTTCTCTTTTAATTGTTTTTTCTTTTTTAATTGTTTCTTCTTTTCTATTTGTGATTGTTTTAGTTTTAATTTTTCTTCGTTTCCGTGTGATTTTGATTTAAGCAAATGTGTATATGAACGAGCTTTTTGACCAAATACCTTGGATGTTTCAGGTTGAACATAAACAGTCAGCCCGTGAGCATCAATTGTACGAGCATATTTTGGTGGCGATGCTGCTGACGATTTTGACGATGTAGAAATTGAATGAGCTTTTTTCTCTGCTGAAGGTGAGTTAAATCCACCAAACGATAATAAACGACGTGGTAATGAACATTGTGAATCAACCTAAAACACAAATAAAACGATAAGATGTTGTCTTTTTATTCGTTCTAATTTATTTACTTCTGTTGGATCAGCTGCGGATAATAGTATAAATGGAATAAAGGCGAAATAAAATAGGGAAAGCTCCATATTATGCTAAATAATATCTAATAAAGCATACAAATATCTTTCCCTTAATAAGATAAAATAAGACGTTGACTACTATGTCTTCTACTTCTGATGTTGAGATGTATGAGCGATGAACATATCATCAAGTCTGTATCATACATACGACGGGCCAACCGTGTTCGTTGAATGATTGGCAACTGAGAAGAAATTTTATGTCTTCTACAGGATTCTATGTGTCTTGAATTCTTGATATTTTTTCTTTTCTTCTTAGAGTGATATAGTTGTCCTTTAGCTCTATGGAAGTTAACTAAGAACAAGCTATACGCGAGAAAAAATTGCAAGAATACTTCTATCCATATGTAATGATAATTGAATCAGCCTTCGTGTCAATCAACTAAGGACATAGTTTTAACGAGTAAAAATCAGCCTAATACGTTTGATAAACCACGAAATGTGCCTTATTATTCCAGTTGATGGTCAATATCGAGAAGAAGATAGGTCGCAAATGTTCGTTAACTATAAAGGGTCTGAGGACGAGACATATAAAACAAGGACCAACTAATAAATGAGTGACGCCTTGATTCGATAATCAACAAAGCAAATCTCCAGCTGTATTATTTTATCTACATTTTACTCTTTTTTCTTCTTCTTCTTCTTTTTTTGTCCTATGCACAATTATTATACATTCTATCTTTATTTTGTAGGAAAGAAGAGGAAAAAAAGGCCTTGGATACGGTTAAAAGAAACACATACTGAGGTCGTATGTTTTTTTTCCGCTATATATTACTGGGTTATATTAACAACAACAACCGGCTGATGCTGTGTATGCAATCATCAGTCTTAGTGGGGAGCATATGTAGACTAACGTCGATCTCGGAATAGTATACGCATTACATAAAAAGGAAAATGGACCTAACCAAAGACGCTAACAGAAACATTCGTTTGATGATAGATGGATGTGGATACCAACATTTGTGTTATGCATATGTGTGTATGTATGTATGTTTTACTTGTGCCTTATAAACGAAGGCATACGTGCGTAACAAGTGAAATATTATTGAAGCGTAGAGCAAGTAAATCATTCGAAATTATTAGTATGTTTGGAATAGTATTGATTTTATATGAAATAACTTTTAGACGTTATTGTGCAAATAAAAAAAATAAACAAATAGGCGAATAATAATAATAATGAGATATTATTGTTACTGATTATTTTGAAGCTGATATAAATTACCTTGAAACTGTTTTCTTTTTGTACATACATACATATGTAGTTATTTATTTATTTATTTATTCATATTTTAACATATGGATTCTTGTTAGCACTACCACACATGTTACAAAAAAAAATTAGAGTAGAAAAAATACCGTGTAATGGCTAATATCAATCTAGAAAAGAGAGATGTAATGAGATGTCATTGACTAATAATACGTATAAAGAGACAGAGACGACAATGAAATAAGACACCCGACAAGAAAATTAAACGGAGCCAAAATCTTTCATCCATTTATCATATTTCTCAAGCATTTCTTTTGAAACTGATGATGAGATTTTCGAAATAGCATTCGTAAAATCTTCCATTTTGGTTGGTAATAATAATTGTTCTTTTAAATTTTGAGCTATATTTTGTATTTCACTCATACTTAAATTTTCAGTGACACGACGCATTTGCATCATTGCAGCATCTCTAGAAAAAAAGATTTCAAAGATCATACACTTTTTTTTCTTATCAAATTCATTCTGTACTAACCGACAAACACTTGTTATATCTGAACCGGAATATCCTTCAAGTTTCCCGGCAGTCAGATCTAAATTAACATCTGTATCAAGTGGAACTTCTTTTAAATTGATTTCGAGTAATTGTTTTCTTGTTTCAAGATCTGGTAAAGGAATGTAGATACGTTTCTCTAATCGTCGACGCATAGCATCATCAAGGTCCCACGGGTGATTCGTTGCACCTAGTACCATAACCATTTTTGATGGATCATCATTTCCTGATTATTATAATACAGATAATGTGTACATATAAAATAGATAATATTACCTAATGCGCCCGATACTCCATCCATTTGAATCAATAGCTCTGATTTAGCACGTCGACTAGCTTCATGTTCATTGCTTTGACCGCGTGACGAACATAACGAATCGATTTCATCAATAAATACAGTTGATGGTGCATAGAATTTCGCTAATTCAAACAGTAGACGAACTAATTTTTCGCCTTCGCCATGATATTTAGATGTTAGATTTGCTGCGGCGACATTGAAAAATGTTGTTTTACATTCGGTGGCTACAGCTTTAGCTAACATCGTTTTTCCTGTACCAGGTGGGCCAAATAAGAGTATGCCCTAATTGCAATCGATAAATAACATTTATGTTAATATAGAATTAATGGTAATTGATTTTTGTTTTCCTGCTCGTAACTCGTAACACGCATAAAAAACCAATTAGTGAGTCAAATAGAGAAATTAATCTCTAACGGTATCATCCCATTTGATTGACACGACCTTAATTAATCCCGTTTCATTGACAGGATCTTTTTTCCCTTTTCGTCGACACATTGCTATTGAATAGTTTCACAACTATACTGAAGAAATCTTACTCTTGAGGAAGAAATAAAGTAAGAAATTACGACAGTATTGAACTTTTTCTAACGTAATATAACCTTCAGTAGAAAGGCTAGAAAAACACATTCGATTAGTGTACATCACTATTCTTTATATGTAAAATTAGTCATATGGATAATAACAAAAGAAACATAGTGTCTGCGTTTCTTAGTGAATATATATGTGAGTGTTTTCGGTGCAACATATATTTCGATAACGATGTACACGATTGTTGAAATATATTTTTCCTTTAAAAATTACTGTTAAATAAAAAGTGTCGATGAAGAGGAAAAAAAATCTTGTCGGCGAAACGAGATAAAAAAATTCTGTCGATGAAATAGGCCTGAGCCATTGGTTTTTTTCACGCGAGTTATTTTTATGAGAGAAAGATCAGAATAAATAACTTCATAGAAACGTATAAAAAGTAATACCTTCCATGGTCGACGAATACCTTTAAAAAAATCTGGCATATAGAGTGGTAACACAACAGCTTCTTGCAGTAGTTTTTTTGCTGCAATACAACCTGCAACATCCGACCTAAGATACACTTCTATCATATTCGCTGACTGAAAACTTTTGATTTATTTTTTACCATCGAACATTAGGATCTTTTTGAACAATGTCACGTTCTAATCCTTCAACTAAATCCTTTTCTGCATTAGTTGGTTGATATCTTTTCTCCTAGAAATATTTGAAGAAAAAAAAAGCACGTGTCCATCTTCTGATCAAAAGCAAAATAGAAAACTCACTCCTGCATTTGGTTGATTATTAACACGCTTATTATCATGTTGCTTTTGTTTATTATCGGGAAGACTCGAAGCAGCTTTTCTAGCTTTCATATTATTATTATTATTATTATTATTACTATTGTTTGTTGATCTAACATCGCGACGAGGCTCTTGAAAGCGCGCAGCTGGTGTTTGAAATCTAAAATAAAGAATTTGATTTGAAAAGAGAAAGAAAATAATTATTCTTACGGAGTGGCACCATATGGAAGATTCCGATTATTATTATTATTATTAAAACCTAAATCACGTGTCGGACGTTCATCAATAATTGCATTATAAAAATTATCTGCGTCACGCAAATCATTATAAGCATCATTACTGACACGTCGTCCACTGTCGATAAATTTTCCTAATAAATTTTCATGAATTTCGCCAATCATTCGTTCATGTTCTATTGTCGATTGCAGTTCTCGTTCAAGTTCTGCTAGGCACTATATCATAAAAATTAAACGAACGTCAGATAACAATTAAAAACAAACTTCTTGACCGTGTTTTTTCTCAGCTGCCTCGAATATTGTTTGACAATAACGTCGAAGTTTCTCAATAGCTAATTTATAAAATGTTATACCTTTAGTATAATCTCCATCTAAAACAGAACAGAAATGTTTGTATAATTGTTTGTTGCATTAATGTCGATGAAAAACTTTTCTTACACATATAGTATTCACGTGCTTTTTGCACTTCTTCTTCAAAATCTTTTGGAATCGAGGCAACAGATGCCATCTGAAACAGTAATAATTTAAATTGAATATTTTTATTTAATACATTCAGATTATCTAAAGGATGAAATGAACGATTGATTGTTAGCAGAAGAAAAATCGTTTATTTTTACTAAACTGAATGTTGACTTCGGAAAAGTAAAAATCATGAAATTTTACCTACGCATTGATGTTTAACAGAATGAAAAAAAAAACGAATAACGATGAAGCTACAAAAATTTTAAAAAGAACAAGACTTCAATAATGATGTTGGCTTCATGTCCGTTACATTTCTTCGCCACATTCAAATCGTGCAAAATCATTAACATTTAATTGATTTTCATTAAGAAATATTTCTACTGTTTTTTTCTTATCATCAGTATGCATCCATTTTTGATATAACAAACGGTCTTCATCGTTTCCTAATTGTTTCTTTTCATTCAAACCAATTGTTTTCGAACGTGTTGCTACAATATGTTGAGCAAGTAGTCGTCCAAATTGTTTTGTCTATAAAACAAAAGAAATGCACTATAAAACTTTTTTTCAGTTATGGTTCGTCAATATTATTGATCATATTTCATATTCAATTAGAGATTAAATACGTCTTGTATTTCGATTGCGTAGAACATAAAAATGGGTGTGTGCAAGCTATGTATATAGATATATATATATATGTTGTAAACAAAGAAAATACGACTACCTTAATCTATAAAAATCAAAAACAAAAAACCTACGTATTCTCCCATCAAAGATCAATACGATATTCGTTCGACATCAACGAAAATGACGGAAACACTTCTCAATACGAATACTCATGATATTCAATCAGCTCGAATGAAATATGTGGACGCTACAGCACATCTATCAACTCAACCGAATTCTTTAAAGGAATTAATTGATTTAATCTATCAAGCATTTTCTACAAACGAAGTTGACATTGATTATGTTCGTACAATAATGACGAACTATAAAGGTGACATTAAAGAATGGCAACAATATGTTAAATTTCAACAACATAGATACACAAGAAATTTAGTTGATGGTGGTAATGGAAAATTTAATTTAATGATTTTATGCTGGGCCGAAAGTCAGGGTTCATCGATACATAACCATTCGAATTCACATTGTTTTATGAAGTGTTTACAAGGAACTTTAATTGAAACAAAATTTGCATGGCCACATGGTGAAAATGAAGCAGAAGAAGCAATGCAAGAGATTGGCCGATCGGAATTGAAAGATGGAAAAGTTGCTTATATCAATGATTCAATCGGTTTACATCGCGTTGAAAATCCAAGCCATACAGACACAGGTGTCACCTTACATCTTTATGTACCACCCTATGATCATTGTAACGTATATGATGAACGAACAGGTCGCGCAAATGAAGCTCATGTCACATTTTATTCACGAGGTGGACAATTAACAAAAGAAGAATAATCAACTAACTTTCTTTACTTGCCTTTTGTGATTTGACTGAAAAAATAAATGAACTGGATTCACATTAGATAGAAACTGTTTTTTTTCACCATTAAAACTTTCATTTATTATATGAGAAATCATGATTTATTAAGCGATTCTATTTTTGTGTCGATTAAAGAAATACGAAATGATTAACATTTTATCCTGTTCATTAGTATTCGATAATAGTCATTCTACGAGTTAAGAAATAGATAAAAGTATTATTGACCGTATACATGTGAGACGCTTAGAACCTTGTGATCATGTGTGATAACAATAAACAATAATTGCTTTGATGTCACTTGATCGTTGTGTCCTTATCAAAATAATTCTACAGAATGTAACTTAAAACTTACCATATTATCAAATACATCAGCTAATACCAATTCACCGTTGCCAATGGCTTGTGCCAAAGAAATTTTATCTTGCACACCATAGAATGTTTTCATCCATTTTGATGAATCACCTTCGCGAGAGTCGACTTGAGCCATTTTTAAATTTGGCCAAATATAAATGATTTGTTTTAATGATGCTATTCGTTTGTAGTTAATCGATTTTTCGTGCAATATTAAACGTTCAGTTGTTGGCGTAACAAGCTCAACGATAATGACTGGTTCACGAGTTATTGCTTGATCAGATTTTGGTGCTCGAATACTGAGACATAAACTTGGATAGTAGATGTAAGTAGGATCAGGTGTTTGTGTACGAATATTCATTGGAAGTAAATGAACATTTTTTATTTGTTGTTGTTCAATTTGTGCAGTTAAATTTTTGATAAGTAAATCATGTGTAGTTTCACGTGAGGGTAATGCATAAACATATCCATTGAGATATTCATGAAGTTGACTAGCTTCATCTTCTTGATCAAGATACGTACTTAATTCAATAGGTTTCTGAAAATTATTTTCACAAATTGTTCGTAACGGATAGGAACGTGTCAATATAACTGAAGGCGATGTCGAAGTGTTTTCATCCTAAACATAAATTTTAAGAAAAAAATGATATTTTTTTTTATAGTACAAATATTCATACGTCAGACGTATGTGTTTTCGTTGGATCAATTTGAGAATAATTAACAAGTGCACCATATCTTCCCATACGACACGTATCTGTACTTGTACTATTGACTTGTCCATGGCAATAACTAGCTAATAGTTGATTATTTTTACCATTAAATACGATGCCACGTCTTAGAACAACATTTTCTCCTACAGTTCCAACACAAAGAGCTGCAATATCAGCTAATGTTTTTGAACGATCATCAATCGAAGGTAATGCGGCTAGAGTATCTTTATCATAGAATGCCTTTAAAGAAATAGAGTGAGAAAAAAAAAGAAAGAATTTTAAATGAAATATAAAACCTTTTCTTGTGCTTTATCCTTTTGATTTGCAATTAAACTATTTGCAACTTGAGAAACAAGCTGCTGAAATTTCTCATTCTTAGCCACGAAATCTGTTTCACAGTTAATCTAAACAAATAAATAGTTATAAAATAATTTATGATCTTAATTTCTACAAACCTCAACCATAGCAGCTGCATCTGCATTAGTTACAATACCAATCAAACCTTGTGATGCAGCACGACTTTGTAATTTTGTTGCTCGACTCCAACCTTCAGCTTGAGCACGTTGATGAAGCCATGTTTCAGCCTTAGAAATATCAAAAACTTTTACTAGAAGAATCTTTTCTCAATGAGAACAAATTTACTTGTTCAAGATTATCATTAAATTGTTGAAGTGCTGCCCGACAATGAGATAATGAATAACCCGTTTTTTTCCGTAAGACACTCAATGGCGATGTTGTATTTGCCGCAGCAGCTGATTGAGATAAATATCGTGGTACACTCGAATGAATAAAACGTCGCCAGACAAGCATATTTTCAACGTAGAAAAAATACTGAAGAAAAGAAAAAAAGATTTTTAGCATTTTTTTTTTATCTTTATCAATAGTATTTACAAATACGAAACAAATCAAATAGATTTTTGTCATGCAATTTGTTCAAATTTAATATATACAGATAATTAAAATTCGACATAGAATTATAAAATTTGATTGAAAAGAAAGAGTTCATGCTTTTTCACGTAAACAATAAGAACGTTAGAATTTTTTCTTCAAAATGTACTACGAGATACTGAAATTATTTCTATGCTCTATTCTTTCAATATATATTTTATAATTCTGATAATCGGAAAACTTTCTCAATCATATTTTTTATCCTAGATAACAAAACAAAAGAGACAAGTAGTTTTCCTCTAAATATATAATCATTTTGTGCACGTTTAAAACGAAAAAAAAAAGAAGAAAAGAATACAATTTACAAAACAAACAAAAACAAATCACAACGAACTCTCATACAAAAGAGATTCTAATACTAAACAACAACAGAAAAATAAACAATATCAAATCAATAAAGATATTTTCAATGTGGCACAAAGTCAGCATCATTATCGGTTGAATGTGTATGATGACTAACACGTTTCGTACGTGACGTATTAGTTATCTCTTCTGTTGTTGTTGTAGTCGATACGAATGTTTGTGTATTAGCTACAGTTGGTGTTGTAGCCGCTGCTTTTTTACCTTCAAGACGAGCTGAACGTGCACGTTGTCCTCGAATTTCTGATGTTGGTGCTCCTAATGGTCGTTTTTGATTATTTGTAACAGTTGCTACGGCTGCATCGATTGATTTCGGCAATAGAATGGTTTGTTGGTGGACTTGTTCTGGTTGTAGAAGAGAATTTTGATGTTGAAATTGATGATGATGATCATGATGATGATGGTGGTGATGATGATGATGATGTATTTTACGACGACCTTTCATTTCACGTTTAGTACCTATGGAATCCTGAGTATTGATCAATGTATTCATGGTTGATCGTGGCTGTTTTGTTCCGCCAAAATAGGGATGAACATCTTGAACAGGCGGTATTTTCAGTTGAATATCATATGTTTCATCGGCTGTAACCCGTGTTTGAAACGATGGACTTGCTGCACGAGTCTTAGGTATATTAGTTATAGGTGTTGGAAATTCAATATCAGGATCTTCAATATCCGGTGCAACTGGTAAATAGACAAGTTGATCATTAATATCATCATCATCACTTGATACTAGTGCTTCAATGCGTTGATCAGTAACAACGTCAATATCAATTTCATCATCATCGGCATTTTTTAATTTTCCGTTGTTATCTAAACGTTGCCGTTTATTAGGTGAACCAGCATAATCTAAACCGTCTAAACTACGATCTTCATCTTTAACATCGAATTCAGATTCACGCTCATGATATTCAACATTCTCTTCAAGTTCACGAAAATCTGGTGCAAATGCTGACCAATTTTCAACTTGAGAATGAGACCATATGGATACAACACCACTCGATATACTGGCTATTATTGGACGTACAGGATGCCAACATACATCAGCTAAAGCTTCACCTTTTGTACCATGTAAAATTTTAACTAGATTACCCGATACTGTTTCCCATATATATAATGAATGTTGTCGAGATGAAGCACCACAAATATATTCACCATCACCTGACCAACAACATTTACGCCATAACGATTTATTAACAAGATCTTGAAGTTTTTGTTTAGGTTCAAGATCATGGCCAATACCACATGATAACATTTCAGCATAGCTATAGATTCGAATTATTCGATCACTTGTATTAACTAGACAATATTGACCTAAACAAAACAAAAAAGACATTTATTCAATGAATTTCACATCGGCAATCACGCTCCTCTAAGTCTACATAGATCGTGTGTTTCTTCTTACCTCGTCGTGGAATTTCAATATGTCTTAATACTGTATTTGTATTTGTTCCAGTTGTAATTCGAAATGATGAAATTGTTTTTAAATCGGAAAATGTTTTAACGACAATTAAACCTCGACTATTACCCAATATAATATGTTCACCTTTTCGATCAAATGTTGATATAATATCATTAGGTTCATCGTCGATTGTAACTATTGTATGTTTACCATTGTTATCGATTAGAACAGGTGGATGTTTCATTGGACATATGAGTAAATACGCTGAATTTCGTGGATGAAATTGAACTTTAAGTATTGGTGATTGAATACATGATATACGTGTACGACAACGTCCAGTCGATGTAAACCAAATGCAAACTGTATTATCTGTTGATGATGTTGCTATTAAATCCGATTTCTTTGACCATGATATACAACATATCGGCGACCAATCGGCGCAGATTATTTTTGCTATACCACGCGTTAAAAAATCCCATATAACAAGACGACCATCGGAACAGCCGACAGCTAACATTGAGCCTGTTTATGGAAATAAATAGATTTCTATTGCTTTTCGGATGTTTTTTCTTTTAAGATATACTTACCAACTTTATTAAAAGCACAACAAACAGCCATCGATGCACAGTCAAGTGTGCCATCGAATTCTTCAGGATAGTTTTGTTGAAATGTAGAAAGTAATTCTATGTTCATTTTTTCATCTACAAAAAAAATAAAGCGAAGCCCATCGCAATTATCTATTTTTTTTATTGCATGTAGATACAAATAGAAAAAGAAATTTATCGTAAGAGAAAAAATATAGCTATCTGACATTGATTATCTAATTCGTTATTCTATTTAAATGACTGAAGATTATTTGAGTTTATCCAATAACTGTTTAACAATATCTTGTTCAGCGATAAGTAATCGAACGATTTCTTGTCCATCATTTGCACTTTTGCCAAGTTTAATAAGACGATGGTCGATAAATTCAATTAATTGTAACCGAAGATTTTGTTCATTATTTACATAAAATGAACGTTTACATTGTTCATATAATTCCGTAAATTTCATGCCTAAAAATAGATCAGAAGTTTTTAGTTCATATGTTTTCGAACAAAAATCTTTCATTCGAGCCTTCCAATAGGCTTACCCTCGTAATCTTTGGAATTGTTATTAGCCAAAAATGCTTCAACAAGTAAACGAAAAATGCGTCGAGCATTCGGTGTTAAACTTTCAATAACATGTTCAACAGCACTGATTGATAATTGACCTAAATATTAAAGTTTTTGTTAATACGAACGTCATAAAATGAAAAATTCTTTACTTGTTTTCAAACGAATTGTATTAAGTCTTTCATTAGTTGTTTCGTCAATATAAGGTAACCTAGATGATCGAAGTTAAATTTATTCTTATCGAACTGTGAACTTACCATGTATGTACAGCATACCATATCCATCGGAAACTATTAAGACTTTGCTGATTCCAGACTATATGCAAATAAAATTAGAAATCATATGAAGTCAACAAAAAAAACATTTCTTTTACTTAATGGTGCATGAATATGATCGATAGTAGCAAGAATGTGAATATATTGGCATTGAGCTGCTAATTTAAATATGTTTTGTACATTGGTATTACGAAAATTCATTCCATCGATATTATTTATCAATAAATAAATATGTAATTCTAGAATAAATGAAAAATAGTACGTTGTAGAGAAAGATTTCGATTAGCTTACTTTCTTTTTTCAGCTTCTTGATTATATCGTGTATGCATTCTTCATTGTTGTTCGATTGAGCAATATTCATCTCTGGACAATAACAAATTGTTTGAAGAACCTAGAATAATAAAACAGGCTCTATGATAGGAAAGGAGCCTTGGCGTGTTCGCATACTCATGCAAAACATGAGCTGCTAGATTATTTAATCTTAAAAATGTAGCAGATAGACTTGGCAATTTGTTTTCGTTTCTCATAGAAAATGTTCGAAAAGTCAAAAATGATTGGATATTTACTTGTTTAATCGTAATATTAGGCAAAAATCCATTAATAGTAAATGTAAGATATTCATTTTTTAAATATTTCTTGAAGAAAACTGATACGAGCGACTTTTTCGAGCCAACACCATGCAAAAGAATATTGAAACCAGCCCTAAACGAAAAAAAAACAACAAAATGATTATTAACAAACAATTTGAGTGTGAAACGAACCTTAAATATCGAAACCATTCTTCGAGCTCAGTTCCCTGAAGAACATAAAGTTTTACATAATCACTTGTTTTTCCATGAAAATATTTGCCTTGAATTTTCAATGCTGTCTGTTGAAGATCGTCAGGAGTCAACTGTATTAAGTTACTCTTAAATTTTTTCTTTTTTATTGTATCAACCTAAAATATCAACAACAAAACCCAATTGGTAAAAAGAATGAATAGAAAATAATCTTTTTACATCATCATTGGATAAATTTGATTCAAGAAGTTTATCCATATTCTCAAATTGCATAGTATTATCAGAAGCTGTAGTGAAAATAAATAACTTAAAAAAATAGAATTTAAACAAAAAAGACATGCTTACTTTTTTCAGTTAAAACCTTTTTCTTTGATGATTGCTTACGTTTTTGTTTAAGAATACCTTCAAGAGAAAAATGCATATCCGGACTCTTTTTTTTTATAAGACCTAGCTTACCATGACGAACAGGAAATCGAGGTAGAATATGTGAAATAACATGTAATCGAGTGATTTCATTCTCTTTGATTTCCTCATTTTCATCCGTTACTATTGATATTGGTGGAGCACTTTTATCTAATAAAAGATAATCAATTGATTGTTTAATTTAAAACAAGCAAACTTACATTTGATTAAAGATCGACCTTTACTTTTTCGTGATGGTGTTGATTCTAAGAAAGATTTAAGATTGCAAAATTTTCTTTGACTTCTTATAGAATACTTACTTAATGGAACAAAACTTTGCGATAGTTCATATTCAATATCATCGATATTACGAATTTTATTTGGAATGCTTTCAGATGAGACGACAACAATTGGTACTGGACGATTTGCTGTCATATCTTATTTTAGTGATCGATCTGATTTTGTTTTTGAATGAAATGCTGACCATAGATGGATGGATTAAGGGACAATTAAAAACAAATCGTCTCTGATTTGTTCTATCAAATAAACTAATCGGCATTGTGAACATCAATACAGATGGCGCTTGTCTACAGATGTTCATATGCAAGGCGAAAGTCTAAACTCTCGAGCACAATTAGACAATCCAGAGCAGTTTCTAGTAGCTATGAAAATTTTCTTTGTGAATTCTATAAGATGGATCATACTTTTAAAAAAAGGATGAGACGAAGAGCGACCGTTTCTAGTTCTTAAGATTTTAACAGATATTTACCCAAGAAGCATTGATACTAATCTGTGATGAAAAATTCAGTCAGTTTTCTAGCAAGTAAAGATAGACAAACACTAATTTCGACTAATTTTGTTTGTACTACGTACAAAATAATGCATAAATTCTATAGCTTCAATATATCGAAGAGAGAGAGAGTGTGTTAGTACAGCTTCTGCTTATATCTTCTAAGACTTTTGCCCATTGATCCAAGATAATAATCTTGATGATATGTAATAATCAAGAAGATAATGATTTAATACTTTTCTTTTTGAAATTCAAATATTGCATTAAGTTTCATGACGAAAACTGACTTTTATAATTTTAAAAATTTTAATCCTACTATTTAAATTCGAACATATAGTATTAAGAAGAGCTCATTTGAACCAAAATGAACTCGTTAGCTTGAAAACCAAATGATTCCATTTTGATCCTATGTTTGATATATTGACATGAACAATACAACGATGAATAGTATTTCTTTTCTTTTTTTTTATTAAAATAAATGAAAATTTCTTTCTAATAATGTGCCATCGGATCGGTTGGTAGAGCACGTGCTGTATAATAGAAAACCGGTTCCTTAATATTATTCGTATCTAATGGAGGAGGATTTGTTGATGATTGTGTTGGCATGAATTGATAATGAGATATATATTGATTGATTAGTTGTTGTAAATGTTGAAAACTTTGGGCCTGAATAACAGTACCGCCTGATTTACGAATTAGTTGATCAAGATAATCATCCAGTGACGCGTCCGATTGAGAATGATGTCGATGATGCTGCCCAGTCAATCTCTGACAATCAATTATATTATTCGATAATAAATTTGGATTAAAATTTTCAATTTCAGTTATATGTCTTGTGCCAACATGAAAATTATTATTAGATAAACGACGAGTAATCGGTTCATCATTACCAATATATATGCGTTGCATTGGTGGTTCAATTGTGTAACGATTAATATGATAAGCATTGCCAAGACGATCTCTCTCAATAGTTTCATTAATTTTAATCGCCATAGCAGAAGGAATGTTAGAATCGGCTAGAACATTTTCAATGGGAAAATCCAATTCGAGACGAGATCCATTATCATCGCCATTGTCTCCGTTAGCGTGTGATTGATTTTGAAATGATAATATAGGTTTCATTATAGGCTTTGATTGAGAATTCGTTGAGTAATTTGAATCGTTCATTGAAGGCACTTGTGTTGAAGGGAATTGTGATGGTGAATTCATAATTGAAGGATAATTGGTTTGAGTTGTTTGCGGATCGTTTGTCGTTGTAGTTGATGTTGACTTGTTACCACCGAGTCCAGGTAGGAATTTACTGAAAGAAGATGGTGCATTGTTTGTTGAGGATGGCGATGTTTGGGCTTGATTGATATTTACAATTGGAGGATTATTTGTTGGAGCTGGAGCTGACTGGTTAAGGTTCATATCAGCGGGAAAACCATTGAATGATGTTGTAGCGTTATTTGTTGGAGCTGGAGCTGGTTGATTAGGATTCATACCAGGAGGAAAACTGCCAATTGCTGATAAAGGATTGTTTGTTGGAGCTGGAGCTGGCTGGCTAGGGTTCATAGCAGGAGGAAAACCACTGAATGATGTTATAGGGTTGTTTGTTGGTATATTAGTAGGATTTAGTCCTGTTCCTGTATTATTTAGCGACGTTGACACTAATGGAAGACTTGACTTCGCTAAATTAATTGGTGGCGGATTAGGATTGATGTTTGATGGATAATTTATAGTATTATTCATTAAGGAACCAGTTGGTGCGTCCTTATATGCAGCACTAGAAGTATTCATAGTACTAGGAGAAGAATTCTGAAAACCGTCTCCATACAATCCTCCATTTCGATTAGGATATAGTTGCTAAAAGAGACAGCGAGACCATAAAACATCTATCATTTTTCAAGTCAAATATTTTACTTGTCCTCGCGCGTCAGTTTGTTCTCGTACATTATAATTGTTCAAACTTTCAATATCGTAGTCACTAGCTGCACCGTCCTTGAAAGATAACAATCATATTTCAATGGAGTTTATGTATATACAACGATAGTTTTTTCTTACTAGTGGAAGTGATGGTTTGATAGTACGTGATAATGAAGGGTCTCCTGCATGCGTCGGATATGCACCTGGAGGTAACTTATCAATGCTGAAAATAACGCGGAATTGTTTTTCATTAATGATATAGTGAACAAAAAATCTTGAATTTGTACGTACCGATCTTTCTTCTGAAATATTCCTTTAACCCTTTGAAGGAATTTACTCATTTATAATCCTATTTAGTAAAGTAAAAGAGGATATGTACACTTTTATCTCAATTAAAAGGAGTTTTCGATATGAATATCCTAAATATAGAAACAAAAGAAAAGCTGTGTAATTTCATTTAATGTATTGTTAACGACAAAACAAAAAATAATACATTTATCCTGGGAAGGACAAATAGAATGAAGACGTGAAAGAAAAAGAGAAAATGGATGTGTTTTTACTGTAATAAATGATGCAAAATCATTCGTCCGTATCCATATGAATGAAAACGACTAGAAAATAGTCGTGGTAATAAAATACATATATTTGAATATCATAAACTATTTCTTAGTGAAAAACAAGTCATATTTAACATATAAATTTAAATTCAGACGTAAAATAAGAGGACTTATTTTTCAATAATTTTATTTTTATTTGTAGAAAAAAAAACAATCAAGACTAGAAATGTTTGCCATGAGTATGATGTATATCACAGTACTGTTGGAGAGATGTTTCTTCGTACTCGTGTGATAACTAGACCGGTACAACCAGCTACAGTAGCTATAAGACCAAGTGTGAGAAATGTTCGAAGCGAAAATAAATCATCAAAACTATTTAATTGTGAAAGGAATGAACCAGTTTGCACACTTATAAAAGTATATGGAGCCATACCTAACAATAAAGAAGAAAAAGAATATTTTTCTATGAGAATGAAATTAGTTTTTCTTTTCTAGACTAACCGAATAGTATGGAAAAGAAAAATATTTTTTTCGGTACATTTAGCAACGGACATGTTATTGTAATGAGTGAATTTGGACTCATTGGTACCATTCGCATAAAAAGTAAAACAAAGAACAGGTTGTCACGACCAGCTTCAACCTTGACATAGCAAGAAAACAGCAATATTAGAACGTAGCTTTGTTTTTTTGTTGTACAAATTATTACTTTTTTTTGTAATATTGATATTTTTTTGTGACAACATTCAACAACTAAATTATGAGCGAAATGCGAAACAAGTAAATAGCATAATGTAGCACCAACTGCTGTTAATAAACAACAAAATGGAAAGCCCAACCATGTACCAAATAGAGCTCCGCCAAGTAAATTCTATCAAATATAAAAAATAAATATTCATCGAAAATAAAAATAAAAAATACCAAAATAGCGGAGCCTGGTAATGAAAACGATTGCTTGTATAAATACGTAGAACCATAGAGCAATAGAAGATAAGCTAGATGATCATCACGATAATGTTGTAAGGTATTTGATAAATTTTTTAGGGCCTCAATACTTCGTGGAAAACGCAAAGTAGCTCTAAATAAAAAAAACGATATATTTTTCATTGAATATTCAGTTAAAGTCGGAGAGGCAAACGTTGCACTATTCTACATTTGTTCTTTTCCGATATAATTAAATGTATTCTTTTCGAAAAATTAAGTTTCAAATAAGCAAACATTGGTCAATTTCATGGTAACTCACATAATTATTTAGTATGAAAATTTTCTCGCTTTGAATGAAAAAAAAAGAGACTTTCGAAACCCATCATTCTATGTGAAAACAAGGTCGATAATGACTATAACATATATAATTAAGAAGACTATTCGATGATTTTCCTCCGTCAAACTAAACTTTGGCGCGTTTAAAAGGTAAACTATTAAATCCTAAGCCTGAAGCCTTGCGAAACATGTTGAATCCATATGAGAAAAGAAAAAAGAAATTCTTTACTGTAATACAATGTTTTCAAAACTCTGCAGGCTTCTTAACAACAGTGAAAAATGAGTAAATATTTAGTCTCATTACTTTTCGAGCATTCAATGTTTTTACACTTTTTAGGCAACTCGGATTGAATCGCAAAGCTAATTTCTATTGCAAATTGTTAAGACGATCAACTGTTAATACTTAGAATTGTGATTAAAACAAAATATTCTTATTTTTCAAATAGTCAAAATAAGAAAACTTAGTCTGCATAATTTACCTATCGCTATCGTCTTTTAATGGCGGTGCATTTGTAGATAATATATACATATAAAAAGTGGCTAATGCAAATATTAATGGAATGAACCAAACAGTAACAGAACTCTCTAAAAGAAAACTATTGAATATATATGCATAAATATGAAATAAATTTATTCGTACTCATAAAATGTAATGATGATTTTGATGATGTTGTAGAATTTGTTGTTGATGATGCCATCGATGATGAATCAATTCCGATTGATACTTGTCGCGGAATTAATTCCATTTCAAGTTCGGAATCATGTTGTTGTCTCACCATTTATAAATTTCAAAGTTATTAACCAAAACTAATGATTAATCTATTCACAGTGTTGTCATTTATGATACTAAAATATTTATAGTTAAATATAAATATGAAAAATCAAAGTAGAAATAAAACTCGATTAATAAATTTATTTTCATACTTTCAAATATTTTTATTTTCTATAAATAGTCACATATCCTGTGTTCAGTTTTTTTTTCAAAATTATTCTATTGCACACAGTAAGATAGTGTAGATATGAATGACTATCACTGTTTTTTACAAAAAAAAGAGGGAGAATTCAGGATAGATAGAAGAAAACAAAGCATGCAAAGAAGAAAACAAAAGCAAAATATCTGAACTTTGTTTTTTTTTCGAGAAAGAGAGAGAGAGAGATTCGTTCATAGGTATTGACCAGAAAAAAAAGAAATCTGACATTATTTTTCTGTAGAATATATATTTATAGGTATATTACAGGTCAAGAATAGGAAGATTATCTTCTTGTGAATAGAAATTAGATGACGGAAGAGATGTGGCAGTTGATAGAAGACCGTTTGACGGTGAATAACTAGCGACTGAATAAGAAGATGTAGACAGCGATTGTTGTTGTTGTTGTTGGGGGGGTGGTGGCGGGGGGGGGGGCGGGGGCGGTGGCGGTTGTTGTTGTTGATAGAGTGAAGAGGAAGATTGATAAGAATAATTTTGAATACCATAGATATTCGAATGTTGTTGTGAATGATGATTGTAACTAGACATAGTTACCTGTGGTGCAGACGAATAAGACATCGGCTGATAGTATGAAGTCTAAAGAAATAGTAATTGAAACCAATAAATATGTATTTTCACGCTTTTAGAATTAACAGGGATAAAAATCGCTAGAAATACGTGTGACAGTTCTGGAAAAGAATAATTAATTGTTGATAAAGTTCTACTGTCTTTATCATATTTAACTGATATTTTGCATACAACAATATGGAAACCAGGTTTACTTGCAACGATCAATGTAACCTTGATTGATACAGTTGTAAACTACATTATGATTCTCTCGCATTATATTTACTGTTGTTTCATTACTAGCTACTGCTATTTTTCTTTCACACGCTAAAGGTGTCCAGATAAAATATAGTCAAGGTCTCAGTACATAACATATAATGATCTTATATCATAGTGATAATTCGACTTTATCCCATGCTGTAAAGCTGAAACAAAAAGCGAAATTTCTGCTGAATATTTTTGAATGCTTTGGTTAATATCTAGAATTTACTCTCTGTCAGACGTTCTTCATGAGAAGACAAGATCTGTACTATGCTTAAGTGTTGTCTAAAAAATTCAGATGAAATAACTACGACATTGGGATGTCCACTGAAGCGTTCGATGAAAATATGGTCACGATCAGGTAATCAAAATAACAAAATAATACCTGAATCATAATTTTAGTAACTTACATGTAACTCGACAGAGGGCAGGTTGATCCTTAAAATCAAGATTTACTGTCGCATCTATAAGAACACTTCGAAAGCGAGACGATTACTTTTGCCCAAAATTGTTTATATTTATGAATGAAATACAATACGGATAAAGATAAAAAAAAACAATCTTTTTATGGCGAAAAGCTTTTTTTCCTGGTTTCGTTGCGAACGAAATACTCAAACTTACAGGATTTACATGTGTATCATTGTCTGGTGAAATCTGGGATTGATGATAAAGTTGTCTTGTTGAATTATTATACGGATAATTTACATATGATGTTGTTATTTGTTGTTGTTGTTGCTGTTGATTATACATATTTCTTTGTTGATGTTGAACAGCCATTTGTTTTAATGTTTGTGCAGCAGCATTTTGTGGTCGATTTGTAACAGGCATTGAATGTGGGCCATAATGAATAGTACTTGAACCACGTGGAATCGAATTTCTTCGTCGATCAGTTGAAATAACTGAAGATGTTTGTGAAGGTGCGGATAATAATAAGTGTCGTTTTGCTATAGAATCTTGTTCTTGAGTTGATAATGGCAAATCATCGAAGGACGATAAAAATAAATAATCATCAGTTTTTTGCTTTATTCCATTGAGAAATTCATCGAATAGATCTCGATCAGCTGGTGTTATATCTTGTACAACACGTTGAAAATCAGCTTCACTTAATAGATCACTATTCGATTGTTTCATTTGTTGTTTTGGTGTTGATTTTATATTTATTGTTGAACTAACTGTAATATCACTTGTAGTTAATTGTTGAATATTAAATTCTTGTATGATTTTTGTTGTTTGTTGATAGTTTGTTAATGTACTATTATTATTATTATTATTGTTATTCGAATTGATTGTTAATGTTGGCGAATGAGAACAAAAAGATTTTGTTGATTGTTCATGTTCAATATCAAATGAATAGAAATGTTCACCATCATCAACGTTACCGATTTTTCGTTTTGGATGTGATGAAGTCTATGAAAATAGAAAAGAATTCAATACAAAACACAACAAAAAAGAAAGGACAAATAAGAAAACAAAAAAACAAGACGAGACTACTAGAGAATTTTTAATCACCTGTTCTATCGACTCCATTTTATATGTGATAATGTCAAAAAAACAAAACAAAAAACTAGATGAATAATATTACTATTATTAACTCTTGTTTCTTTTTTATTTCCTTATTTCCATTTCGAGGGTATGAGTACGTGCCAAAACTAATAAAAATAAACTCACCAACGGCCTGGCCGTTGATGCAAGGTCACTTGGCCCATAGGTTTCATTCATTTAAATATATTCATAAATCGTTATTATATAAATAAAATATAATTTCACCGCCAACATATGGACACGATTAACCGATCAACGTTATGATTTCATATAAGTGACAGATGTAGTAGTGATTATCTCGATGAATGTATACGTGTGTTCTGTTCTTGAGATGATGCCCAATGATCAACAATAGTCAGAACAGTGTGTGCCCGATCGTTGTGTATGTGCAAGAGTTCTTTTCTCGTTCGTATTACCTTTTCTTTTTCTCCCTCTTCTCTTTTCTCTGTCGTTCTTTGCCCCGTTTATTTTCACTCGTTGTTCGATGTTCACGTCAAAGTGTCCTTGGAGCTGCTCAAATATATACATAGGCAGAGGAAGAGAAAGAATACAAGCAGTCGCCGTCTCTTTCTTTCCCATTCTCTTTTAGCGTAACAGTTCAGTCGTATGTGTATATATATATATATATATGTATACTTTCGCACGATCAATGAATGAATATAACATCACATACAAATACACGTACATACATCATCAAGAGAAAAGAAGCAAACTTGGGGCTAGAACAAAAACTTGCTCTAATTTCTTTCTCTCTTTCCCTCCTTCTTTTTTTTTGTTCTTTCTATCAAGAATAATGACCACAATTTTTCATTGTTTCCTCTCTAACTTCTCTTTCGGACAGATTAATAGAACAAAAGAAAAATAAAAACAACAAAAAGAATGACCCAGTTCAACTAAAAGAATAAATTCAGTCAGTACTTTTTGTATACATTGAAAACTAATATTGTCGTCTGAAAGAAATCATTTCTCAACTTATCGTTAGACATGAACTCTTCATGCAAATATTAGACTTATCGGTGTTTTACTTTCTTCACAATTATCTTTTTGTATTTTAATCATAAAGCAAAATCAGCTTTATAAATGGTCATATTTCACAGAACACAATACATTAAATTCAATTGATTGTTACATTAATCATTTTGCATCTACGAGGGCGATTATCATAGATTCATATTATTATCGATTATTATCTTGACTTTCTTTTTTCTCAAGGGAGATAAACTTAAGCACAGCAGACAATATGAAAATAACATTAAAACTAAGATATTAGTAGTTTGGTACATTCTACATTAGACGAAATGTATCCGTAATTTCGACATGACTAAAATTAATAATAGAATATTGATTTTGATTTAGCGCATATTAAAAAGAGCACGCAAGAGAATTTTATGATTAAGATTCTTTTTCTTTCTTACGGATAATTTTAATCAGATTTTAATCTAGTCAAGACAGCTTTCTAGTGGATAAATTAATTTCCGTACCGACGCTACGCACATAATGTTGAACTCAATCAATAATGAATATGCTACGCACAATTAGTACGTTCAACTTATTTCTTTTGAAATAGTGTAATTATTCTTATGGTAATTTTTAAATGAATACATTGTTATCTCTCAGAAAAACTGAGTTTCAAATTTTGACTGGGAACATTCAGTAGACGTCAATCTTGAAGAAAATTGACTAAGGCATTAGTTTAACAATTGTATTGAAATATTAGCTAAATTTATGAAAAATATGATTCGTTTATTTGTCACGTTTTTTTTCCCTGTTCGTTAATGCTGATGCTGAAAGCAAATGTAGAGTTTCAGTGCGTTCCACAGACTATACTCTAAATCAAATTGCTTATTCTCATTATATTTAAAAAAAACATTTTAATTGTTAGCACTTTGTCAAGTCTATGTACTAGAATGTTGAACTTGCCACATATACAGCACTAGTAAACTCAAAGTAATGATGAATAAACTCTTGGACATGTAGTGTTATCGAGTTAAAGATTTCATTGTTCTTCAAAAATTTCAAGGAATTTTGAAAGAATATCGACTTAATTTAGTAAAGGAGGCGTGTTAAAGTACGAAGAATCCCTTATATTATTTTAGAAAATAATCATCGTTTAAACAATTTAATTTCACTTACCTCACAAGAATGAATATTGAATAGAATTTCATGAAGATATGATGATAAAGGATGTATTATTCATTAAACAAAATAGAATCATAATTTGATTTCATTCAAATTAATGTATTGGAAGAAGAATTTGCTGAGAAATAAACTGTATTGATCCTATTTTTATATCGTCCATTTCCATATTTCGTTTGGTAATAAAAATGATCGATGACGACCAACATTTTAGCTGAAAAATATTTTCTTTTTAATAAAAACAATACCGTCAGAAGAACTAAGTTCATTGTTATCCTATCATTTTGTTTGCTTTCAAACGTAAACAACTTCGATTGGTTTTCTATGTATCCATTTAAATAATTTCAAACGTACTATAGCGTTCTCTACCGTACAGGTTTACATGCACTGCTAAGTATAAAAAAGAAGATATCTCTAAATACAATAAATTTGTAATCATTTCCTCTAAAATTTTACTATAAAAATGATCTTAAACAGATTCTAAATTAATGTTCCTTAGTAACCGAAAACAATCTTAAACGATAATGGTGCAAAGTTTTTCTACACAAGTCTCGATTCATTTTCTTCAAACACATTCTTATTAATAATGGTAACCGAAACAGCTGCATTAGTTGCTGATAAAATGCTTGTTCCAGCTCAATTAGCCCTGCCCACATCGAATGCTATTGAAGAGCAACAAAAAAAAGATGAATCTCGTTATCCTCGAATGACCAAAGAATTCATAAAAAAACATTGCAAAGAACATAAATTATATCAAACACCATATTTAAACGACGTTCTTTATTTGCATTTCAAAGGTTTTGGTCGTATCGAAAATTTAGAAGAATATGTTGGTTTAAAGTGTCTTTGGCTTGAGTCAAATGGTATTCAACGTATTGAAAATCTTGATCATCAATTAGAATTACGTTGTCTTTATTTGCATCAAAATTTAGTCAGTAAAATTGAAAATTTAAATCATTTACAATATTTGGATACAATAAATTTATCAAATAATTATGTGACTAAAATTGAAAATCTAGGTAAATCAATTAGAAAAATATAGATAAATGATTGGGCTTTAAAAGTTTTCTTTTTCTCTAGCGGCTTTACCAAAATTGAATTCACTTTATTTATCACATAATAAACTCGAATCAGTTGAAGATATTGAACATTTAAAAGAATGTAAAAGTTTAAGTGTCGTGGATTTATCGCATAATTTTATCGAAGATGCGGATGCTGTACACGTGTTTAGTAAAATGGAGAATATTGTAAGTTATTGTATGAATTTCTATTGTCTCATTTTGGTGCTAGCGCACTCTTTTGCATTGTTGTAACCATCAATCGATATACTGTTTTCAATTAGTACTATTGACCTCATTGAAGGAAACGAGCTGCAAGTCGAAGATGGTATTCTTGTGTGATTGCAGTTGTTTCTGAGACAAAATTCTTAGTGTATCTACTACCGTAGAAATGTTGATCAACGAAATCAATTGTTTCACAGACGTTTTCATTGAGAGGTAGTTCGGCAGCTGAACTACAGAAGAATAAATGTAACAGCTATATGACTGTATGAAAGAACTGCTCACTGATAAATTGCTCATTTCTATAAGTGCTTTGTTTTTATCTCGATTAAAATGAACTCCAATGAGATGCTAGAGAATACTGTTAGCTAGTAGTGAACTACTTTATTGACAAGACACCCTGCATAATTAAATTCTTTGTTTAGCGTGTCATCAATCTTATTGGTAATCCATTGTTAAAAACTGTTAAAGATTATCGACGAACACTGACACTTGGATGTGTAAGATATTATTGAAATTATATTTTAAAGATTTATTTTCTATATGATTATTATTCAGGTTAATTTAACCTATCTTGATGATCGCCCAGTATTTCCAAGAGATCGCGCATGTGCCAATGCATGGTAAGATTTTATAATAACGTTGTACAGTTATTTTCAATTTCATTTTTTTTTATCTAGGGCTAGCGGTGGTCGAGAAGCCGAACGCGAAGAACGTCAACTATGGGAAACACCTGAACGAAAACGTAGTGCAAAACCTGTTAATGGTAAGTAGATATTATTTATTTATCAATATAAATGTATATATGATTGTAGATCTCATACTTATGCGTCGTCATTACTTGGGTGATCGTGGTGAAAATGAAAATGAGATCCAACAGAGCGAAAATGAATTAACTTCCGAAAAAGAAACCGACGATCAAGAACAGGAAAATAATATAGATGAGCCGCCGCCACTTGAAGATGTTGATGAATCAGACACAGAAGGCGAAGATGAAACTGTAGAATCAGAAGAAGCCAAAAAGGAAAATGGCATAGTTGAACTAGAAAATGCGAAAGAAAATGAAACAGTAGTATCAAAAACTGAGAACGTAGTTGCAACAGCAGTATCGGAAACCAAGAACGAAGTTGAAACAATTGAACCAGAAATAAAAAAAGAAAATGAAACAACAGTATCGGAAACTATGAACGAAATTGAAACAGTTAAACCAGAAATTAAACAAGAGAATGAAATAATTGAACCGGAAAACAAAGAAGAAAATGAAATCATCGAATTAATTACTAAGCCTGCAACAGTAGAAAAGCCAACAGAAGATTATATTGGTATGTAACCACTGCACGGAATGATAGTTTAGGTGCAATAGTTCTCTTCTTATTAGATATTCCATTCATTCGACCGCCATTGGAAAATGTTGTGAGTCGTTCATCGTCTGATACTATATTCGGAAGATCGCAAAGTACGTTTCTACAACTTATCATCTTTTCTTATTTACAATTTATTGTACTTTTCTAGAAGCTAATAGTGATGCAGGCGAAAAGCCAGTACGATTGAGAATCGTTGATATGGATGAAATCGATGAAGGTCCAACACTTACGGGTAAATGTTATTTGTTTCTTAATGAACTCAGTAGTTCTCCCAACATGAATCGATCATGCGCATGAGGAACAGCTACATACTCATAATTCTTTCGAATAAATTATGGTTCTATTTTATTCATTTATTTAGATACTTCCAAAGAACTATTCATTGAAACCAAAACACCGCCGACAACAACACGAAAACTGATCGAAGAATTATAATATTGAAAATATTTTATTATTTTTTTTTCTTTTATCTATACACACTTTTTATTCGTTTATTGAGAATGAAATAAATCATGTTTCCTTGTTGTTTTTCTGTTATTCTATTCTATTGTCACATTCTATGCAATAGCGACACTCAATAATCGATTTAAAACAATAAACTTTGAAAATGACGGTTCATTGGTCTTCTCATTAACAAAGACTTGTTTACAAAATTTCAAAGAGTCATATCATATGAGGCTCTATTCTCATATCGAGGCCGAGAACGAAAAACAAAAATAGACACAAACAAAATGACGAAGCACGTTGTTCTAATAATACTGTAGATAGAGATAAATTTCATTCGAACAGTTTTAAAGTGCATACCAAATCGTGTACATATGTTTATCAGTGTAAACAAGAAGTAACTATTGGCTGTTAAATCTGAATGTTTGTAAACGATTTTTTCTCTTTTCCGACGAAAATAATCATTGCACGTCTAAAATACATACTATGCGCACAGTTATGTATTACCATTTTAGATGATCATACTGCATCTCTTTCACGAGCAATAACAATAACAACTCTGAAACATTCGCACATACAATTGAATTTTATATTACATATAAATTTTATTGATTGAGGAAAGAAAAGACGAACAATGGACACAGCTAAAGATGAATTTAATATTCCGAATGTTATTGTCGATCCTCGGACACGTACACAATATTCAAAAGGAAAATTTCTTGGCAAAGTTCGTTGCAATTTTCTAAATAAAATTTCTTTGTATGCTTTTTTTTTTTTTTAATTTAAGGGTGGTTTCGCTCGATGTTATGAATTGATCGATACAACTTCGGGCCAAACATTTGCCGGAAAAGTTGTACCGAAATCAATGCTCGTTAAACCTCATCAGAAAGAAAAAGTAAGAATGCGAATAAACAATTCGATTTTTATCTATTACTAATTGTTTTTTGTTTTATTTAGATGCAACAAGAAGTGACGATACATCAATCACTGAATCATAAACATATTGTGCAGTTTTTTTCATATTTCGAAGATGAAAATAATGTCTATATCATCCTTGAACTTTGTCGACGACGAGTAAGAAGATTTCTTTGTTTGACTTTATCCTCATTTCTTTGTTCTAGTCATTAATGGAGTTACATCGTCGGCGTAAAACTGTCACCGAACCTGAGACACGTTATTTTGTTAAGCAAATTGTTGAAGCATGTATTTATTTACATGAAAAACGTATTATTCATCGAGATCTTAAATTGGGCAATTTATTTCTTAATGATCAAATGGAAATTAAAATTGGCGACTTTGGCTTAGCAACACGAGTTGAAAGTGAAAGCGATCGAAAAAGGTCATTACCCAAAAGAATTTCAAATATGGGAGACACATTTTATTTGAGTGGCCGAAAGGGCGCCGCACCACACAGTATGGAATCGGGCTTTTGTGTAGTTTGACTATTGGGCCATACATTGTACTTTCAAGGCCCGTTCAGAATCAAATCTTAGTTTCAACAAAATTCTTTAGTATACCTATTTTGCAGCCTTTCGCTTTTGTTGAAGGTACAAGTTTGAACAAAGAAACTGGCCTATAGAATATAAAGCCCAATCTATAATTTAAAGTACCCTCGATGAAAATAAGCTCTGCTTATTCGAGATATATGAACTCAAATGTTTTAACTTCAACATCGGCATTGGTTTTCGCATGGGCAAAAACTAACTAGCGTTATCTGTACTGTTCAAATAATTACATTCAATTATACGAACATGATATGAACAAAAATATCTAGATGATCTTTCTAAGCATTAGTTTATGCTTCAGCAGTTTCGAAATCATTTCCGCGAATTGTATTTCTTGGAAGGAGATTAAAAAGTTTGTTTTTATGCAATACAACTACGTATTTCTTTTCTTTATTTTAGAACACTTTGTGGTACTCCAAATTACAGTATGTTTTCACGAGTTTAATTATTTTTTATTTTTTTTCTTCTTCTATTTCTTAGTTGCACCTGAGGTTATCAATAAAAAGGGTACGAGAGAAAATTTCAATCAATATTTAGAACCGAAATAAATATGTTCTCTATTAGGTCATAGCTATGAAGTTGACGTATGGAGTATGGGTTGTATTCTCTATACACTTTTACTTGGTAAACCTCCGTTTGAAACATCATCATTGAAAGATACCTATTCAAAAATCCGTAAAAATGATTATCTAATACCAGAAAATCGTATAAGTCGTGAAGTTGTTCTTCTTATTCAACGTTGTTTGAGACATGAACCATATGATCGTCCAACAATGCAACAAATCTATATGGATCCATTTTTTACTGGTTTTATACCAGCTACATTACCAACATCTGTTTGTACAGTTGCACCACGTTATTCCGTTATGGTACCATTAAATCAAGCTCAACAACAGACTATACTTAATGCTGGTAAAACAGCAACACAATCTGTTGTAGCAGGTACAATTCAACAACAGCCACGTCGACCATTTACTGAACAACAACAAAATGAACAAGCATTAATAGCAGCACGTCATCAACAAATTGCAACATTACCAACACCGATCTTAATGAATGAACGTCCCAATGATGTACACGGTGTTGGACGTCCAATATCATCGAATGGACCTAATCAAACAGATATTGTTCTATCATCACAAATGGCACGACAATTAACTGGTCTTGATGGTGGTGGATTTGTACCAGCTGGCGCAACCAATGAAGAAATCAATGATGATCTTCATTTAGCTATTGATCTTCAAAGACAATTAGAACATTTAATACAAACGAAACCCAACGAGAAACTTGATAAACGGGAAGATGAAGCCGAAGATCCAGCATCAGCGCCCATGCTTTGGATATCCAAATGGGTGGATTATTCCGACAAATATGGTTTAGGTTATCAATTATGTGACGATTCAGTTGGTGTTCTATTCAATGATTCAACACGTTTAATCATGACAGCTGGTGGCGCTGAAAATCTTCAATATATTGATCGTGAAGGTTTTGAACATTTATGCACTATGAAAGATTATTCCGATCAATTAAAGAAGAAAGTTACTTTACTCAAAGTAAAATTTCTCTAAATCTTTTTTTTCTTCTTCTATATCTAATTTAATTACATTTTAGTATTTTACTTCGTATATGGATGAACATTTACTTAAAGTAAAATAATTGTAAAATAGTGAAGAATTGAAATTTATTCTTGTGTATTTTGTTTTTCGTAGGCCGGTGCTGCACATGCTCCCAGACCTGGAGATGAATTATCTCGACTTCCATTTGTTAAATCATGGTTTCGTACACGTAATGCGATTGTTTTCTATCTATCCAATGGAACATTACAGGTTCGATGAAATAATTTTAAGAAAACTGTCACATCATTTGTTTCTCATATATTTAGATTAACTTCTTTCAAGATCATACTAAAGTTATATTATGTCCCCTAATGAGTGCTGTTACCTACATCAATGAACATCGTGAAATTCGTACATATCGTTTACCGGCATTAGAACAATGTGGCTGTTCAAAACAATTATTTACACGTATAAAATATGCTAAGAGTATGATTGATCGAATTTTGGCTGCTAAAAGTAATCAAAATCGACTTCATTAAATGCAATGCATAGACCTAAGTTGTTCTAATATTTCTCTCAGCTGATGCAATTTTTTTTCTCTTTATTTTTTTCTCTTTTCGTGGCTTGTACTTTCGCGGTTTGTAATTTTTTTCCTCGATAATTCAATTCAATCGAATGAATCATGTTCACTTGTTGAGCTTATTTTTTTTTGTCTCATGTTGATTTCATTCTTTATTTCTCATTATTATTATTACTGATTGTATGTGTGCGCGTTTGTACGAGTCAGATATAAACCTAAAATACCATGAACTTAAATAGTCTTTATTTGCAGCAGCGACAGCGGCGGCAGTTGTGTGCGTAATATGTATCAGAAAACTGTTGATTCTTGTTCTTCTGCCTTTATTTTTTTTTCTTTCTATTCCATACTACATGTTTAACAAAAAAAAAACTAAATCTTTTTTTCTTCTGCATTGCATTTAGCAGACAGAGAGAGAAACTTTATTTAACAAAAAAAAATAAAATAATACGAATAGCATAGGAAAATAAACTTGTAACGAATTGTTACAATTGTGATGCTTTTTTGTTTAATTTTATTTTCTTCGAAAATGTTGGTTGCAACCTGTTGAGAAAAATAATCAATACTTTTGCTTCAATAGAAACAGGCACAGAATAAATCCTATTTGCACTTCTCTTTTCGTTACATTGACAAGTGTACTTAGTAGCTTGCCGTTAGCTTTCATTTCTCAAGAAGCACTTTATCGTATACATACGAATATGCGTATACCTACTGTCTTCTATCACGCATATGTGCCTGACCCTCTCGGCTGTCTGAACACGATGATGACTTATCGATTAATAACAGCGCTGAAATACATCTCACTTTCTTTATTTTTACATTGATTTATGCAGACATGACACGAAGAACATATTGTGTAGAACAAATACAATATTATCAAGGGCCAATGAAAGACAGGCAAAGAAATTTTTTACGGTCATATCGATATGTATCATGATTATTATGGAATATTTCTGAGTGATCTTTTTGCTCTCTTATAAAATATATGCATGAAAATTCAATGGTACTTCAAATCAATACTAATCATTTTTAATTGTTTAGAGAAATTCATGGTTCATATCTTTGTACGTTTTCAAACGACTTTATCCTCATGTTACCATATTATTTATACAACTCGATTATACAATTCATTTTTATAGTGATCATCTTAAATATTTCTTCACTTGAGATATATGTGACAGTACCTTATTTACATAACAAGCCTATTGAGTGATTCCTTATTCTAACTGTTACTTTTACTTATTGAATTCGATTGCTTTTTATCGCCTGTCTTTCATGTGAACTCATTATTGATTTAATCAACTTGAACACAACGGGAATAAAAGAACAGTCCAATTTCGGCAGTAAATTAAACTGAAGTAAAAAATCCAAAAGGAAAAGAACCTAAAATCTGAATCTTAATAATTCTAAACAATAGAATTGCTTATATCTCTTATAGCCAGATAATAATTAATCATATCTACTCTCCATCGTCTTTAAATTGCAAAAAAAAACGAAAAGATTGTCTGACGAGGCGAGAAACATGACTCATATATCTATGGGTTCTTTGTTATCGTATGTGTTTGTACCAGAGAACGAATCGAATCGATTCATTTTTTTTCCAGTTTCATTCGGCTATTTAAAATCATTTTCTTTGTTCTGGTGTTATGGTCGAGGGCAATTGACTAGTATAAAAGATAACGAATGAAATAGGACGTTCACTGTTTCTTTCTTTGTTTCTGTCAGTCGTATTTATTTAATGGTCATCCTTGTTCTGTTCATATCGTTATCATGATCAAGTGTATTTTGATGGGTATAAGAAATGATCACTTACAACGAGCGTTTCATCTTTCTTTCCTTATTTTTTTTTCGTTAGTCAATTTAGGCCCCAATCACACTGAAAAGTAAATTAACATTAGAGTTGAATTAAGCCATGTGACCGGTGCATTAAGAGTTAAGTAATATTTTAGAGGTGATTTTAACTCTTAATGTATCAATTAGATTACTTAATACGACTTTAACTTTATTCACATTTCCAGTGCGATTGGGGTCTTGATATCAACCTCTTTATTTATTAAGTATGGCTACGGTCAACTGTAAATATAGATTCATATACAGTAAATGATATTATTTTTCTTCGCTCTATAGAAAATAAACTTATTTAATTACTCTACTTAGATGTGTTCATTAATTTATATTTTAGGGATTTTTTCTTGAAAAAAATGAATAATTCTTATGTATATATTGATAAATTGTCTTTATTCAACATATGTCTATAGAAGAAGATCGACAGACTATTCTCATTCTAAAAAGATGACAGTCTGAAAGCAACAATACTATGCAATAGTGAATACCATGTTTTGTAAACCCAATTTGAGTCGAATCGAATTACAATTTTGAAAAACCAAAAACAGCTGAACCGAATCCGAATCCAGGTCCTTTTTAGGACGAATCGAATCGAATGGCACTTTAGTCATTCGTTTCGATCTCTGATCTGTACCAATCTAGTTCTTCCTTTTTTTCATCAAATGTTCATATATTTATTTTATTACAGAAAAAAAAGAGGAACAAGACTGCATAATCATTAAACAGTTCGAATTTTCTATTTTACGATAACAGCTTCAAGCCTGACAATCAAACGTACACATAAACACTGATTAATAGGATCATTGAAAATGACAGGCGAAAAAAAAACAACAAAAAACACTTATGTATAGAAATAGTATAAATTTATATATTTGAAAATTTTCTATATTTTTCTCCTTCCGCTGTGATTGAAAAAAACCAAAAATACATAAATGAAACGACATTTAAATCATACACATAAACACGTGATACAATACATAATATACTCAAAACAAAAAAAAAGAATGTAATGTTCATATCACAAAAGATCGAAAATTTTAAAAACTCAAGAAAACAAAATCCATTGCAAAGAAAAATAGTACGATCGTTCTACTGCTTTTCTTCATGAATGGATGTATTTTCATCTGTAGTAGCCCATGTTAAACGGTCTTCATAGAAACGAATGACATGTTGTGGGCTTTTAACATTAGCTAAAAACGAGAAATTTTTAATGGTTTAGTTGTCTTTTCATCAGATTCATACCAATTCTAGCTGGGACTAATTCTGGCTTATCGGTTGATTGCCATTTGATTCTGATTAAAAATAAAGTTTTGAATATAAATTTAAAAAAATTCTTCTCTTCGATTCTTACAAAAACATTAGTTCACCGTAGACATCAGTTGCTCCAAGAATTTTTTCGATTTCAAGCCCTCGTCCATAACCAAAATCATTTTCGCGTTTACTTTTTTTCGCTGCACCTGAAGCATCATGGCGCTGCTGGTGCTGCTCAGTACTATCTCGTGCTGATCGTTTAGTTGAATTATTATTATTTGTTACATTATTTTCAATTGTTGATTCATTTGAAGGCTTTTTCGATTGAACATTCGCTCGTTTATTAAATTCAGCAATTAATTCTGGACAATCAAGGTTCACTTCGGGTTCCTGAATTAAACAAATAAAATAAATCAAACGTTTATTTACTCTTTAATGAGTGTTTGCTTTACCCATGTATTTTCAGAATCGTCGAAACCTTTCCACTTTAAAAAATAATAAACTTCATTATTATTCATAAGTTTTCGATCAAGAATTTTTTCGACGATAAATTCTGCTTCTTCTAATTCTTCTTCTTCTTCAATAACATTATCAGGGTGCTTTCCCATTATTTAAATAAGAATAGACAATCAGATAAATCTAAATAAAAATGAGTTTTAAGCGAAAATAAATGTTACTGGTCGTGTGCAGTGTCGCGTGTGGTGCATGTTGCATCACGCCTGTATATAGGTTAGATTTTATTTTATTTTTCTCTTCTTCTTCTTCCTTCTTTCGTCCAACGTTATTTTCTCACACGAACAGACATACATACACACGTATTCTCTCTTTTTCTAATTGCTGGAGATAATGACGCATAAAATATTTATTTTTCTTTGATCAGTGAAACGTTTTCTACAGAATATCTATTGAAAAATGTTTACAATTATTAACTGTTGTGAAGGAAAGTTTTCGATGATTGTGCTGCTGCATGGTGATTAGTCAAAAGGTATTCTATGGACAGTTAGATCGATGTGTGTTAAAACCCTTCTATCGAAACGATCGCATTAAGAGGCACGATTTCATGTTGAAAAATAACTTGCGTCAGCTACTTTCTTATACGAAAGGGTATGCCGGGCTAGGCACGTAAAGACATCATTTGTTAGGTTTCACTTTGAATAGGTTAGAGAGGGAGAGAGAGAGAGAGAGAGAGAGAGCGCGAGCGATAGATAGTGTGTAAATGTCTCATTGTTTTCGGCGACTGAAAACAAAAGCCAAGGACAAAATTGCCTTAGGGGTTCTATCATTTTTAATCGTTTTGGATAATAGTCATGGTAACAAAAAGATTTTGCTATGTCAAATTCAATATAACAGTTGATTGTGTAGCAGATGTACAGTTTTTTTCGTATCCTACAAAGTCGTGTAGTTACTTTGTTTATCTATCGATGCATACATAAAAAAAATATGTAATACTAATTCAGAGCAATAATATTCATATTTCGTGTGAACAAGAAAAAAATCTCTAGTTACTCTAAGTATTATTCAAATAGAAAGGGTAACACACATCGCACAAGCATCGAGTCCTCGAAAATTGTTCTAACATAAAACAAGAAATGCACACCGATGATTTCGAATTCTATCTTTCTAATCTGTTGACATTGAAATCTAAAATGATGGTTGACCTATGACTTAATTCAGTTTTATACTTTCTCCAGTTCAAATCGCGTAATCTGCAAATAATGCTTTAAATAAAAATTCTAAAACACAATGTTAACTCACTCAAACATCCAAATAGGATGAAGCAATTCCATTCTGTGACATAGCATGCAAGTGTTCATAAATATTTTATTTATGATGTTGCTCTATTGTAAAACTGATTATGCGCAAATTCTCGTTGTTTAAATGGTTGTTTTTGGTTCTTTTCCAAGTATGTACGCGTGCAATTATCATGGATGTTATTTTTGTCAAATATGTCACAATGTTTTTTATTCTTATCAATATATTTATCTTTTCGTCTATTTATTGACTACCTTGCTTAGTAATCAATGATTCCTAATCATTGATGACTGGTTGTATGTATTTTGCACTATTATAGAAATAACTTCAAATGTTTTGGTTTGTGAAGAATCTTGTAGTCTCGTCTGACAAATTAATTCTATAGTGCAAACTAAACTGAATATTCAAGTAGATTAATACAAATCAAATCTAAATGATGCATATAATTTATGAAATGCTAAACATGAACTAATCAGTATATGAGAAGAAAATTAAAGAACATCTACAATTTCTAATGTTATGAAATCGATTACTATGATAAGTCGATTGTTTTTCGATTAAAAGATGTCTGTGGCATTGCTGAAAGTTGCTTTATTCTAAATCGGCCAATGATTTTTATCGTAGAATTCTTATCAATTGTTTTTCGAAATAATATTAAATGTTAAAAAAAAAACGTAAACGATGCGAAAGAATAATCTGCCTGATAATTTAATGTAAGATGACATAGTGTGATAAGATTTTCTAACTAACAGAGAGCAGTTTTTGTTCATAAAAATTTTTGTCAAAGCTAACAATTAACAATATTATTGTACAGAACACAGAATATTGAAAAAAAATAAGATATCTTAAGAAAATAATTCTAACCAAGACTTACAGGACTTCAAAGCAATTCAATTCCATTTGAAAAAAACAGAAACTTTGAAATAATGGTTATTACAGAATAAATTAGATAAAAGACTTCGTTTACTATTGAAATCACTATCTAGATTTGAGTCAAGTGTTTGGCTATAGGCAAAATTAAAACAAATCGTTGTTACATTTTCCCTCACCGCCTTATAGAAATAAATAAGTTCGAACTATTTTCTCTCATGGTTGACATGCTAACAGCTTCCTCGACTCGTATAGAAAAAAAACAAGCACTTTTACGGATGATATGTTTGAAAGTTTTTTCAAGCTGCTATGTCTTACGCGGATGATTGTAAAATAACTTTACTCCAATAAGAGTCGTCGGTCAATGTACACGAGTAGACAGTTGGTTCGTATAAAGCTATGCTGTACGGAAAGAAAAATAATGATTCGGACGAACGAAAAAAATTTGTTTAATGTTGTTATCTATAGTAATCGTAGTCAATCTACGTCACGCTTTATCTTGCTCCATGTGTGATCCTATTCTTTGTCTATGTCAAAAAATGATTAGACTATACGAACGAAGCTTATGAAGGGTCAAAATAATTTTTTATGCGTCGTTTAATGGTTACCGATGAACCTATGCATACGATAAAATTTTTCTTTCTACATCTGCCTCAAAATGACTGTGTAAAAAAAAATTGTTTTCTTTATAAAACGAAGTTTTCGCCAAGAGATAAGGATAACTATTAAATTCGACGATACTCAGTTGCCTCTTTAGTGCAACTTGAAAGCGCTGATGAGAGCAATATGATTTGCTGACGTCTTCATTGAATGTGTATCATGTTTTAAAATGATAACGAATATTCAGGAGTCTAATCTGATAAATTTTTATCCATCGATTCATACAATGAAAAGGTACATTGAATTTTTCTGATGTTGCAGAAATTAACAATAAATCTAAAGAATATTTTCGAATATAGAATGAGCAGTAACATTCTTGTTGTATTCTATCTTGAAAGTTGATCAAATTAAGCGTACATATAAATGATTTTCAGAAAATTTAAAAAAAATTATTTTTCTAAAGTGCCGCTAAAGCAGAATTGGAGTAAATTTTGTTTCTCGCTTATTTATATATGGTTTGATAGAGCTTGAAAAGCTGATCAAGAATATATACTTTTTATTTCGATTTAGTAACTGCCTGGCTGAGAAAATCTTAAGAAATGAGAACATCTGAGAAAAAACATATTTTTATGTTAAACTTTGTTTTTCTTACAAAAATTGCCAAATTTTTATTTCAGCTCTTTTCTGAGTATTGCCAANAGAAATTTGGTAGTTTTTGTAAAAAATTTAAATTTAACATAAAAACAGCATTTTTTCAGTCGTTCTTGTTTTTGAAGATTTTCTCAGCCAAAAAAAGATGAAATCGAAACAAAAAGTACATATTCTTGATCAGCTTTTCAAGCTCTATCAAACCATATATAAATAAACGAGAAACAAAATTTACTCCAATTCTGCTTTAGCGGCACGTTACTTTACGACAAGAACTCGGATGGATGTCTTGAATCCTGAAAAATTTCTATTGAACTTGGATGAGTTTTGATTCAAGAGTAGATGCCAATGGTGAAACATAACAATCCTGAAAAGTTCGAAGAAACTTCAGACTCGGATTTAAACACAAAAGCTCGCTATTTGACAGTGAACGCCCGGCAAGGCAACCTTCTAATATCGATTGGACTCATGTTATGGTTCTTTATCTTGCTGATTAACTAAACATATCATAACAATGTTTGCTAAGGAAAATATTTTACTTCTACATCAAATTAGTGTACACACTAATATTTAGTTTCCCTGGTTAACAGTAATTATTTACGAGTACTGTAATTTCATTATTATTATTTCTTATTAGGTCACTTTATAATCGAGATACCCATCTGTTTATCGTATTGTATTGTCCTTCTAGAATTATTTTATAGAAGTTCGACGGATATCTTTCTATATCCACAACAATTACGTTGTTGTTTATGGACACTACTTCAATTAAATTGTAATTGTCTTTCATGCCATTCTGGAATAAATTCGTGGTTGATAGCCATATTTTTACGTCTCCACTAGGGTCTAAAATCGTCCAATTAATATGTAAACTGGTATTACGCAATTGAACATTTGGCTTTATTAATGATACTTTTCCTGTCAATGGCACTCCATCTAGTTCTCTTTCAGATTCAACGGGAATGTTAAGACCGATCAATTTTGCAATTGTTGGATATATATCAACTATGGCAGGCTGAAAATCTTGAAAATAGCTATTCATTTCTTTACTGTTTGTTATTATCCAAGTCGTTTTTTCTCTAAGTGTCTGATCGCCATGGTCTGCGCCTGTTATCGGATCTCTACCATGATCTGTCGTTATAATAATTGACCAATCTTCTTTATAATTTTTCATTCGGTAATCAATAGCTTCCCAGATTTGTCCTATCTGACGGTCAGCATTGGTGACTGCTTGGTTAAACATTTCACTATCTCCAAATTCATGTCCAGCATCATCGGTAAATTGTAAATAAACCCATGAAAGATCAGGTCCATACGTTTTGATGCATGTTGCAGTTTCGTTAGTAACACGCTGATCGATATCAAAGATATATTGGGCTTCTGGATCATGAGGATAGGTAATTTCGTCGAATTCGTATCCATCGAATTTATAATCGAAAGTGATATTGCCTGCATCAGCTAATCCTTCACCAATTAGTTGAATACGATTAGCTGTCCAAGTTGAGAAAATGGCAATCTGTTTAGCAGAATTACTTTCTTTAAGGGCTCGGAAAATATTTTTGTAATGATAATTGGGATCATTGACACTATTATCGTATACATTGTGTTTATTAGCCCACGTGCCAGTCAGTAGATTCATATAACCAGGCGCTGAAATAGTAGGCGTTTGCGTATAATTATTATCGTCACCTCCAACATAAGCTCTTGTATAACCTCCGATTTGCTGAATCTTTCTCATGTTTGGAATTTCCACGGCAATATCTTCTATAACATCTGCAGGAATGCCATCCACAACAACAAATAAGATTTTTCGGTATGTTAATGGCTGTTTATCTGGTGTGTTGCCAAGTCTAGCAATAACAACTATTAATGCAATCAGACCGGCAATAAATACCAGGAATAAAATTACTAGACCAAGTATTTTATTCATTTTTGTATTATTACAAAAAAAATAAGGTTCCTTGACTATTGCATAATTTTCGTCCGAATCATCTTTCACTAGAATCATTTGACTCATGGCAAATAAAACGCGTTGTTTTCAGCGAGTGAGCCGATTATAATCTGAAATCGTGCACGCATTTAATTATTGAAAAAGATTATCTTGATTATGAATAAATTTCTTTTTGTTTTACATAGTGAAACAATGTAAGCTTAAAAGAAGCTACCGAGAAAAAGAGAAACATATGGAACACAAATTTCGATTATTATTCAATATTACTGACTGATTCATGCAATCAGAGATCGATACATCAAAAGGCAATGCAAATAATAGATTAGAAAATACATAAGTGGAACAGTTGGTGGATATTTCACTCAATTCATTGGTTCGGTCTTCATTAGTATTCATCAGAATGCTGCAATAGATTATCAAGCAGAGATGGGCAAGTCAGCCTTTTTTCCGACTCAAGTCAAGTCAAGTCAAGTCATAGTTCAGTCCAAGAAAATTCCAAGTCAAGTCAAGTCAAGTCATGTACCCAGGTCAATGATTCCGGAGGACGGATACTGTAGGAACCGGCCGGAAAGATGCGGAAAAATCACCGTATCTGGCCGGAAAGCACGGGAAAGCGCTGGANTGACTTGACTTGACTTGTTTTTTAAGACCAAGTCGCAAGTCAAGTCAAGTCATTTTTGAAAATTTCAAGTCAAGTCAAGTCAAGTCATGACTTACTTAAAATAATTTCAAGTCAAGTCAAGTCAAGTCAAGACTTGTTCAAAATAATTTCAAGTCAAGTCAAGTTATTTTTTAAAATTTCCTAGTCAAGTCAGAGTCAAGTCAAAAATGACTTGACTTGCCCATCTCTGTTATCAAGGCTTGGGCTATCTGTATGAAAATCGTATCGAGTACACATGATTATTAGACAAAAACACGTACTGAATTCTCAAAAACAAAAATCTTCAAATGTTTTGTTTTGGTAAATTTTAATAGTAGTTAAATTATTTTAATATATAATCGAAGTAATGTGAATCGATAGATTTTCTGGTGAATTTTCCAGAGAGAGTGAACTGTAGAAAAATTTGAGCTATCCGACTCGCTCCAAATACAAAAAAAAATCGAGCAATACCTACCTTATGATCTAATGCATCGGCACCAAATCATAGTAAGAGAAATCATTGACCAACTCTCCTTCGGCTGCACGTTCTCCGTAACGGATACAATTAAACTTATCCTTGCTTTTTTGCTCCTGTCATCCAATCTACAACTGTTTGCAGAACTTTTGGTGAAACCTGAGTTTTACCTGGTCTACAATTTTATGAGCAACTCATTTATAGTTCGATTTTATTTTTTACGATAAGCCAGTATATAACGCCTTGTCAAGAACGATCATTAAATGGAGGCCACGGTTTATAGCATTTGATTACTTGCATATTCATATCAACATTACAATCCTAAGTGGCTGTTAAATATTTTGTTACATGCTCGATACATCAACAGTATCAAATGTGTGTCACAGTCAATTCTAAACTTTTTTATCGATATTGCAACCGACTACGAATTTTAAAAAAACTTAGAACTTCATGTACCATAACTAGAGGACGTTCATAATTTTCAGATAGATCGAAAAACATTCTTTCAACAATTGATCTTTCGTCGAAACGTAGAAAATATGAATTTAAACCTCAATACAATATACATACTTTCAAATTTCATGCAAGAACATATGTATTACGATTGAAGTCTCGTAACTGATAAGTCGCTTTTGAGTCAAGACTATGTGTTCGTTGAAAATAGGTCTTTATTTAAAAAATAAAATTATGTTTTATTGGAGAATTCTATATACAGAAAGGTCAATGGTATAAGAGAAGATTTGTTTTATTTTGTTTTTTTAATTCGAACAAGTTGAATGTAGGCAAGGATTAAGTAGAACACGGCCATCCCTGTCAGAGCCAAAAAATGTTTCCACATGTCCCAATCTGTTGCATGAGAAAGATCCCGACTGTCAAGCACTTGCTCGCCCGTTAGCGGAAACAGGCAGCTCATATTCTTGGTTTCACAAAATGTTAAATTACGAAATTCACTGATGGTTAGAACATTTGAAGAATATCTGAAAGCACTGATCCATTGAATCCACGATAACCATCCAAAAACTGTCGCCAAATCGACTAGAAAACCGCTAAATACCATCATTATAACAAAGACAAGAACGACGCTGATGAGAGCAACAGCTACAAAAAAAAGTAGAGATAGATAATTATTCAATGTTGAGTGAGAGATACAGATAATTTAACATACCGAACATTGGAATACATGCAGCGGCAAGAAAACACAGAGCCGAACCAAAAACTGTTGACATAAAGATTGTTAAGAGAAAGACAAAGTATTGACCAGCTGTTCGATGAAGGCCACTCATAAAATATGCAATGATTGAGAAAATAACAGACGGTACAACACGCATTGGTAAAATATCACAGACGAGTTTAGCAATGAAGAAAGTCGACGTCCGATAATATCCACTTACATTCTCCTATTGATATTAACTCAAGCATAATGGATAAAATAATAAGAAGCAGCAACTCACATGAATAAAAAGAACTCGTTCTTTGAGCAACGGTTCGAGAGCAGTCACTGTACTAAAAACTTGGCTAACGGTAATGAAAAAAATGGCACCCAAACGATTCTGAACGCCCCTTTCCCTCGTTAGTTCCATATCATAAAATACCAGACCAACAAGAAAACCAAGAACAACGGCTACAACAGTTTGTGAAAGAGCCAATTGAGGATTTCTTATGGCATTTTTCAATGTTCGCTGCGCAACATAGTAGATTTCGCTTCTGAATGAACGATGTTCTGCATCCGGTCGTTCATCGTTTACACCATAAATTTCATCTTCATTTGGGTCCAGATCGGCAACTAGTTCCTCCATGCGAGCATGCATTGGTGAAGTAATATACGCTCTAGTCAATTTACGAAGAGATTCTTTCGTTTTCGATGCTTGAATTAGAACATCCAAAGCGAAATCAGCAGGATTATCATGTTTATGACATTGATAACTCTGTGAAGCAAAATATTTAACAAGCTGATTGGGTGAGCCTTGATAGATACATTTGCCTTTACAGAGGAGAACAGTAGTGTCAAATAAATTGAATATTGAAAAACGAGGTTGATGAATTGAAAAGATGATTGTACCTATTTTAAAATAAAAATCCCAAATCATATTTTAGATGTACGTATAATTAGATGACTCACAGCCTTGCCTAGACAATCGATGTAAACAGTTCATTACATTGCTGGCAGTCGATGCATCAAGACCTGAAGTTTTCTTATAGAATTATCTTTCTTTTATATTTCTCGTAAATACCTGTTGTAGGTTCATCGAGAAACAGAATTTTAGGTGAGAGAACCAGTTCCATACCAATACATGCTCTCTTTCGTTCACCTCCTGAAACACCTCGCAAAAATTCAGTACCTATGCGAGTATCGGCACATGCTTCAAGTCCCAACTGTGTAATGATTCTATTGACACGGTCTTGTCGTTCTTCCTGTGATACACTGGTTGGCAGACGAACGTTAGCTGAAAATATTAGATTCTCGCGGACAGTTAATGTTCCACTAATAATATCATCCTGAACCACGTAGCCAACCATATACTTGACAGAAGATGGCAAGGGCAATCCATCGACAAGGACTCGCCCTGATAAACCACGAGGATCTTTTCGTGCTGCTAGAATGTCTAGAAGTGATGATTTTCCACAGCCCGTTGGACCTTAAATTAGAAAATGCAGAAGATTAATTCAGCCCAATAGCTTTAAAAGATCATGATACATAGAAATTAATTATTCTTGGGATGAATTACAGATCTGATATTGAACATTGATGTAAAAATATTAAAATACGTGCTGACGTTATATAGCTACACACTATCAATGAACAAAACGTTTTCTCTTACCAAGAAGGGCATTCATGCCCGGTCGAAATTGACCGGAAACATCGAAAAGAACTTGCTTAGTTCTATTTCTTTGATGCTTCCGACCGCCAGAAAAGGACACATTACAGCTTTGACTGTTGCCACTCTCAACCGTATAATTGATGTTGTGAAAAGAGAGTGACACAGGAGCAGGCTGATTGTTACCATCACTTCTCAATGACAATCGACTCGAAGGAATTGGTGTTCGCCTAAACACATAGATATCTTTAGCAGATTCTCTCGTAGAAGTCATTGATGAAAATTTTATTTTGAAAATAATAGCAATGACTATGTCCGCCCCTGTGATATGAAGAATTGAAAAAGGAACAGGACCATGTACGTTCTTTATAAGAAATGAGTACCAAAATCCTTTCGGTACCAATAGAAATCTTCAAGGAGCAAGTTTTATGTTTTTTTGATTGAATTTCGATTTACCGCATTTTGAAGAATCTTCGACTTGTCGAATATTGAGACTGGGGAAATCTTTTACAATCGTAAATAAAAGAATCTTTGATTTTGAATTGCAATCTGTCTGTTTTGAGAAACTCGGTTACGAGTTCACGTTTCTGTCGATCAACTAATTACACTATTAGTGATTCTAGAAATTTTGCAACCTTCAAGTTTTCATAGTCATGCTTTTTTTCAATTGACTCATGCAAGTGACGTATCCTTCTTTGAAATTTTTATAAAAAGCGTTACCAGCCCGAAGCAGAGCCAATTTTCAAGGATCAGTTTCCCTCTGAAAAATTCTCCGAGGAATTTTCAGTGTTTGGATATAATTTTCTTTCTCACAAGATTCTATGACTATAAGTTGGAAATTCGAACGTTCAAATATACATACCTCGTTGATGAACCACTTGTTCTCGTTATGTTAGAGCGACGCATTACTAAGTCTCGCCGTGATGGTCGATGCTTCAAAATAAACAGTTTTATGAATTATCCACAAGTTTAGCTCCTTACTTCATCTTCGTCGTCGTCATCGTCTTCTACTTCTTCTGCTTCCGCTTTTAGGTTTAATTTTTCCCGGCAGATCTTGTTGATTTTCGAACGATACCGATATAAAAAATATCCACTAATGATAACTACAACTCCAGCAATTATTGAACAAATGACAATAGCAGCAATGGCTCCACTCGAAAGGGGACTGCTATTCTTCGGTGTTGTCATTGTTATGTTAGAAGTTACTGGAGAATCAGTCCAGGCTATGCTACTAGGCAAAACAGTCGTTGTGCTTAAATCAAACCAAACAGCAGTCTGGTTATTATCATTGAATATATTACTGGTTGTCTAACATCACAGGGAATTTTATTGATTTTACAGCATCATTCGTAACTTACCATGTCAACCATCGTCTTGTGACTACAGTACGTTTATTCTACGAGGTTAGAATTGATTTGATTTGGAAAGAACACACGCTACTGGAAAGTCTGCTTATACGCATATGCATGTCAAACACATGGAAAGATTCATCTACCTACCTCAATGTCCGTCTCACTTTAATACTGAGCGAAACCTAAATGCTCTCTTTATAAATAAAACGGTATAATACCCGAGAGATAAGATAATCGAATATGTTGATAATTTTCTTTTAGTAAATATTTAAATATTTTTAAAGTGGAAGTGCATCAAGAATGTGTACATAGAAAAAAAAGGGAAGTAGCTACGCCGATAACATCTCTATCAATATACGAAGATGATAGAGTAAAAGTGTGCGGAAGTGGAGGACGAGGACGCTAAACGAAATAAAGTATAACGCATTTTGACTGTGCGCTATGAAAAGTAGTTAGCGTATCACTAGCTTTTTTTAAATATGTGGAGCTAGATTGCTTTTGAAAGTTCAATCAGCGTCTTTCAATTAGCGAAAGAAGTTTTAAAAATGACTTGTGTCTGGATTTTGGTGTTAAACTAAATTAAGAAAAAAGCATTCTTTCATAAAACTGTTTTCTTTTGTTCGATTGATAGGGAAAGTACGTTTGAATCATTGCTCGTTATCTTATATCTATAGAGTTCGAGGGTGCAACGTAGGCGATTGTCTACTACCGCTTTCTAACAGCAAGCAGAATGTGAAGGAGAAAATTATACCTGAAATGTGCCAATCACTATCAGTGAAAAATGCAGTTAAATATTTTGTGTTTCTTCGTATTATAAATCGTCGTTGGGATAAATTGCTATTTTACGTCAAATACGATTTTGTTTCTTACTCTTCATATTAGACCAATGATATTTATCAATTCATGTGCGATTTCCACGAAAGCACGGCAAATTAATGAAAAAGCAATATTTCTGCTGCCAAGGTTGCAGACATATTTTTTGTTCTGAAGGTTTTATAACCTCTGGAAAATCGGTTCAACTAATTTCTTGCGCACAATTTTGCGCTAGATATTGCCCTGACGATATTCCATTGCAGCGCTCTATGAAAATCCAGAAGTAGTGCAAAACTCAAGCTGGCGGGTCATTTCTTAGTTGAAAGAAAGATGCTTGTCGTTACAGATACAAATATATTTTCAATGATCAAATTAGTAAATAGTTTTTGTTCCAATGAAAACCTAATGACTGAATTCAGTCAAGTCAGACAGATGATAAAACGAGAAAAGCCGATATTTTTCGTAGTTTAAATATACTCTTAATTTGTATAGTTCCGAAATTGTCAAGAAAAATCTATGATATAAGAACAAGTGTTGATCGCTTTGTTTCTACAATGAAATCGGATGTTAATATTTTCTTTTTTTTATTTGATTCTCAAATAAATATAAACAACACAGTTAAATTGTCTTTGTTTTGTTATATACACAGATGTTTATGTATCCATGGTAGTAGGTTTTGATGCGCTCTTAGATAAATATCGTTTGAATGATTCATCTTCTCGTTCGAAGTCGTTGTTATTCTTATCATCGTCGTCATCATCGTCGTCGTCACCATCATCATCTTCGTCTGTTTCTCCATCGTTATGCATATCATCATATCGAATACGTTTTTCACCAATAACACTTGATTCTTGATTTAGATCATCTTTTATTCGTTTTAAATCTTTGTCACGTTTATGTGTTTCACGTTTTGCTCTTTTTTCTTGCCATTTATTATACTCAACTTTATAAACATGTTCATATTCATCGCATGCATCATCGATAGCTTCGAAAAATTCTTTACAACCATCACCGGTAATGGAACTAAATCCAACGCAACGTAAATTTGTATAAAATTCATCTAATACAAGACTTAACGATCGACATAGATCTGTCGAATAGGAATGTTCTTGTTCGATAGCCGATTGAAATAATTCAAAATCATTCATCCATTCAAGTGCAAAACGATGATGTATTATATCAGTTTTATTTAATACGATTATAAATGGTAAACGATATTTATAAAGTATTGATACAGCATAAAGCATATTTGACATAAATGTTATCGGATTCGATGAACGCGGTGTATCCATGATATACACAATGACAGTCGGATAGGTTGCGCCTAGTGCTTCAGTTATAATAGAACCCGATGCTGACCATGTGAAGACTTCAATTTGACCGGGCGTATCAAAAATAAAATAACGATGTTTTGTTTGATTTTTCTCTAATAAGGATAGTAGTTGGTCAAATGTCGTTGCGAATAAATTTAATGATGTTACAATGGCACCATTGGGTCCGAGACTATATTGTTTCATAACTTGTTTATAATTCACTGTATCGCGAATATCAACATTACATGGATATGGTAATTCATGAACGGCTGGATCAAGATTAATAACATAAGGTGGCATTTTTTCAGTGTGTAAATGTGCATTTATACGTTGTATAAAAGTTGTTTTTCCTGAACCTGCCATACCAAGTACGAGTATACATACTGGGAGTTTTGGTTCAGTACTTGCACTTGTGGTTGTTGTCGTTGGTGGTGGAACAGCAGAACTTGCTGCCGATTCTGTTTCCATCTAAAATAAAATAAAATGAATACAATGAAAGATTTTTTATGAATAAATAAGTAATGACGTCGTTAAAACGGAAGAGAAAAGTAAACAATAGATATGCTATAATTCTTTAATTGATCACGAAATAAATCATTTAGAGAAAAATATGTATCATAAAATGAAAGCAATTCATATTCCATGTCAAAAACTTCGAAACGACCATTTTTCTCGCGTCAATAGACAAATTAATTTCTTTTTGCTAAATTTTTATATCCATTATGAGCTAAGAAAACTTGATCTTTTTTGTGGTTGTGATATTTTCTCAATAACCATTTATTTGTTTTCTTTTTTTATGAAGAGAAAAAATCAAACAACCAGATAAAAGAGCGAGCGCAAGTCTGCAAAAAAGAAACAAACAATAATTTCATAACAATATAATGGTTGAATAGGCTTATAGAGTAATATAATGATTCTTTCAAAAAACAAAAACAGAAGAAAAAAACAAAACAAACGAAATCAAACCGAACACACTAAAAGAAGCAGAGCGCGTACAACTAGCAAATCTTTAACTTTAATCTCTTTTCTTCTGTTTGAAGGCGCCTACATATGAACGGATAATCATTCTCAAAAAAGAACAAAAAAGAATTCCAATAACAAACAAAGAAATAACGAAACCAGACTATAAAAAGCCTCATAGACAAGAGCACACGATTGATATAAAACGATAGATGATTTGCTTTAAAAACAAAAGAAGAACTCCTCTCATGTGTACACATATAATAATAAATCAAAGAAAACAAAAACAGAAGTAAGCCTCGATAAGGTAAATAACAAAGCAGTCAAGATCGTTCTAGCATACGCAAGCGTACATATAATAGAGTTCGACGAGACAAAAGTGATAAGAGAGATCAAAGTTTTTGTTTTAAACTAGTTCATTAACAATCCATAAGGAAGAAAAAAAAACAGCATAGTTCAACCAAAACAAATGGTGTATATACACATAATGAGAAGAAAAACAGAAGACAAAAAAAACTCATGAGAACAAAAAACAAAATGTTATAGTATTGCATAATGATAACCGATAATTCACCCTTGAAATTTAGTTTTGTCTCGTACTTTCTAATCGATACAGAAGTCATAACAAAAACCCAATAAGAATAAAGACTAATATGTTTTATATGAGTAGATGAAGAAAAACACGCAAAGAAGAAAAAAAAAGACACTGAAGTAGAAAATAAGAGAGAAGGTAAGAGTGGGAAGAAAAAGAAGGCTTTTTTCTCTAACAAGTTAGACAATTTGAGCAAACATGGACAAGTATATAAATAATGTTTGGAGAAAAAGAGAACAAATCACAGTTTTTCGACGTGACACTAAGGACAAGACATACGAATAATGTTTCTTTTTATTTCGAATTGTGTCGCTCTTATTTGTTTCGTTTTTGAGGACCCCAGATAACTGGTACTGTATTCACTGTTGTTTGTTGCACTTGCGATGAATTATCATTTGCTGCTAATGGAAGCCCATTACTGATTGATGGATATTCGCCTAAAATGAAATATAGAGATTACTTTTACCTATGCAAATCATTGAATCATTATCGAATAAGATTAATTTTATGAATAGTGTTCGGTTCAAAAAGTTAAGATATTATATGTAGAATTTCTAAATAAGTTATTCTCTTAATTTAGCAGAGAAAAAAAAGTAAAAATTTTCTCATATTATTGATATTTCAAATTATTTAGCAAGCAGATGATTGTTACTTCTTATGAAGAGGCGTTTGCTGACTATTACATTTTCAAGAAGTTCAAGTATTCAAACTCTTGCAGACAATAACTTTAGATTGAATTAGATTTTTCCATAGATAAAGAAAAGTCTTCTATTATGTGTGGGCTCACTTGTATTCTGGTGAATACGATACCTATCTCTTGTATGTCAGCAAAATAAATCTGTAGATAGGGAACTCATTATGTCAAGTGTACCCAAAAATTATCATTCGTATTGCATTCTCAATTATCTTCTGTCTTCACATACTTAGATTTATTATTTCTGTAGTGTGTTTCCTTGGATACTCGATGACATCTACTATCATCATCTCATCTAATAGTCCTGTTATCTTAATAGAAGTTCTACAGATTATTGATAAATATATGTGCCTATATAAACATTGCCCTAGAGTGTCAAAAACCTCTTATTTGGTTTTGGTAATGGTGTGACTTCGTCCTTAGGAGAAGCAAAGGCAGACATAAATTTGATTCGTCTTACCCAGATCATCTAGTTTAGGTGCCATAGATGTTGATATTTTCGTTGAATTATCATGTCCATTACGTTGTCGTGAATGATCACTGGATTGATGTTCATTTCCATGTTCTTTTCCATTAGTCCATGGTGCATTTTTAACTTGAAATGGGGCTTGTTGTTGTTGATTTTGTTTTTTATTTCTATTGATTACTTTAACATTACTAACAGCTGGTGTTTCTTGTTGTTGTTGTTGTTGTTGTTGTTGTTGTTGTTGAGTATTTGTTGATTGTTGACCTGATGACTCATTTTGAATTTTCACATTCGGTGCTCGATATGGAAGATCTTGAAGAAAATCTTCTTCTAATAATAATAAATGATCAATACAAGCATCAATTTTATCTTGGTCTAAACCAATAACATGTACTTTATCGGGTTGATTATGAGCTTGAAATTTAATTTCAACTTCATATTCTTTTGTAATTTGTTGTAATTTTAGTCCACCTGAACCAATTATACGTGAATGTATACGTGGATCAATTTCAACTTCCATTGTTATTTTAGCTTCAAAATCTTTAATTAATTGTAAAATATCATCTCGACATGCGCCAATTTTATCTTCATAACCAGTTACAACTATTTCAATATCGGACGAATCATTTGTATCATTGGATACTGAAGTATCTTCTTGTGATGTTGTTTGTTGATCGTCTTTCTGTTGTTGTTCTACTTGTTCTTCTTTATTATTTTCATCCTCATTATCAGCGGATGTTGGTACAGCGGTTGCTGGTTGATTATTACTAACATCGATTCTAACATCATGTTTTTGTCGTAAATTACTGATTGTTTTACCACGAAAGCCAAATATCAATGAACGATATTGAGGTTTAATGGTAAAACGTATTTCATGTGAACGAGCTTGTTTATCGACTTGATATTTTTCATAGATTTCAACTAGTTCATTTTTAATACCTTCAACTTGTTCTTGTTGACCTTTTAATTGTATAGTATTTTGTGATGAATTTGGAGGTGGAAATGTAACATGAACATCGGGATATTTTTTAGTTAATAATTGTAAATTGCTACCACTTTTACCAACTAGCATACCATGTGCTTCGAACGGAATATCAACTGAGCTTTCGGCTGGGATCATTTTTTCTAGTGCTTCCATGGCTTTATCAATATCTTCCGAACGACCAATTAAACGGATAGTATCTTTTTGTTTTTCATCTTCAGCTGCTGTTGTTGGTGTTGCTGTTGTTGTTGGTTCTTGTTCCTCTTTTTGATTGTTTCCACGTGGTGGAAATTTAATTTGAACATTATATTCTTTTTGTATCGGTTGAATATATGTGCCACCTTGTGCAAGTAAATAGCCATGATGACGATGTGGTATTGTCATTTCTTTCGTGATTGTATTTTCCCATGTATCGATTAATTCTTCTAAACGTTTTCGAACTTGTTCGAGAACTTCCTTTGGCCCACGTAATAAAACCTGATCGGAATTTAAGCTACGTTCGGGCAATTTAATTAACATTTCACCATATTGTTGTTGTAAATCAGTTAATAATTTACGACGATTTTGAAAAAATCGACTATGCCACTTAGGATCAATTGTAATGTGTTGTTCAATGGAATTTTCCATTGATGTATTGATTTGATTAATATGTTCTTCAAGTACTTTTCGTCCTTTGTCAACATCTGGTTTTTTACCACTTAAACGAATATGTGTTGAGTCTTTATTATCGTCGATGGACGGAATATCAATTCGTACATCGGGGATTTTTTCACGTAATCGTTGAATATTCGCACCACCTTTACCAATTAACATTGGATACAAACGTTTTGGCACATCGATTTCTGTTGAATAAAGATCTTTGATTTTTTGTTGTAGAATTTTTGAACATTTTTCAACTTCATCTTTATCACCATGTATTTTAACTTTATCACTTTTGCCGTTTGCTTCGGGAAATGTTATTTGTATATTATGAAATTTTGAACGAACTTCTTCTAAATTCTTTCCTTTTGCACCTATTATTTGTGGATAATATTGAGGATCAATTGTTAGATCAGTTGTTCGTTCGTTTGCCTAGAAAAGAGAATTCATTTTTTAGTTGTTTTACAACAAACTATCATGTAAAAATAAGAAGTCATATAAAATAAATGGCATTAATCCATAGCCTTGAGCTTTACCTGGAACAACAACAACAACAACAGCGTCTCGTATTCGGTACATATGAAATGTACCTTTACAAAAGAAAAACGAATTCGACTGGATTCTATCTAATTCTGCATAATAGAGAATGGCAAGTTGGCAGTGTCGGAAATTCGAAATTATCAATAAGAATACTATCAATTTGCGATGTTTCTTAGAAACTAATTGATATCTTCTCTCTACAAACAATGTTAGCTGAAACAGAAGGTGAATCTACTTGATAGATACTAATAAATCTCAAGGATAGTCATAACATAATCATCATGTAATACTGACCTTTAAAGTAAAATTACCACCGACGAGGGAACATTTCCAAGTGATTCGCATCGTTTGGTCTCATATTTTGCTCATAGGTACGATCCAATGAGACTAGGAAAAGCCTAAAAGATTTTGTGCCCTTAGGCTTTTCCTTCGAAGTTATGATCATTTTACTGAATTCTCGACCTGGGCCAAGAGATTTATAGAAAAATTGAATAAAGGAATTTCGAACTGAAATTTTGTCTAACAATAGGTCACATTGGTATTAGAAAATTGTAAAGCTTTCAGTTAAAACTGATGCTTTCTTTTAGAGATATTTCAGATTGAAGAAAACGGCCATGGCTCAAAAATTATCGTAAATTGCCTTTTCTTCAATCTGAAATATCTCTAAAAGAAAGCATCAGTTTTAACTGAAAGTTTTACAATTTTCTAACACCAATGTGACCTATTGTTAGACAAAATTTCAGTTCGAAATTCCTTTATTCAATTTTTCTATAAATCCCTTGGCCCAGGTCGAAAATTCAGTAAAATGGTCATAACTTCGAAGGAAAAGCCTAAGGGCACAAAATCTTTTAGGCTTTTCCTAGTCTCATTGGATCGTACCTATGAGCAAAATATGAGACCAAACGACACGAATCACTTGGAAATGTCCCCTTGTGAGTCATTTTTACGTCAGTATTCGAACTAAAAACAACTACACAAGATATCGGCTTGTTCTTGGTCTCTATCTGATCAAGTACTAAAAGAAAAACTATTACAACTCTGATTACAATAGACAAACACAAGATTTTACATATTTTTTTCTGCGAAAAGAATTGTATTTCATCGAGACAATCAAAACGGAAAAAATCTTACCAATTTTTTCACTCGTTCAGTTAATAATTGTTGTGCTTTTTCTACACTTTCTTTTGTACCAATTAATTTAACTAATCGACCATCCTCAAATGGAAACTTAATATCACATCCAGTTTGTTCTTGCATTTCATGTAAACGCGCTTGACTTTTTCCAATTAATTGTTTATAATGTTGTGGATCGATTTCCATTTCTGCATAAGTCGTGTTTTTAGTTTTATATTCCTCAACAACTGCTTGTATTTGACTTCGTACGTGTTCAGCTTCTTCTGGTGGTCCTTCGACTGCAATATGATCATCACGAAATGATATTCGTACATTTGGATAAGTTTTTCGTAAACTATCCAGATCAATTTTACGTTCGCCTTTAACAGCACTTTGCATCCAACGTGGTGCATCGATATGGGCGGCAGTTACTGCATTAGCCTAATAGAAAATAAAAATATTTCCTATGAAATAGGACAAAATATTGTTGATCTACCATTTTATAAATCATTGTGATAGCTTCACCAATTTTAGCTGTTTCACCCATGACTTGAATAGTTGTTGATTGTTCTTCTTGATTTGGTACACGAACAATAACATTTGTTTTATCGAAAATTTCCTTTAAATTAGCAGCTTTCTTGCCTAATATAAAACGATGTTGTTCACACGGTATTTCAAGAGGAAATGTCATTATTTTTCCTTCCTACAAAAGAAAAATGATAAAAATAAAAAAATTTCGTTTTCATTTTCGTTTGATTTCTTGTTACCAAAGATTTATAAAATTGAAGAATTTTTGCTTTAGCTTGTTCAACTGATTCACGTTCACCACGTACTGTTATTTCATCGGTTTGTTTAATTGGTGGTGGTAAATCGACAGTTACATTCAATTGACGATGTAAATCCTCAACAAGTAAATTACGTATCCATGGATGATATAAATATGGAATTGATAGACGTTCAAAGCCTTTATTAAATTGTGTATGATATAATTCAAGAATTCTGTGTTCACATAATTTAACATTATCTTTTGCACCTAAAACAGTTATTGCATTTGATGGTTTATCTTGTGGCGGTACTGTAATACGTGTTAATGTTTCTTGTTCTAATTGTTTTAATGTTGCACCTTTTGGACCAATTATAAAGCGATGAAAATCTAATGGGACATTAACTGATAGTTGAACCGGTCTTTGAATTTCGCGAACAATTTGTACTTGTGCTGCGCGTACATGTTCCGGTCGACCTGTGATTGTCACTATTAATGTTTGATCTTTATAAAGAAACGTTATATTTGTAGCTAAAAAAACAACATCAAAAATTGTTTTTTCAAAAATCTGTTGGCTTTTTCTTACAGGTTTCTTTTTGAATTCGAGCACAAAGCTTTTGTATTGTTTGTCCACTATTATTATTATTAGCACCAGCATTGCGTGATGATTGGTTACCTGTACGGCGACCACTATTATCCAAGGCACGTTCCTCTGGAGGAATTTCAATCTGTTAAAATAAAATCATTTCATCAAAGCTTCAATTTATATAAAATAATTTTATTGAGATTATACATCCTATGAAGTATGACGCGTTACGATCACTCTGAATGCAATGTATGCACATAAAAACAAGTCGAATATACGCTAGAAGTTTTCTTATTTAAACAATATCAGATTGTGAATATCGAGTAGTTTTATGCATCTCAAAAATGGTAAGACTTGATAAATATTGTTTGCCTTTTTTTCTTTGCAATCAAGTGTCGATATTAGTATGATAGACTTGAAAAAAGTTCGTATACTATATTTATTTTATCTCTGAATGTTCGCACTAGACATCAAGTGATAATTTTAGGTTTAATCGGAATTTTTGTATAATTTATAATTGTGATAAACGGTAATGTCTAGTCTCCTATTAAAAAACAAAACCTTTATTATAACCTTGAAGTCAATGTGACACTTTTAGTCTCGTACGAATTAATTAATCGTATTAAAGTGTTGTTGTGTGATCGATGAATTTCGACAAGCGATTACAAATGATATTAAATTTTTCTTATGACAAGACATTTATTGCTAACTATTGACTACAAATGTCACCGTATCGAAAGAGTGATAAGTTTATCGTTTATACAATAACAAAAAAAAAGACTTACAATTTTAGTTGTGACTGATGATGCATGAATAGCCATTTTACGACGTCGGTCTTCATCAGCTTTAGCTGTTGAAAATAATGATGTTGTTGTATTACCCATGGCACCTGTTGAATTATTTCCATTTGATGATGAAGATGGAAATGATGTTGAAAAAAACGTATTCGAACGATTAATATCAACATGTCCAGCAGCAGATATCAATTGAGGAAATGCTTCATTATAATCCGGCACCTCATCAATTTCAAGTTTCTTTGATACTGACGATGTTTTTGAAGCGATTCCAGTTTCTCTTAAATTATTGTCATCCATTGCCGTGGCCATGATTTATTCAGTCCTAAATAGAATAAAATTTTAAAAAACATAATCCTACGGAAACAAAAACAAAAGACGACTAAAATATTTTATTACAATGAATGTGACTCTTTCATTCGATGAAGAAAAAAACTAAAGAACAAAGTCAATACAACAACAAATGTGATGCATACACACACACACACGCACACATATATATCTACACACACACATATATAAATAGAAGAGAAAGGGACAAAGAACAAAAAAAATACTCGTTCGAATTTAAACACAATACTATCGATTGTTCATCTGTAGAAGAACAAAATCTTTTATTCTGTCTTTACATACACACGCACACATTAAATGAATGTGTAAGGCCCATATCATATCAATAGAAGAAAGCGCACGAGCGAAAATAAAGATGCATAGAAAAAGAAAGCACTAAAAAACATCTGTTTGCAGCGACGACGAATAAGGTGGCGACCGACATTCTGTTTTTATCTTTATCTGCAATGAGAACAAAAAGAGAATGATAATTGAATTTCTTTTTCTTTCGTTCTATCGCTCGAAACTTTTTTTTTCTCTATTACAAAGCATTTTTTTCATTGTTAATATCATAAAAAATATCTGCTTGGTGTAATTTTCTATTTAATATAAACCATCTATTAAATGCGCCGATATCAATAATTCTTGCATCTCGTTTTAAATGTAAATACGAACATACATTCTCATAAAACTTAAATGAATTATCATTCGTTCGATGTTGAGTTCTATAAACCACTAAGGAGAAAAGAAAACAATCAACAAAATGTATTTTGTCACATGATAATAATTGTTCAACGGTATCAATATAAGTTTCAACATTTTTATTACGAATAAGACTTGATGTTAAGATTTGTTGTTGACGTATATCTACTAAATGGTCTCTATACGTTTGCAATGTTGGCATTGTTTGATAAGCATATACAAGTAAATATACATTTGAAGAGTAAAACAGTGTTTTAATAGGATGTTCAACCATTTTTCTTCCAGTATCAATTACTGCATCACGATAATCAAATGAAAGTTGTTTAAGATGTTTATATACAGCGATTGATGGACGTCGTATTAGCAGATCTTTCGCTTTGACCCAAAAGGCCATGATTTTCTTCGTTGAGTTAATAATAATAAAAAAACGGGAAAAAATAATAATGGAAAATCTCACCTGAATAGAGATTGAAATAACGAATGTATCAAATGCGAGAAAAACACGAGTGTATAACTAGAGATAAATAGGTGATCTTCGCGTAGAGAGAGAGAAATAAGGACGAAAAAAATGCGTGATACGCGTACAACAATTTTAGCGAATGTCGTCACAGAATCTAGGAAGGAAAAAAGAAAAATTGCAAAACCTTAAAAATTTTAAGGGAAATATGTGAAATTTTTTATATTTTACTTTTTTAAATGATTGAAATAATAAAATTTGTATTTTTAATTACATAGAAAAGCGACAGTCTAAGTGATTTATGCACATGAATAAATGAGGTCAACAACAATGTTTTTCATTGGTTACTTAACAGCGAATAGATCGTGAGTACCTATTACGAACAAAATAATCGGAGAATTTTCATTGAAACAGTTTTACATGAGATAAAAGTTGCGTTGATATCTGAGGGTATTTCCCTATTTGAGTTAACACACATCTGCAAAAGTTTAAAAACAGTCCCCAATAGCGATACGCAAATTAATTTTAGATTTAATGAAATTTCAACTGTCGAACAACATGGTGAATTACACCTCTGAATAGTTAGAACAAGATTAGAAACTCAAAGATTTCTGCAATTAAAATTTTTACATCAGATTGAAGCCGTAGATGAATTAAAATTTCTACTGAGATATTTTTAAGGCGAATTTTTTATTGATGGATATGTTCGAAGTCAAATTCTTTCGCAAAGAAGGTAACAACTCATTGTGTTAATCGGCATGAAGAAATGAAACTCACGCAGCACTCTCAAGAATAAGCGTACCATTGGGAATTTAAATTACAATAGATTGAAATCAGTTTCAAGGTTTCGCAACCTTCCTATGAAATCTATGAAAGAGTTTTCGAAAAATGACCCACAAAGCTTTTATTAAGCTTCGTAATGTTTAAAAAACCGGCGTTGGCTCAGTAAAACACTTTTTTCTTGGATATAGTATGATTGACTACATAAATATGTCTTTCATTTATCTAATTTCATATAGATCACAGTTGCCATGTTATAAATGATAAGTATATTTTAGATATCAGTCAAGTTAAAATCAATGATACACACGAGATTTGTGCTCTACAATGCTATTGCTTGATCTTATATTTATGCTATAGATATAAATTTTTAAATTGCTTATCGAAAAATCTCATCAAAGGATTAATTAATCGTACTATAAATTTTACCTTATTGAATAGATTATATATGGATCAGAGAAAAATAAAAAATTGCTTGTTCTCATAGATAGTTTCATTTTTCTAAATTATGATTTTCCTTCGCAATAAGCTGTTCGATAAAGTGTCATACTGTCGCTCTCCCAGGTGTTTGTGATAGTCGACTTTTGAAATCGAACTTTATTTAAATGCAGTTCTCAATTCTGATGTTCTCTGTGAGGCTAGTCGCTGTGTCAGTATTTTGAAAACTATGAGTTGCAAAGAAGCAAACATCTATTTTTCATATTCATATCGAAGAATAGGAACTATAGGGAAATCTAATACCTACATTATTATCTAATTCCATTGAGAAATATAATACCTACATTATTATCTAATTCCATTGAGAAATATTTTTTATGGAACTCGTGAACTTAAATGATGATACGCCGGGAAGTGATTGAAGTCCTTGCTTCGAAAGTTTTTCATTAAAAAGATCACATTTTAAAAAGGAAGAATCTAACGATAAGATAAACGCTAACAAAATAGCCAGTCTATCGTTTGAAGAACCTTCTCAGTCAGCCTAATCTACACGTTTCAGTCACCTACAGGGGGAATTTGTTAAAACAAATTCAGCATCTGTATAATGTTCTCATAGGTGATTTTAATCGGAGTTTTATCACGCACGTACCCGTGAACCATACTTCATCCAATGAGAAATTCTAGTCGATGATTACTTTTTCAGCTATATACTACGAATGAAAATCTTTACGCCTATGTAAAACGGAATGGATTAAAACAAATATTATTTACGGTTTGTTAAAATATTGTTCTAACAATCGTTCGACGGTGTATATGCACTGTAAAAAATTGTTTTGATGTATAGGTATCTTTTTACGTGTTACAAATAAATGTAGAAAAAGATTCTATCGACAAAAGGAAATATCGGCGTTTACAATAAATCCAATGAATCTTTTATTTTGATCAGAAATCATGTGTTATTTTTTGCATGATTGAAAGTTTTGATTTGATCTGATCATTTTTGTGATTGAAATTGATGAATAAAATGCTGGCTATTAAATTACACGGCTGTTTAGTTGCCTTTAGTGATTTACAGATGATTAATTTGAGACTTAGCTTTTCAAAACGATATGAAAAATATGAATCACTGTTAGTCAACACATCTGCTAAATTTTTCTGTAATGAAAACATCAAAATATTCATCAGTGATGTTGGTATGAAGTTTTTGGCTTTTCAAAATCTACTGATGGGCACTAGAAGCTACTAACTATAATCAAGCTTTTCGATTCATTCCGAATATCTATTCAGAAGTTTCTTCTGTAGTAATACTCGATACACATTATCATCATCATCATCATCATCACATTGTCGTGTGTGGCTCAATTTTTCATAGCCAAGCTAGCTTTACAAAGTGTACTATTCAGTTTTTCATCGCAGATTTTTAAAATTTTATAATTTCAAAAAATGATTTGGAAAGATGAAGTTTGATTTCGATAAAAAAAGCAAGGCGCTCTATCTTCTACGTACCCGAAGAATGGTACCAACAGACAACATTGAAATGTTTTCTAAAAGATCAATTGCGTTTTGTGAATCTAACGTAAGTTTAAAACGATATTTCTGCTCGTTTCGCAGAAAAATCAGTTCTTATTGATTTCTTTTGCCATGATCCATCCATACGTTATAAATAAAGTCATCTATCATATTTGTTCTGTTAATTACTATTACAAATATTTGTATTATAGAAGTAATCGAAAGCAAACTATATTTATTTAGATTAATTATCCAAATGACGCTTAATATATTTTCAATAGTTAGTCTTTGGTCTCGATTTAAGGAATCTTATGGACATATTGGAGAGGTAAGCAATGATTTTTTTTCTCAACAAAAAAATTAGTTTCGCCGAATGAATTTTTCTCAAAGCAAAAAACAAAAATTTACGATTTCTATTATTTTATAGACCGTTTGCATTAAAATGAAAATATTTTTCTTTCTTCTAAGATCGAATGTATTGATATAACCAACGATTCAACATCTAATTTATTTTCAAGTCGCATCAATGATTTCTATATTGGAACTACTGATGGGTAAGTTATTCTTGTTCGTTTATTCAACAAATGAAGAACAAAAATGACATGACGAACTTGATTAAATATCACAATCATTCGTTTGCATTTTTCTTCTACTCCCAATGGCAATGAGTGATATTCAATTCTATTTGGAGGCCATAAAGATCATATTTTCTCGTGTCGATCATATCCATGTAATATTTTCTAATATAAACATTAGCAGCATAGAATAATTAACTTATGTTGTCATTTGATGTTTTTTGACTTCGTCTGAGTTAGATTTCATCTTGATTCTACGATAAAAAATCGATTTTTAAATCGGAATTATTTATCCCTCAAGACTCACGATAACGTAGAGCAAAAAGCCTAGACGAACTTGTGATTATTAACCACCCATTGTCTATATTACAGAGAAAGAATAGCTTTCCCTGTAGTGAGATATGCAAGCGTACGTGTATTGCACTTGTACAGATGTTGCATCCATCGCTGTCTCTCTCTCTTCTTCTCCTTTTTTTATGAAGATAAATTATAGATATGTCGAAACGCGATGGTACCATTCTAATCGTAATGCATATCAGGTTCTTTTTTCTCCTCTTTCTATTTGACCATGGTCGATAGGCGATGAAACATGTTAAGAGAAAATAAGATCAAGAGTCAAACGTCTCAATGCACGAGTGAAAAACGATATCTTATGTAAGAAGAAGAAGAAGAAAAAAAAGAATGGCATGCCAGCTTTATTTCATCTGTCATTTTTTGTGTCACATATACATTAGTATTTCAGTTGTTTCTTAAATATATACGTATTTATTTATTGATGAATACCGCCGAGATGATGACATTATCATAAGAAACAATACAAGAAAGGATGTGCTTATGTTTGATTGTTTAAATAGCAAATAGAAAAGAAAAATGTCGAAGGAACCTTGAAAGAAAAAGATCAGAGTGAAACAAAATGAACTGTCATAGGATTGCCTGATTCAAAATGTCTTCTTCTTTTTTCTTCTTGTCTAATTATTATTGATTTTGTCATGCAAGATTTATTTTATCTAAACTACTTTGATCGTACTCCCTTCTTCTTCTTCGTATTACTATATTTACTAGTCACTTGAAAATTTATCAGCGATTGAAAGTGTTTATAACTCACGATGAATGCGTGATTATCATATAAAATATATACTACATATTGATTGTATATAAAGAGACATACTTGACATATTAATGGTCATTATTGACAAGAATAGCTAGGAAACGATCCATGATATCGTAGCAGATCAAAAGATATTCCCTCATAAAATGTGTCATCAAGAGAATAAATTATTCATTTTGTTTCATGAAAAGAAATGTTCAATAGCATAAAATATTGGCTAGATTTTTAGAATGGATCAATTAATTAAGTTAAAATGAACCGTTCTGCTTGTTGATAACTGATGTCTTGTTCGCATAGGTTTGATATCATGTTGTGATACGACGGATTTCCTCCGCCTATTCTTTTTTTACACCGAACAAAGAGTAGCCGTCGCCGCTGGTCACTCATTCATTCATCGTAATCACTAGTTAGTATAGCGCAAATTCTCTCTTATAATCATAGTGAACATATAAGTGGACATTTTTTAGTCTTCCTTCTAACTTATGCTTGAACAGGACAGAACAAGAGAGCGAAAGAGAGAGAGAGAGAGAGAAAAAAGGCTCTATCATTTCTCTACCTCGCCATTCTTCATCATCATTGTCTCGTCTCGTCTCTCTGTCGACATGTTGTACATTCAACAGCGATAGCAATGTAAATTAGAACTCTTCTTCCTGTGTAGATATATACGTATTCATTTCATCGTTGTGTCGATTCAATTGAATATAATTATTTTCTTTCATGATTGTAAATCGAAGTCTAACTATTTTCTATCAATTCTTCGTCATATTAACAATATCGAAATACAGCTTTTCGGAAATTCATCCCGACGATCAATTACTTAATATTCTCAGTACATTACAACCATTTCGTTCTCAATTTTGTCAATTTAAATTTGAAAATTGCATACAAGATTCAACGTTTGCTGATCAACTAGATAACGATTGTAACATCTATTCACGTTTACGTGATTGTTTTCGTTCATTACTCGACGAACCGCAATGTTTAACATTACAACTTAAACGTCAATATAAACAAGCAAAACAAAATGAATATGAATCGTGTGGTATTGCTTTATCCTTAGAATCAATCAATTCATCAATCAATACGTCTTCATCAATGAAATTAAATATTCATTTTCTAACAGCATATTTTCTATTTATTACTTCGATTTTATTATCACTTGTTTAAAAAGAGAAAAGACAGCAAACAAATAAATAATATCAATTGATAATATCCGGTGAGATTTTCTCGAATGAAATATTACATCAATATCGATAAACGTCAGACGTTGGTTATTCACATTGCTGTATCAATTGAATACGTACCGTATATATCGAGTATACATATAGATTATGAACACGTTCAATACATTTAAATGATATTTGTCTAGTGCTCTATGATCAAGATAAATAATCGATGCTAGCCAAGTGGTAATTGAACTCAATATACGTGTGTGCATATGTGTGTGTGTGTGTGTGCGTTCATTTCTTGAACATAGAAAAAAAAAAGAACTTGTGTCAATAAACTTTCAATCACTCATACGAGAGAAAAAAAGCCTTAGCACACGGCTCGATTAACCGATTATGCAGCTAAATTATAGTTCCCCATAGGGTACTGATGTCTCGTTCTATTTTACTGTTGTTATTGTTTGTATAACAGAGAAATATGATTAATCGTTTGTATGAGTTAGTCTTGTATAAAATAGGCGTTCTTGTACATATGAATATATGTAAGCTAAGAGCATATTTGCTGTCTGATGAAATATTGATAAGAAAATAAGGATATGAAAGACACCTGTTATATTTTGATGAATTAATTCGATGAAAAAAATGACTTGCTTCATCAATCGATCATACGTTTATTGTCATACTTAGATAGATATTTAACCTTTTGTATGAATGACATTTTAATAACATACGCACATTTCATGTTATCAATTTAATTTAATGGATATATGTGATAGTCCACTTTTAAGAGAATTAATCAATGAAATGACACTGTGACACCCTTTCTTTCACATGTGCATATATATATATATATATGTTGTGTCCGAGAACGAACGAGTAATATGGAGGTAAATGACAAGTATAATCATACAGATTAGACTTTGACAAAAAAAAAAGAATATTCTATATACTTTTTTCATACACGAAGGGACAGCAATGGGTTTAGTGTGTTAAAAAGTTTAATTTGTCGATGTAAAACTTCTTTGACTAATGAAGAAATGATTTGATTGTTGGTAGTGGATGTCCCTCTAGGGTAACTTTTTCTCGCATAGGTTTCATCTATAGAAGAATATCGATTTCAAATTTGACTCGTCGGTGATTCGTCAATTAACTATGATAAACGCAATAAGTCAAAGAGATAACTCGAGCATAGGAGTGTATCTTATCAAAGATCTTATTTAATTCACCGAAAATGACCGGTGAAGTTAAGCATCATTCAATATTTTGTTCCGTACTTGTTCTAAAAAGAAATATTGACAAGAGGAACAGCGATTGTAACGTTTGAATTTATATTTATGTTTGTAAAATAAGTTAAGACTTAGAATTAAAGATAAAAATATTATTCTTTTTATCATTAATTTTAACTTTTATCCTCATTGATCTTGATTGAAGGATTAATCAGGGTTCGAGTCAGAAACAATCGAAATAGATTAATCTATCCTAATGATCAATCACAGGAATGATTTAAAAAGCGACTATTTATTTAGTGAACTGATAGTGTTTTTCTCCGGTTTAAGACTTAAATTATACAGAACTATAAATTGTAAAACAAACAAAAGAATAGAAAATCGTCTTTCTATATGAAATATTATGATAATATATTAAACAAATGTCAATCCGATTTTACGCAAAAAAATCCGTATTGACATTATTTCTTTATTATTTCCTAAGAAAATTGGTCAACTAAACTTTTTTTTATTTTGATTATAGTTTTGTTTACAAATTTTCCACACAGAAGAATTCAATAAGTTCAGAAACAAAAGATTTTGAATTCAATTGCACTGGTAGTGCTAGTCTGGGAGCAGTAAGTTGATTATGGAGCTTTGCTTTTAAATTCTACTATATGTTTCAATTATTTAGCGAAAATCAGTAGGAAAAATAAAAGTCGTTCTGTTATCTCTTCATCGTGTCATTACCTTAAGTGATAATCTGATTCAAATACTTAATAGTGATAATTTACAAGTGAGAAATTTTACGCCTTATTTTTTATATTTACGTTGGTTCCGTTTGTTCTCTAGTTAATACCGAATATAAAATTAAAAAATATTATAACATTTGCTGTTTCAAATAAATTCACACAAGGAGCGTCAATTGATGTAAGCGATGGATAACGAAATTATGCATATATGATAAAGTATTTTGATATACAGATGTGTGTATCGACAAAACGTAATAAATTACAAATCTATCGAGTTGATCGAACAAATATTAATTTAATAAACGAAATATCTGTACAAGATCCAATAATATCAATCGTATGTGTTATACTAATGGGAGATTTTCAGATATAAAAACAGCCAATGTTTTAGGGAATGGACGAATTTGGTATTCTCGCATGTTCGAAAACAACTTATTTTGCTTATAAATCCAATCTGAACAGCGATCGTCGATCAACAGATTCCTTGCAGACTATATTTACATTACAAGATCCAAGTATAATGGCTTGTTTTACTACTATCACACCGGTAAATGCTGTGATCGCTTGTAGTTCATTTCAATTTAAATAATATAAAAATAGCTCGATGTTCATTATCGATACAGAACGTCAAGAAAGACAACTGTCTTCGTCTCGACTTGTCACTATTATTTATGAGTTCGAATTGATATTTTGTAGACATACGTATATGTGACCATACACTCTACTCATAAGTAAACGATGATTGAATCCTGAAGCCCGTATATCTGAGTTGAGTAGAGGACGAATCCGTTCTTGCTACCAGAGTTCACTGTCGATCACTTGCTTCCAAAAGATCACCTTGGTATTCTATAAAAGAAAATTAGCGCGCCATGGATGAACTATGCGACTAGACAGAATTACTGAAGCCGTTGTACGATGATTTTTAATTTCATTTCACAGGGTGAATACCTTCTCAATGGTCCAAATATTGGCATTACAACTACTCTGGCTGGCACAAGTGAACGAGCTCCAATTATGTTTATTACGCAGCCCAATGATTTTATTTATTCTCATCCATATTTAATTGTACTTGTCAAAGATTATATTCATATTTATAGGTCTTGACATTGCTTCTTGATTGAAATAGAAACTATCAAAATATTTTCTTTTAGTTATTTGGATGATCAATTAAAACAGCAGATGCCGTTAAAAAGTTGTCAAACGTTAATAAATATCCCTCAAAGAAATGCAAATACTATTCTGATAAATACTAAAGATAACATTTGTTTACTTGAATCCCTTAGCATCAATCAACAAATAGATCAATTACTAGATACATATCGTTTACAGGAAGCATTAACATTAGCGGAAAGTAATTGTTCACCAATTGAACAACGTCGCACGAATTCTCTTATAATATCAACAAAAAAGCGAATCGGCCTTATTGAATTCAATGCTTTGAATGTTATTCGAGCATTAAATTTATTTGATGATATTAATTTAGACTTTCATGAGATTATGATACAAATACCAAATTTTTTACCATTGAATTCTCCTTGGCCTGATATGGATGAAAATATGAAAAGCCAATATATTCTATGGCTAAACGCATTTGGTGATTACATGACAAAACGATCCGAAGAATTTTCTTGCCAATCAGTAAGTAGAAAAACGAAAAAAAAACTGCGTGTCTGGGTGTAGATTCTGTTATACTTTGAACTACTGAAAATGCATCAGTTTTCTTCTTCTTCTTCTTCTTCTAGGATTATTATGCATCGTTATTGAAAGCTTATTTGTTAATAAAAACACGTGAAATAATCATAGAATTTCTTGAAAAAAATGCTTCATTTATTTCCATTGATTTTCATGATTTGCTTTTTCACAATCAATTTTATCATGGTGCAGCGATACTTTATTCTGCACACGGCAAACATGAACAAACAATTGATATTTGGAAAAAGTAATGGATTCTTTGTCTATTGAAACTTTTAATTATTTTTAAAATTTCTTCTTCTTTTTATTTACATTTAGCGTAGAATTGTATTGAAAGAATATTCGAATGACGATACATTTCCTGGTACTTGGATTATAGGAAAATATATTCTCGAAAGAAACCTTGATCGATCATGGGAATTTTCCATTGCAAAATGGATATTAGAACAAAACGAAGAAGAACTTGCGGTTAAAGTTTGAGAGAATGTCTTAGTTTCTATATTTCGATTTCTGAGCATAATTAGTTTTTAGATATTTATTGATAAATATCAAAGTGAATCCAATAATGATCTATTTAATACAAATTCTGTTATGAATTTATTAAAACCATATCCGGTAGCATTGAAAAATTATCTTGAAGACGCTGTGTTTAAATTAATGATTGAAGTAAGTTCATGTCTTATCAAGGTGAACAGAAAAGAGTAGTTTCATCTAGGAGATTCCTCAAGATCATCGAGAATAGAGTTGTGTGGAGCTTGTTTCTTGTTCTTATTTAAAGAAAATTATTTCGGAATCGATTCATAATCACAAGAATATAAAATATTGTCTCTCCGGAAAACTCGTGTAGACATCATACGAACTTGATGATCGTCTCGTTTCCATCTGGAATCTTTCCTTGAAAATCAAAATATTAAAACTATTTATTCATTTAAAGACCGATGAAGTTCACACAATATTAGTGAATATTTATCTCGATCAAATCATATCCAAATCTTCTAGCGACAATGATGAAGAAACTCGGTTCGATTCTAATTCATTTTTTTTATTTTTTGCAATAACAATTTTTATTCATTGTTCATCATAACAGATGTAAATTGCAAGAATTTCTTGTTAAATCAAATTCCTATCGAATTCAATCCGTACTTCATCGAATCAATCAAACAAAATATTTCAAACGGGAAGTTGCTCTTCTTTATGGCAAAGTAAGTCTTAATGAAAAATTTAAATCGATCTCCGTTTTTTATATTCAACATTTCGACGCTCTAGATGAACGATTTTCAACAAGCATTTCATGTACTTGTTGATGAACTTGAAGATTTTGAGTATGCAGCAAACTATTGCATGGCTCTATCGCACGATAAATCAATTGACGATCGAAAAATAGTTGCACATGTTTTATTCGATGTGTTTCTTGCTTCATTAGATAAGTAAGTTTTAATAATTAGAGAATTTATCAAAAATACAAAAACAAAACGATTTTTTTTTTAGACATCCGAAAGAAATAACTGAAGCTCTTCTTTGTCTTCTCGGTAATAACAAAGTTGAATTTAATTTTATTGAGATTTTAAAACGTTTGCCATCGAACTGGCCTATTTCATCGTTACAAACTATTCTCTCACGCGCCATGCGTACATGCGCATATGAAGAACGTGCAGCTAAACTTGAATTATCTCTAAATCGTTTACAAAATGAAAAATTAAACACCAAATTAGCGAAATTAAAACGTGCAAATGTAACCGTTCATGAATATCGACGATGCAAACAGTGTTTGAAACAATTCTACGAAACATCTTGTGTTATCTATCAAGATGGTAGTCAAGTTCATGTTCATTGTGCAAAATAATTAGATGGAAAAAATTTTAATTGAGGAATTTCCCATTTGTTGATTTTATAATGATTAATTGATAGATAGATTTTTTTTTCTAATTGTAATTCAATAAAAATAACTATAATTTTGCATCATGACCTTCGTGTCAAGGTTCATAGAGAAAATGATTGATTATTAAACAAGTTCACAAATCTACGTTTTTCTTTTCTCACTCGGTAATTTCGCCTATAGCGAAGATTATAAGTCCTTTCTGATGTCTGCTCATATCCTAGAATGAGTCTTTTTGCGTTACATTGAAATCAAGAATTTCTTATAAAACACCCTCAAAACATTGTTTTTTGCTCGGATTCACGTTGCTAATGACCAATGAACTTCACACTCACAAAAACTCTAAACACGTGCAGAAAAATCTTCAAATAAACAAGTACCTAAGAAATATTTTGCCTTATTTTGTATAATCTCATAAATGTTTGTTCTTAACTAATAGCTCCATGGAACAAAAGGTCACTTTTTCCGCCGAAATGATGAAACTTGAAATAGCATCTGTTGAATAACAATTTCTTTCTGACAGGCAATATCAACATCCTATATTAATATTGTTACTAAAATATCTAGGGAAAAATAACAATAGTAGAATCAAATAAAAAACACAAAGCATACACTTAGTTTTTGCTAAGATAAAATTTCAAAACAAGAAAAGCTAGAACAATAATAAATGAATCAAATCAACAACTATAATCATAAATTGAATCTGTCTCACTAGATTTAACGAAAAATTGCCCGATGAAGAAGATTCAAGAGCAATTGAAAAACAGTTTATTTCAATACAAACTGCACTTTGTATAGTAGAAGAATCTTAAAAGAAAAATAGAAATAGAATAGAAAAAAATGTACCTCAAGGGCACAGAATGGCATAATGAGAGTGAAAATGGAAACCATGGAGTCGATCAGAAGGTCATTATTTATATATATATATATATAAATTACTCTTTCCTTGATTTAAACCGTATGTAAGTCATTAGACACAATTGACGAACAATCAACAAAAGATAAAAATCATCAAGATTTTAGAAACATTGAACAGAACGCGTCTCGCTTGAATATACTTAATGAACTATATATCTGTTTGATAGTTATTCATCTACAATTAAGACCAATAGTTGCTTTGTAAATAGTTCCCCAAATGCACTATACACGAAACAGAAACGAATGCTGTTCAAAGTAGATGATAGCTCAATAAGTGTTCATAGGTAAAGGTAACTACAAGCAAAATTTTTAAATATAAGATCGTACTGCCATCTGTAAATTGAAAAATTGTCGCCGTGTAACTATGAAACTTCCATTAAATACCTTTTTGTACATACAAATCAGTGAAGTGAAAGAAAAATAATCATCACGTTTTCATTCTCATTTGTGATGAGCACTGATTTTTCTTAGAAACCATTGATTTTCAGGTTATGCTTAATGTCCTATTGTTAAGTTAGAGATAATCGAAGAACAAGGTATTGATTTTCATATGTATGATTTCATCGATTTCCACAGTATTTTAATTCAGATAATGAAACAAACGTTTGTACAAGATATTGGACAACAGTTACAGTCCGCTGTATTCTCGTCAGGCTTAACTACAAAATTAATATGTCTTTTCTGTATAATTGGATATGCTCTTTCATTCAGTTCACAATGTGTGCAAGCACTTGCTGTCATTCCAGGACGAGTAATGCCACCTAATTTTTGGATTTGGTTTGTTTACATTTTAATAAATTTTCTACATATTTTTTTGTAAACATTTTTAGGACATTTTTAACACATAGCTTTATTGAATTGCATATTTGGCATACAATAATTGACATTATCGTTGTATTTCTTTACTCGAAAATGATTGAGCCGCTATGGGGTACACATGAACTTTTACGATTTTATTTTATTGTAACCATTCCAAATGCAGTAGTTGCAACATGCATTTATTTTATTTTTTATGGTCTTACATTTCATGAAGAATATTTGTTTGAAAGGCCTATCTATGGTTTAGCTGCATTTCTCGGAGCCTTTTCAGTTGTTATCAAACAGCTTATGCCGGATACAGTCTTAGCAACAACACCATTCTTTAAACTTAAACAAGATCAAGTACCGTTATTGATGGTAGTTCTATCAGTTATACTTTGGTTTGTTCGCGCTGTACCTGTACATTTTCTAATAATGTTCAGTTTTGGAATCTTAATTAGTTGGACCTATTTAAGGTATAACGAGATTAAACTATTCACTCATCTACGAGTACAAATTTTCTAATAAGATAATCGAACTACTATCGGTAAATTTTTATGATAAAGTTCAAAGTTGATTCTAGTTCTTAGTTCTTGTCTTGAAAGAATGCCAATTCAATGTTCTTGTAAAGAATTTATTCCTGTAAAAAAAATCAACGTATTTCAATTCGGTAGCTTTTGTCTATGAAAAAACAAAAACAATTTAAAAAATCTAGATCTATCATGAGAAAATAGATAGTGTTTAATAATATAGAACGAACTTTATTCTATATAACACTGCGTCAATGAAAAAACTTCTTTTCTCACATTTTACATTTGATAGGTTCCAATCAAAATACAAATTTGGCAAAATTATAATCATCTTTTGAAATAATCTTATTCTGCATAGAAATTCTAAACATATCTTCTGAAAAAGTGTGCGCACATCTGGTTCTGTAGCCCATCGGTCAAAAATGAAAAATTTGTAAATCGTATGTGTATACGTTTATTCTATCGGAAAAAGTAATCGTTTAATGCGCTTCTTAAACTCGTAGTCAGACAGACAAAAAGAAAGTGTCATTCAGCCATCAGCAATGAGCAGCAAGGAAATGTTCAGACTAACTGTTTCGTACACAATAGGGTGTAGACTAAATGTTTCTTGAAAGAAAAATTTACAATTTTCCAACCGATTGAGCATAAATAAGATGTCCAACAGTAATCTATTTCATGCTTTATTTAGATTTTTTCAACCCCATCAAAATGGAACAATAGGTGACACATCAACGACATTTACATTTGCTAGGTAAGTCTAATAAATCCTATTCTATTCATTCAACGGTATTGAACATTCATTTTTTCAAAGTTTCTTTCCATCACCTATTTCACCGATTATAAGTGTTTTTGCAAATACAATATTTGAAATATGTGTTAAATGGAAATTATGTAAATCTTTTGGGAAAAAGTATAATGTTGCTTCATCGTCGAGTATTACAATTACAATACCTGGTCCGGAAGCTGCTGACGCCGATAGACGAAAGTAAGTGCATTTCTTGTTTTCTGTTTACATTCAATCGAAGTCAATAGACAATTTTACTAATCATATTCAAATGATCTTCAAATCGCCTTTGTTCTTGTTCACAATTGAACATCAAAACATGGGAAAAATGAAATGTTGTTTGTCTATAGGGAAATCTTGCTAAATCAATACTATTTTAATAGATGAAGAAACTATTATTCACTTAGAAACAATTTCGATTACTTTTATGAAAGCAAAATATATGAAACGAGCTTAATACGTTTCAATATTCATTGAAAACATCATATGTAAATAATGATGATAATGAAATAGACAAAATCTAAATCCCCAATAATCTTTTGATTATAAAAATAAATCGTCTTTCAGACAAAAAGCCTTAAAAGCTTTAAATGATCGTATGAAACAAAAAGAAACAACAAACGAAAATTGGCCTGAACTTGATGAAAGTCATCAATCATCATTACATGCACAAGATCATTCAACACAAAACTCATCTGTGTCTATCGATCTGACTAAATCAAATGAGCTCACATCAACGATACCAAAAGAAGGTTCAAATCAAAATTTTTTTGACACTAACGAACAACAACAACAACCACAATCAACATCATGATAAAAAAAAATGTAGATCTTAATAAACATTTTTATTCGATTAGTAGTATTCTGCTTATTTTCTCGTAGCTGTTTTCTAATTTTATTATTTCATAAAATTCTCATTGAACAATTTTACGTTTCTATATGTTTATTAACATACAATCTTGCCTATTCTTATTTTGTTTTAGATTAGTGAAATTCCGTGTCTATTTATCTTTATTAGACGATTATTCGTTTGGAATGTATTTCATTCAAATCGTTTGATTCTATAGATAAAAAGAGGAGAAAAAAAAACAAGAAATCGCGCATTGCGATTATCTAATTAATCGATTCTATGCAATGCATAATATCACGTTCTTCTCATTCTTTAGGTTCACTTGCCATCAAATGGAAACCGTAAGCAGCCAAAGTTCTTGTTTGTGTTGAAATCAAATTTTATTTGTCTAGTCATTCGTATAAATAGAGTTCTTTTTGTTACACTAGTCAGAACGCGAGAGAGAAAAAAAAAACCCGAAGAAGGCATTCATTTGATAGGGGTACAACACATAGAAAGGGCAATGCTCGTGTATTCTTCTTCTATTTCATCGGCTTTTTTCTTTTCTCTTCGTCTTCTTAAATAGTACTTTTTACACTTGTTAGGACTACCTATATTGGTTATTAGTTCAAAGTTCATCAGAGAAAAAAAAAGTTTTAAGGAAAAGAAATCAAGAAGTACCTACCCCACCACTCAGGTGGAAGAGAGAGATTGTACACATTTTCCATTCGTTCTTTACCGTTCTTTCGTGCTATACTCGCTCTCTTCTCTTTTTTTCTTCTCTCTAGTTCTCTCTGTCTCTCTGTCTCTGTCTCTCTCTCTCTCTCTCCCTGTCTACCAATATATATGAGAAAGGGTCGAGCATGTAAGCATTAATCATCACATTCACATTTCGTCGTCGACCGGACACACACAGCGGTAAGTCCATGCGTGTACGATAATAATACTATTCTTTACTTGACATTATTACTGAGTTTCTCATTAGAACTGTTCTTTTATACCTTTCTTTTTCTTGTTTCAGGTTATTTTAATTTTCTAAACAATGCCGAGTGCATCGATTATTAGTGACTTTCAACGTTCATCGTCCAATTCATCGTTATCGTCATCACTTCTTCTAGCTGCTTGTCAACAATATGATATCAATGAATTATCCTATTGTTTTGATCATCAACAGAAATTATCTTCACCACCACCATCATTGTTATCATCATCAACATATGATTCAATTGGTAAACGTAGTCAAAATATGACCGAATGTGTCCCGGTGCCAAGTTCGGAACATGTTGCCGAAATCGTTGGTCGACAAGGTAAACAAAGAATCACTTGAAATTTTTCTTTACCTTCAAGTTTTATTCGCCTTTTTAGGTTGCAAAATAAAAGCACTACGTACTAAAACTAATACATATATTAAGACGCCCGTTCGAGGTGATCAACCCGTTTTTATCATCACTGGTCGAAAAGAAGATGTCTATCTAGCTAAAAAAGAAATCGTATCAGCTGCTGAACATTTTTCACAAATTCGAGCTGGTACGAACATTTATTTTTTCTATTTTCTATTTTTTTTTCTACGTTTTTTCTTCCATTTAGCTCGTAAACAAACGAGTACTAGTATTTCATCAAATAGTAGTACAAGCAGTGGAAGTAATACTAATTTACACTATAATAGTTTAATTTATCCATCAACATCAACATCAACATCAACATCAGCATCAACCAATATTCAACAAATAACCATACAAGTTCGCGTACCCTATCGTGTTGTTGGTTTAGTTGTTGGTCCAAAAGGTGCAACCATCAAACGTATACAACAAACAACAAATACGTATATTGTAACACCAGGTCGTGATAAAGAACCTGTCTTTGAAATAGCTGGTCAACCTGAAAATGTTGAAGCAGCTAGAATTGAAATTGAAAGTCATATTGCTGCTCGTACTGGTCAAGCATCTGATATCGATGAAAATGATTTTGAAAAAGAATTGTATTCAATCGCTGATATTAGTGATGCAAATCAACAATGCTCAAAATGGATTAAATTAAATAATCCTTCATCGTCATCCTCATCATCAATAACAGCAACATCAAAATTTTCCCATCATTTGTCATTACCATTTCCTCAAGATGATAAAATCAAATCAACATATCGTACTGTTTCACAATCATCTTTTTTACCGTCTTTTAATGATCAATTAGATTTAAATTCATCATTTGAACAAATTTCGGATGATAATTTCGATTCAATTTGGCAGAATTTTAATTTTATATCAATGAAAACATCAATGGGTTTTGCATAAAACAAAAATATATATATATATATATATATATATATTAATTCTCTCAGGTTATTATCTTTAATTTATTTCTGTGTATTTTTTTACGTTACTGTTTCTATTTTGTGTACAGTTATCTTGATCAGGGATTGATGTATTAACCCGGAAGAGAAAAAAACTAAGATGTTTATTCTCATTGTGAATGAGCATGTGCGTGTGACCCACTAGTCTAAAAATCTGTTTTCTTTTCCCCTTTTAAAATAAAAAAAAAAAAAAAAAAAGTCAAGCTGCTCAAACGTGAGGAGTGATTTTTTTGTTTGCCTGTTCTTTTTTTTAGCTGTAGTTAACTATCTATCTATATATTTGTGTATGTGAGCTTTGAGCCTAACTTATTTTTTTTCTCGTTGTCAAGTTTAGGCGCACGTAGATTTTTTTGTTTTTTCTTTTTGGGTGTGTGATTAGTATAAAATACCTGTTTTTTGTGTGTACGTGTTGATTTTTTTTTTACAAAAAGTCTTAACACATGTTAGCTGCTATTATTATTTTTTTTGTGTACGTAGAGAGAAAAAAATATATAATATAGAGAACCTTGTCTCAGGTATAAAATAAATCTATGTATACGTGCATGTAGTTTTCTTTTTTTTTTTATATTTTTTCTGTTTTTTTTGCTCTTGAATAAACAAAACGTGCAGAGATAGAAAATTGGAAATTTTTGTGTTTTGTGCCTACTATAGCTAGATGTTGTTTGATCGAGTCTATTGTACGGTACCGTACATACGTATAGACACGAGTTCACCAAACGGTCAAAGTCGTTTTGATTCCGTTCTTTTTTCCTCGTTCTTTCTATCACAGCTGTTTCGTTACGGCGAGTTTTTCTTTTCTGTTTTTTTTTCTGTTCATGCTTGCTAAGATGAAAAAAAAGAGCCTATAGATTGAAAGAGAGATTAAGTTTACTATCACTTAAGAGTCGTACGAGCAAAATTGAATGAGTGCAGTGGTCAACGTACGGTTTGTTGACAACATATCATTGAGTCTTATCATTGTTGTATGTTTCTTTCCAGATGTTATTATGTCTGAAAATGATTTCAAAAATATAAAACGAAACGAAATTTATCCAATAATGAGAAAACGTTGTCTGTTTTTTTTTCTAATTAAAATAAAATGAGAATACGCTGTTATTTTTATTCGTGAATAAAACAAATATTAGTTTGAAAATCGAGAAGGTTTCGTATGTTTACTTCTATTGTACATTTTTAATGTAGTCATACTTGTCTCAATATTTGTTTATAGAAACTAGAGAATAGATTCCTAGGGTTTCCTTGATGATGGTGATGATGTCTAGAATCATCCTGTTTTTGTTTGTTATGAATTGTGATTTGATTGTGTCATATCGGATATACAAATGTTATGTGTGAAAAAAAACTAAACCCCCTAAGGAGCACTCACATCATATCTCACAAAACAAAAATGATTTAGTGTTTTGATAGGTGAAGAGAATGATAAGGATTCGAGTTTGACACACTTGAATAAATGACATCACTGATCAAGATAACGGTTAATGTAAATGTATGTGTGTGTGTGTGTGAGTGTTCGTTTTTTCAAGGTGTTGAAGAGTGGAAAATAGTACAATGGCTAATGGACATAAAACAAGAGTAGTGATCGATGAGACGTCATTTGCCTTAAGCTAGCTATTTCATTCGAAGTTTGATCTCTTCTATAATGTACCTTAAATAAGGCTATTCTACGTTTTTTTTTATCGAAACAATACTTCAATTAGTTGCAATGCTTCAAGCGCATTCACACTATTTAAGCAATGCTTTAAAAAAATAAAAGTCGTTTACAGTATTTCGAGTTCTTTTCCACTCTCCGTTTTCTTGTTCAGTATTTTTTATCAATTGAAAACGAAAGCGGCTGTCATAGATCAAAGATTGTTATCGCACACTCGACTGATTTTTTTCAAAGAAAGAACACTCTCGATTGATATAACACTTGAAAAGGAAAAAATCAATCAACTATTTGATTTGTTCATCGTATCAACAAGAAACAAAATTTTTTCAACATCGCCAATGATAATTATGCGATCGGTGTACCATATGGATAAATAAGTTTATGAATTGCCGACTTTAATAATTATGGCACGAACGATAGAATGAGCGCAGCTGCCGAAATACTTAATCATAACAATGAAAACATCTGTTTCAGCAACTGAGATGACTTTGATCATACTATCAGAATTGAATGTTATTGGTTTTTCAAAAAATTAAAAATATCTAAACTTAATCTATTGTTGTTTATATTCGTTTCGATGAAGATATCATCGATCATCATTTTTTATTGCTTACGGGAAAGGCGTATAAATGTATCTAGATACATATTACAAATTTATTCGGTGGACGCGTGTATATATTTATCATTTAGATTGCTAGAAAAAAAGAATTGTCAACGCCCTACTATATACACATACAGATCATCCATCCATCACAGAAGACAGAAAATAAATTCTTTTTTTTCCTATCATTAACATAGTTGATAGTCAGGCAATACAAATATATGTGCGTGCTTATATCCTGTCTATTTTAGACTGTCAACAAGAGAAAAAAAAAGAAAAGGAAAACGGTAAATACTCATTCAAATGGGTGTCACATTCTGATACTTTCTCGGTTCATATTACATACTCTCATCAGTATAGCATCTGCTCATTTTAACTCGAGTTCTAACGGTCGGAAGAAGAAGAACACACAATAACGATAGGGCCTGTCGGCAACACGATTGATGCATGTCATGTAAATTTGATTGCGTTAGCCGAGAAAAATGCATTTTTTTCAATACTTAATGAACTCATATATTTTCCTTTTATACACGTTCCATTTCTTAATGATGATGAATCCCTTTTCATTGAAGTGATGACCACACGCAAATCAATTTGCGCAGGCCATAAACTCGTTTTCAATTATTCTATGTTGTCATCAATGAACAGTGATTAGGGAAAGTTTCTGTGTATGACTATGTCTGTCTGTCTATCTATCGATTGATGACAATCTGGGTCTGCCAATAATCTTGATGTGAACTCAGTCGAGTGTATATCATTCATTATCATTTTAATGTGCATGCGTGTGCACACAGATGATTCTCCTTATTTTCTTCTCCAACTTGAAATATCATCTATTTAATGATAATCGAAAAAGTAAAACGCAACAGCTGTTAACATTAGATTTAGATTTAAAACTCGACACGCCCCATTGTTCATTCTATTATTGAGCATGACATTTGAACTGACTGCTATAGAGATTGAATATATGAATGAATATCCATAGAAAAAATAAACTAGTCTTAGTTATGCAATTTTGTTCAAGTTGGAATCATGCATAGAATATATTATAGAACTTCTTATCGTTTATAATAATATGAGACTATACTTTCGTTTACTTCATTCGATTCATTGATTCGTTTTGTATACGAAAAAAGCTTTTTAATCATTTCGACATCCATAAAACTTGTCGATTTGATTGCATACTAACATAAAACTTGAGTGTAATCATTATTTATTCTCTTTTCAATTCAAACGATATTACAGTTGTAAAGATATGCTTTCTTTTGATATTGAGAATGAATATCGGTCGTTAAATTTTGTTGCTCTTACTTTCAAAACTAATTCGATTGTAGTTAATTAAACTTGTTGTTTTTTTGGTGACTATCGCCTCTGTCTTGATCGATAAGAGTGCACACTTGCTGATTGCATACTCAAGTCAATTTCGAATCTCCTTTTGAACTACTGTGAAGAGTGTTAATTGCTGTACGATGTGTGAATAATATACATTTACTACAAATGAAAAAAGAATGCAAATTTTTTGTTTTTTTTCTATTTAACAAAATTGAACTTGGTCGACATGGTGAACCGATAAAATCTGAGTGGCTTTATTATATGTTTTTTTTTCTCTATACTAACAATGAGAATAAAAATTTTTTCATGACTCTTAATCATAAATCTTATCAATCGTAGAATTCTTTCTTCTGTCTTTATCTAAAGCCGTTGATTTAATGTTTGTTAAAAAGTAATACATAGCCTGTTTAACCAAAGCAACGAATCTATAGCTAGCTAGAGAAGAACGGATTTATATTAGAGAAATTATTTTTCTATGGAAAATTGATAAGGTAAAATAGCTTTTAAACACGAGATATTTGTTAAGTAGAAATAGTTGTTTGTATGTCTGCCATTTCATTAGGTCAAAGTGGTATCATTAGGTGTTGATAGAATATACATATTTATATGTATATGTAAACAAATCTCGAACGTATAGATTATAACCTTGAAGACAGATAGAAACAAATATTCTAAAAGAATGAGACCTTTATCATTTATATATTGAGAGACAAATATAGAATACAAATAATGTAACTACGAATAAATTATTTATAGAATATTTGGAAGACTTAATCTACTGGTATGATCAGCGGGTGATTTACGCCGTATAAATTAATAAAAGAACAACCCGTAGGGGCCGTATTGTAGATTCAGTGGCGGACACTATCCCCGTGTCGCATGTGATTTTATATTATTCTTGTAGAAGTAGAATAATTTAAAGTAAATCAAGGCTCTATGAACGCCATCAATATAGATGTCTTTTCTTCCGTGCTAAACGAAAGAATAGAATCAAGCCGTGTGCTGGTGATATCAATATAGGGTATTAGATCATCACAATAGGATTTTCTTTTTTTTCTATACACATGCTCACGTAAATATTCAATCTCGAATTCAATAGATATTTACTTGTCTAGAACATTCGAAACACCAATTTTCAACTAGTTGAAAATTTCCTTTGTATTTTGACTTTGAATTTAATAATAACATCGACTTTTAATTCTTCTTTGATGTAGCAAATCATATAGTTTGCAAAAATAGATTCTTTCTTTATTTCATTTGAGTCAAATAAAAAAAAAAGAAGTAAAAAAAGACTATGAGCCTTGATATCAATAGATATACACAAAAAAAAGTTAAGATATAAATTGAAAGAGTTCAGTTTTACTTGTATTCTTTACTAAATTTAATCCAAAATTGATCGTGAATGCTTGATAATTTCTTTCCAATAACACCAAAAAACCTCATATCTTTGTTTCGAATTTCTTTGATTTCATGGTTTACAATAGTATCAAGTGATACTTGAGTTGCTAATAATAAACGAACAAAATCTGATAGTAGCCCGTAGGTTTCACTTCGTAGGAGATCATTTTCTGTGATTAGAAATTTTTCAGAGCCATGTCTAAAAAAATCTAATCCATAACTATTCAAATAATAACTAGAATTTGTATGATCGTGAGCATCGATATCCACAAATGGGACAATACGTGTTGATAGATCAAGATGATAAGCAAGATCCCATGCAATTGTAGTTGAATTATAATTTGACATTAGCTGTTCATGATTAAGACCTGATAGACCAGCGAACGGTGAAATCGATGGATTTTTTGATTGTTGAGAATGATGATGATGAAGATCGTATTCAAATGTTCCATTATCATAATCTGATGTTTGAGAAAATGATATATTTGAATAGGGTAAAATGTATTCTTGACCATCATTAAATGAACGAATTTGCTTAAGAACATTTTCAATATAAGAACCATAGACTTGTTTAACTAATGAGTTATACGATTGAATACGAGAACGAATTTCCGGTGAAATTGTTCGTAGACAAAATTTCGAATTGAACAATATTTTGTCTTTCATAGACACAGGTGAATTCGCTCGTTGTTGTGTCATTAATCTAAAGAAAAAAACAAATCATAATTGATCTCGATACTTTTTGACTTTAAAACTTACAATGGCATATTCGTAAAAAGATATGCTAATAAATTAACAATTTCTTCTTCATCGTTCATTTCATGAAATAATTTTGTATCCAATAAATAAGCAAATAAGATGTTGGCCGATTCGAAATCATGTAGATTTGTTATAAAGCCACCTAGACCAATTAAATCACCTTGATGATCGATGAAATTTAATCGATAGAGAAAATCTAATGTATACATAGTATGAAATCGAGTTTGAACATCGATTAGACGGCTTGTCATGGGTGTTTGCCCATTAAATGGGCATTGAAGGGCGATAAGTGATCGATTGATAGCATCCTTTTTGTCTTCAGCATTTGTATATAAATAAAGAAGACGCATGAGAAACGTTATGCTCGTGGTGATGTGCGTTTGAATATCGGGAATGGCTGCAATTGTTAAATGGCGAATTTTCGACATTGGAATATCGATAAAAACAATGTTTCCTTGAACATCAAAGCCACGACGACCAGCTCGACCTGATGATTGACGATATTGTAAAGCATCGAGTTGAATAGAATCTTTAACGAATGCCACTGTTTTTGTCGGCATATGCACACCCAACGCTAGAAATAAATAATATTAGTGTAAAAAAACTCTTCTATTGTTGTTCTCTCTCGTCTACATACCAAGTGTCCATGTTGAGAAAATAATCTGAACGTATCGATTACGAAAGAGACCTTCAACAGCTAATCGGCTTTTGCCGTTCAATTGTGCATGATGATATGCGACACCACGTTTTATATAACGAGCTAATCGTGGACTACCTGATGTTGCTCGTTCCATTAATCGATCGACTAAATCTCGATCGCATGTACGTCGATTTGCTAATGTACCTTCTTCTAAAATACCATTTAATAGATCTTGTTCATAGCCCGATAATCGTAATTGACTTTTATCTTCTTCTTCCATCATTTGTAATTCTCCTGGTTTGTCGTTACCTTTTTCTTCGTCATCATCACCACCCTTTCGTTTGCTTGCTGTTTTCACTACTTTTTTTGCTTTTGATGATTTTTGAGATTTATCAATTTGTACTAAACGTCGTTCCAATGCTTCAATTTGACTTTTATATTTTGTTTGCCGTAATTTTGCTTCAAGTTCTTCAAAGTATTGTGCGACACTTTCAGCTAATTCTTCGCACAATGAACGACTATCCGTAAAGACAATGCATGGAAGAAGACTTTTTTCTCGCAATGTTAATACAAAATCACCAATTAACGATGCCATTGGTTTTAATTCAGGATAATTTACTTCATTTGAATTGGTAGGATTCAATGATGTAGATATAGAATCAATTGTAGTCGTTTGATTATTACCAATTAAATCAGTAAATTGATTGCACACAATACGTGAATATGTATTGCACATATTTCGTTCAGTTATCCAACCGGGTGAAAAATATTCGGTTAATGTTGGAACTTCTTGACTTCTAACATTATGCTTTTGAAGAGCTTCATTCAAACGAAGGGTTTCACATGGTGATAATGATAAATCTTTCGGTAGACCTCGTGTTAATAATTGTTTTGAATTCAAAAGACCAATCGGATGAAGAGGATGCAATTGTCGATTTGAATATAGATATTTATTTAAATCTGCTATACGCTCAAGATTTACGATGTAACATACTTCGCGATTTTTGGCTGTTTTAAATAAAGTCGACCGTTGTTTTTCTACATTTTCAATCCAATTTTTTAATTTTTCACCATTATTAACCGTAGCTGAAAGTCCAATCATTGGACAATTGAGAAGTAACATTGCGCGTTCCCAAACATCTGAGCCCATATCAGCCGACATGCAATGAATTTCATCAAAGATACAATATCGAATTCGTTGACACCAACTTTGATAATTTGGTGACACGAGAAGCATTTCGAGACATTCAGGAATTGTTACTAGAATTCGACATTGCAACAAATTCATTTCATAATCTCGTGTATACGTTCCAAATACAGGACCAAATTTCGAATGAATTGTACCTGAGAGAAAAAAATAAAATTCTTTAGTTTCACTGAATCTTCTAGTAGTGTGATAACTATTGACTTATGATCTGTAATCGACTGAACTTCTACTATGATACTTCTTATAGATTTATATTTTACCTGCTACTTGATTGATCAATGCTTTCGTTGGTGCAACATATACACAGATACCATTTGGATCATCTTTATTTTTGAGTACTTTACCCATAGCATAATAGGATGCGTATGTTTTTCCTAGATAATTTAAAGGTAGGATTTAATAAAAAATAAAATTGTTTGAAAGAATTCAAATTTACCTGAAGCAGTTGGCGCAACAATAATAATTGATTGTTGTTTATCAACAGCATCGAGAAATTGAACTTGCCACGGATCGGGAATAAATTCTGGTATTCGTTCATCACGTGCACCTTGTTCACGTCTTGGTAACCGACTATTTATTTTCTCCAATTGAAACCGATACCATTTTTCTGCGCTCAATGGTAAATCATCGACAAGTTCTTCCATATATTTTTTGTTTTCATTGAATGCATCGACAATATCTTCAAGATTTGTTACTTCACATAGTGTAGCAAAGAATCCTATTTGAAGAAGTTCCAATTTTGATTTTTCTTCGATCGATAAATTAGATTTTCTTTTTAACATTCGTAAATATTTTCGTTGCAATTCTAATTTCTTTTTGAATAATTCAAGACGTTTGATTGACGTGTCGAATTCAGGTAGACTTTCATCAATAACAGTAATGGCATCTAGAAAATTATCAATTGGAATAATATTTAATCGTGCTTCGACATTATTCATTTTGCTAGTTTCTTCATTGATACATTTGTCTAATATTCGCTGTTTATTTTTTTCAATAATCAATTCAGCTTTAGTGGGTGGGGCCTTTTTCGATGAAACTTTATGTTGTTGTTTCTTTTTAGTTCCAGATGCAGCACGATCATCGGCTTTATTCACTGAATTTTCTTTATTGGCTATTGCAGGTGTTGAAGCCGTCGGAAGAACAATTTGTGCTTGACTATCTCTGACATCACGTGTAGTCAATGATTTACCGTATAAAGTAAAATAGTCATATCTGTGAAAACAAGAGAAAAAACATCAATGCTTACTGATAGTTTCAAGATTGATACTTACAATTTTTGTTGATTTCTTGTTCGATAACGATGATCTTTTGCACTCTCCTGTTTAACATTTTTCTCGCGTATACGATCGATTTCATTACCAACCTGAAAATCAAACGTAGAGTTAATCACAAAAAAAATATCTACCATCAATGGTAACTTACATCGATATATTTTTCCCAATAAATTTTACCTATAAATGTAATATTAGATATTCATAATATAATGAAAGAACAAGGCGGAAAAAGAAACTTACCTTCAGATCGAGCGATTTGACTCTCGTCCGGAGTAGTTAGATCGGCTTTTATCGCATCATTCGAAGAAATTAATGGTTTAAGATATGTATCAAGCAGAGGATTTGTGATTCGAATAATTTTCTGTTTGTTTGGTTGTTGTTGTTGTGTTGATGATGAAGATGAGAAAATAATATCATTCGTTTGAACCAATTCTTTGATCACATCTTGAAATATATTTTCATTTGATGCTATATTCAATGCATCGAGACTTTCTTTAACAATTAAATATGTTTTTGGATCGAGACACATCTTTGGTGACTGATAGATTTGATTGAGTGTAAAGGCAAAAAGACGCCCATCAAATAGATCTGCAATTTTCAACCAAGATAGTGATGAGATGATATGTGACGCGAGATTAGATGCAAGATGTTGTTGAAATTCTACTATCGATTGAGCCAATGTCTGACTGTATGTTACTGAAGGAATCGATGATGGAAGATGCCGATCAGTTAATGATAAACGATTGAGAAGAGCCACATGAAGAATAAGTAGTGGACTAAATAGTTGAACAAAACGTTGATCTCTGTTTTGTTCGTTAAAATAAAAAATTGTTTTAAGATAAAGAAATAAACGAATATCATTTTCACTAATATCTTGGCTTAATTTTTCGAATTTACTCCAATCGCGTTGTTGTACGCCATTGATATGTAATTTTGGTGATAATATATTTACTATTTCATTGAGTAATTCTGGTGGATATTTTTGATTAAATTGTATTTGAAAACATTTAACTGCTGTTTCAGTTAAGGTTAATTTATTCAGTAGGTACAATTGACATTTGATGACATATTGATGATAATTACTAAATAACCGATACATACAAAATAATTTTTCTAACGTTTCTTTTGATAGAAGTTTATCGTTTTCTTTGTCGAATGTTGACATATCATGATGAAACAAAAACATTGGCTTTTCTTCCTGGCCAAATTTTAGATAATCATCATCGAGCCAAGATGAAAATTGTTTTATTTTCATTGATCGATATTTATCTGCATTTTTCGAAAGATGACCAATTAAACACGAACGAACAAGGCCAAGCATTGACTTTTCTTTTCGATACAAATTATAATGACAATCGAAAAAGACAACTGTAAAATTGCATTGATCTGACTGATGAAAAAGTGTAAGAAGAATACGTTCAATAATAAAAATTACATGAAGTGTATTTCCATTGTACAAGTCAAGATTTATATTCGTATGATGTGCGATAGATAAAAGTAATGAATCTCCATCAATAAAATAACTTGTTGTATCACGAAATTCTTGTCGTACATCAACAAAACGTGCTGAATTTGGATAGAAAATATCGAAATTATTTGATAAGAAACTTCCTGTATTTGTTTCTGTTTTATTTGTTGATATTAATGTTTGAATTATAGTCAACATAGGCTGATGTATTGAAGGAACACTTGATGATAATATATGAAATGGGAGATATGGAATGAGACGTTGATATTTACTATCTGTATTTATGCTTTCGAATATGTGTAAAGCAATTTGTTTTAAAACAATAGTAACAATTTGATCATCAGCACTTTTGAGACATTGTTCAATACCAAGATAATAAAGTTCAACGAAGTGCGTATAATTTTGTTGACAATAATATAAAATTCGCAGAAGACGTTGACACTGGCGAACTATATTAACACACAGTTCTGCTGTTTTACTTGAATGCTGAGTCTAGAGAAAATTGAAGAAACAAAAAAATAATTCTATAAACATGTTTGCTTTTCTTTGAAATATATTTACGTTTCCATTAGGAATCGACTTTTCATTTTTAGTTTCTTCTTTTTCTTCTTCATCTTCAGACGATGATGATATTAAATCTTGGTCTAAAGTTTCACTTTCAAAATTTTCATCATTACTAACATTGTTTAATGTAACTGTAATGCCGTTCCGGTGCACCTGTTGTAATTTACGTAAAACCATGGCTTCCCAATCCTTAAGATATTGCAATTGAAAAAATTCATTGTTTTTATAAATATTTTCAATAAACACTATCTCGGATGTTGTTTCCGTATCCAGTAAATAATTAATAAAGTTTTCTATTTGGTTGTTCATTTTTGATAAACAAGTAAAATAATGTAACCTTAGGTATATATATATTAATCGCGATAAGAGAAAAACCCACTAAAAGAACAACTGGTACATGGACGTTTTCTTTTTCTTCCTTCTATATTAAAGCTAATAACAGCTCGACAAGGTTAATGTATTTCGCAAGAGTATGACACATGGTGATTGGGCAATAATATGTGTAGGATGTTTTTGCCTCAACCATATGACGCAGTAAAATAAATAAATAATTATTCTGAAGTTCTTATGAAATTTTTGTAACAAGTAATAATTTAGCTATTTGTAGACTAATAAAATTAATAATAAATTTTCTTAACTATTTATTTAATAATATAATGTAATTATAAAAAACAGATCGAGGGAGATGTCCGATAGAGGGAGATGTCAGATAGAAAAGAATATATGTAATTAAATTGAAACTGTTTTTCTTATTTCAGATTTCAGTATTAATATGATTCGATCATTGAATTTTCAAGATTTAAAAAATAAATATGGATATGGTATTGTTTTTAAATTCGTTATATTTCTTTTTTGTAAGTGATATCTCAAAGAAAAGTAGCATACTGTTGCTTAGAATTGAGTCTGATTCTGTTAAACAACAGGCTTTTTAACTTGCAAATAATATATATTATCATTGACAAAAGAGATTTCAAGAAAATATAATTAAATATTGATTAGTTTTTATAGAAAAATATGTTGACTATCACAAAGCTTTATATTCGATCGGTACACTGTTGTATTACTAGATTCAATTGAACGATTTTTAGATAGTCAACAGAAGAAAATTTTTATTTAATATAAAAAAATTGTTTATCGCTTTAACAGGACAAGCTACAGTAAACGTGAAAGCATAAATAATCGTACTAGAGTTCTTCGTGAGAAAACTGAAGTTACAATATAAAAAAGAAGTCCAAATATTGCGAAAATAAGATAAAGATATAATGATAAGTATCTGCCCGGCGTTGAAAGAATTGTCAAATGAGCAGTTTTAGTTTCTTAATAAATTAAAATAGTATATTAAAAAGAAAAAGAGAATTTCTATTCAAATTAATTTACCACTATCAAGAAAAAGAGCAACATATCCCATACGTTGAACACCCATGCGATATGAACAAGTTGGAACAGAAATTTCATAAATAACATTTTTATCAGTTAGATCTAATGTAAAAATTGATTGTGAAAGATGTTCTTGAGCAAGAATTGTATTTTTCATACTGATTCTATCATAGGATATGATAGAAAACTAGAATAAATAAAATGCATGTTTTGATTCTATAATTTAAATTAACATATTTACATACGTGATGACTATCACCTTTGAGAATAATATTTGGTTCAATATCGTTTATAAATGCTTTAATAAAACGAACAGTACGTGTTAATATCGTCCAATGATTTAATACAATACGAAAGTTTGCCTTCATCGGACGATTTTGTGTTTGTTCCATTACTGCAGAACGCTTTGCGTCGGAATATGAATCAAACATATCCATGTCTAACTAAAAAAAACGAAATAACATAAAATAAAAAGCTTAGTTGAAAACATACTTTCAAAAACTGAATATCATTTTGATGATATAAAGCAATGATACGACCAAAATAATTTCGAAAACGTTGTCTTAACAATGGTTGTGTATCACCATAATATTCTCCGCCAACATCATTATCACCTGGAATAATAATATAGTGCTGTTCATGATTTTTATAGCCAAATATTGAATTAAATCTTTCAAAATATCGTTTAAATTCATCGTCAGATGCTGACAAGCCTTCATCAAAAATATCCCCTAAAACCACAATCCAATCTGGTTTCACATATGATTTGGCTTGTGGAAAAGTTTTAGCAAGATATCTATAGAGACAATAAAATATCACAAATATGTTGTTACAACTTGAGAATCTTACCGATCAGCCTCCTTTCTAGTGATGAAACCAAAAATACCTTCATCTTTTTCACCAATTAATTGTGGATCAGCAGCAATCAGAAGTTTTTCAACGGAAGATCTACGGTAGAAGTGATTTACATATGAAATTATCTTCAATCGGATGCGCAACGATTAGTTAAAGAAAACTCAATTAGTTCCTAAAACCCCGTTTTTCTTGTAAGTCCCTCTTACTTTTTCGCTATTTCATGAATATTTGGCCAATTAAAATAAGCCCATTGATAGAATAAAAATTCATTAATCAAAACTATAAATATTCCAATGATAATCAATACGCGATAACGTGTTGAAAACCATCGTCTACATCTTTCAAAACAAAAAAAAATAAACCATTAAAATCAAAATTATAAATATAACAAATTTTGTTTCTCTCACTTTGAAAAAAAACGTGATCGAGCACAAAAACTATCAAATCTATAGTTCAATGATGCATTCAAACGGCTCATATTTAATATTGGTCAAATCTTTTACTTTTCTCATTTACATATTTTATCTGTAAATAGATCATATCCATAATTTTAACATAGGCAAGGTAAATATAAGAAAATATTTGGAAAAAAACACACATACACGCGAAATAAATCGTAGAAAAAAAAAAGGTTTATTTCGTAATTTTAGTCACTGGTATTTTTATCATAGATTTTTTTGACGCGTTCAATGGCATCATATAAGTCACGTGGAAATGTTGCCGCTGTATCAGTTAGTCTCAGTGATATACTATACATTTCTTTGTAATCTTCATACATAATTTTTTTACTGCTTGTACTTTTTAAGATTTTAACGATTTCTTTGAGAAAAGTTTGTATACGCCCATTTAATATAGACAAAAGACGTTGTGCTTCTTGTACAAATGATTCATTATAATCATCGGGATCCGAACTTTGTCGATGCTCATCAATAATACCAATCGTTTGTTGACATTGAAATGAAGCACGTAACCCTTGTTGAGAATATTTTAAACGTGATGAATTGTCATTTGCATCTATTTAGAAGAATTATTTAAATGAATCGAAAAAAGACAAGAAATAGATTATTCTTACTTTGAAGTTCAAAGTCAGCTAGAGCAACTTCTTCAATTAAAAGCCGTAGATATTCGAGTGGATTATCATTAGGTGAAAATAGTTTCAAGGCCTTTTCATAATGTAATGAAGCTAAAGAACGTAAATGTTTTCGACGAGTTTTACTATCCTGAAAAACCAATGAAATGAATCGAAAATTAAAATTAAAGTAAATTTTTTAGCGTACTTCTGTTCGAAAAGCATTATGTAATAAGGATGCTAATCGATGATGAACTGTACCAGCACGATATTTTGCTAGTAAATAACGATTTGATGTTGGATAATGAAGTTCAACGTCGAGATATTTCAATGCACGTGTCATACATTCAATAACTTCTTTTTCAACCTTAAAAGAAAAGAAAAGAAAAATAGGTTAAATTTCTGTATTCTACTTACATCTTCTTGTGAAGTCGTACTCAATGGTGCAAAATCTTGAAGTGATATAGCCATTGCAAAATAACTATTTGATAATTCCCATGATAATGTTCGATAAATCTCAAATAGTTCTGTACGATTTTCAACAATTTTTAATCCACGTATATAATAGTCAAAAGCTTTATGATAACTTTGTCGTTCTTGTTGAGAAAATTCCTGTCGTACGCCGTCAACTAACGGAACATAATATTGTGCATAATATCTCATCAATCGGCCAAGATTTGAATGTAATAATGCAACATTTGATATATCATTGATTTTTTCAAATGCCCGAATTCCAGCATCAAAACTTTCGAAACTTTTTCGGAATAAATTTTTTAGATCCTAAATTACACAAAGATTCAATCAGATCTAAAAATTGTTCTAAACTTTAATTTTTACTTTTGGTATTTCTTCATTCATATCTTTTAATTCTTGAGCACAATGATTCATCCAATAAACTCCCGTTTCATTTCTAACATTACCCAAACGTTTTACTAACAGATGAAGACGTTCTTTCTCATGATCACCAAGACTTTGAACAATATTAATTGCGTACTCATACGCATGCGCGCTAGCTGATAGATTACGTTCAATAATTGGTGTTAATTCATATACCCAAGAGAATTCTTTAAAAACCAAAAAATTAAAATGAATGGAAAAGAAGGAAATCATGATACTGTTTACCGGAAGAATTTTCATCTATTCCAACTTCATTGATTACACTTTGAATTTCAGAATCAATATCACTCATAATTTGATATTGTTCACGGAATTTATCGATTTCTTCTGTTGATGTGACGTGCCCGATCATTAAACGACAATCGCCAGCTATACTCATAATATAGGATAATAATTTTTTACAATCAGTATTATTTTGATCTCTCGATTGAAGTTTAAATTCCGCACCTTCAATTAAACGAAAAATTATTAAGACTAACAAAAACAAACACAACCAAAATTCTTACTGTAACAATTAAGTGCTAATCGAAGATAACGTAAACAAGACCCATAGTTTTTATCTTGTTCACAACGATCAACAAGACAAAAATAAGCTGAGGCTGCTTTGTGTAGAATAATCGATTTTAAACGTTGATCACCTGTCAAACGGTTTTTACTATCGATTAAAAATTTTGTACAGTTTCGAGTCGTTTGATAAGGTAATGGAACAATCAATTTTGATTTTTGATTAATTTCATCGGCTTTTTGGTCTTTTTCATCGGGACTTTTAGTTGCTTGTATACGACGATAAACTATATTACTGCGTAGTGCCTTAAAATAAAGAAAATTTAAATCGCCGAAAAAAAAACCACAGTGATGATCTATTTTAGGGAAGTGCATTCGAAAATTTCTAATCTTACCGTGACTAAATATTTCAATGCTTCTCTTGCTCGTCCTTCAAGATTACCATGAACAGGACCGAGACGTGGTACATCTTGATTTTCACGGAAATGATGTTTTTTCGATTGCACCAGTGTTTTAATATCAACACAAGCAAATGTAACTGATTCTTTTTCTTTTTCAAACGATAACTAAAATGTAATTAACAAAAATAAAACTTCAATCAACTATTACCAACTCCTTACAGTATTTTTTGACGATTCCGAATCTGTCAAATCATTTTCATCATACGTCCAATTTCGTTCAGTAATATTATCATCAATAAATAGATCCGACATCATATATGCAGCAGCACAATAGTATTCGGGAAATTTCTCTGGGTCAAGCATATCTAAACAATGTTTGAGTAATGTACGTATTGTGCCAGATTCTTTTAAACGTGTTTCATAATCAGATTTCAATACCATATTATGTGCCATTTTATAAAGCAACGTTGCAACGGGTAACGTATAAGGATTATCATCACGATCGGTTTCACATAAACTCGTTAAATCATATAATTTAACAATATCATCATCGGGACCTAAACAATAGAAAATGAAATAATTTCCGTTTTCAGTTGATTAAGAGAAAACAGAATATTTACCCTTAAATAACCAATATGTATGTCCTTCTTTGGTTGCATTTGCTTTAAGAAATGAAAGAAGATTAGTCGCTAGATCTCGAACAACGCCTGGAGGAAATTGACAACCCTCACGATAGGGTATATCTTCTGTTTTAATTATTTCATATGATTGAACAATACCATCAACATGATAACACATTGCTAATTCAGGAACGTTACACATTAAATTATCAAGCCAACAATCAATACCAGTTAAAACATTTATTGGTTTATTCATTTCTCTGAAATAGAAATTGAATTATAACTAGATGGTATTCGAGTTTCACTCGACTACGAAATGCGGCGCGAAGCACACGAGTCGAATATTCGAAAGTAGCGAGAATAAGATTTAAAAAATAAATGATCCACTTTAAGATTCATTAGAATCGATTATTTTTTTTAAATTTCCGTATACGAATTTTGAATAAAAATTTCGCATTCACTATTCTTAAATCGACCATTTTGAGATTCATCACTAGGAGATCTTTCTGAAAATGTAACAACGAGTTTTCTAACGATTTTTTTCATTGAACGATTAATTATTTTCATGAATCATTATCTTGAATCAGATGTAAAGCAATAGACTATTGGTTTACAACTATTGATGGCGTCATTTTAATTATCGCGAAACTATCAAACAATAAAACCTTTCAAAATCATTATTGTCGAATGAAACAAAAAAAAAAGAACTCGCGACGGACTACATGAATGCCGTGCTTCGCACCGCATTAATAAAATCAATAATTAAGATCTTGATGTGCAGATATCCGATAAAATGATATCTATCTTACCTTAAACGAAGACTAACAGCTGGATGTTGTTCATCCCCGAAAATAGGTAAATCTGATCCAATTAACATTTTCATATTTTCAAATGTCCAATTAACCGTTCGTTGAAATGGTGATGAAGTACAATTTTCGTTTTGATTTTCATCATTATCATCTTCAAGATTATTGCTTGCATTAACAAGATCTTTTATTTGTTGTAACAAGGCTGCAGCTGTTGTAGTTGTTGATTCATTGTTTGTTGATGGTGCTTCCGTAGATTGAGATTCGTCAGTAGTATTCGAATTTGAGCGTGGCAATTGAGGCAATTCAACACTAGAGTATTATTCAAGGATTAATAAAAAAATATTTATTAGAAAAGAAAATTATCAATACCTTTGACATAAAAACTTAACGAGACGATCTTTTCGTATAAGTTCATCACGTGATTTATTTTTTTTATAGAAATGTTTAACAGAAATATTTCGTAAAATTGTATCAAGAAAAAAATCTCGAAACCATGTCCATTCATTCTACATAGAAGAAATTACTGTAAATAATTTAAACATTTTAATTCATACCTTTTCAAGGCGTAATAAATGCGAATGAACATCAAACTCATCGAGAAGTATAGTTCGTCCTAAGCGATGTACAATCATTGATATTTGACTATGTTTATTAAATGGAACTTTCAGTAATTTTTTGATGTGCTATTTAAAATAGATCAAAAGATATGAATTCGTTTTAAAATACAATAAATAAACAAACCTCAGCATCGGATATAACATCAACTTCACCCAAACTATCCGTATGTGCATTTGCTGAACGAAAACTAAAATAAAAATAAATGCATATTTCTTATGCTCTAATTTAGCACTTATTTGTAGAAATACGCTTCGTCTACAATGTATGAAACAACTTTCGCAAGAAAGTGAACGCTAGCTTATAGAATTAAATCTCTCGGCTTTAATATTTTTCATTATTTCACTCGCCTTCCAAAGATATCATCATGATTAGCTCTTTGTTGAAGCCAATATGAAAGTAATAAAGCAATTTCATTGTTCCATACTGGATTTTCATTGAGATCTACAGATATTTGAAATGAACAAAGACAGAGAAATGAAATATAATTAAATTACCTGTATCTTTATCTAAAAAATTACATTTAATATAGGGTACGGTTTCCGGTGGATTAACTGAAACAAGACTTGACGAAGAAGATTCATCCATGATGCAATAAGTGTCAGTGTCGTGGAAAAAACCAAAATGAAACACTTTTTCGTTTCCTTCTAGCTCTGCGACAAATATGAATTTTACACGTCAATTTTTAAACCAATTGTCAAAACAACTAGATGTCGTTTGATATTTCCTAGTTGAAGAAAGGAAGAAAAAAAAAAGAAAGTCTTCTGTATTAGTAACTTGTTACTCAATATATTTATTATCGAAAAACAAAAAAATGGTTTCAAAATTGAAAATAGCTTTAATACAATTTCTTGGTTCAACATCAAAACAACAGAATATAAGTCGAGTATGTGAATTGATCCGTCAAGCTGCATCGACTGGTGCTCGCCTTATTGTTTTACCTGAAATATGGAATAGTCCGTATGGCGTCAAATATTTTTCTCAGTATGCTGAAACCATACCGAATGGCGAAACAACTGATGCATTAAGTGCATGTGCTCGTCAAACTAAGACATACCTTGTCGGTGGTTCGATACCCGAACGTGACGGTGATAAACTTTATAATACAGCGACTGTATATGATCCTGATGGGAAATTATTAGGCAAATATCGTAAAGTCCATTTATTTGATATTGATATTCCGGGTAAAATAACATTTAAAGAAAGTGATGCATTATCACCTGGACAACAATTGTTTACATTTGATATTGATCAAAAGTATCGTATTGGTCTTGGTATTTGTTATGATCTTCGTTTTCCAATGCTTGCATCATTATATTCAAATCGTCAATGTCATGTTTTACTTTATCCTGGAGCATTTAATATGACAACAGGTCCCGTACATTGGGAGTTATTATTACGTGCACGTGCACTTGATAATCAAATGTATGTTGCTGGTATTAGTCCAGCACATGATGAACAGTCTGACTATAAATCATGGGGACATACAACATTAGTTGACCCATGGGGAACGATAATGAGTAAATGTGAAATGAATGAAGATGTTATCTATGGAGATATTGATCTTGAACATTTAAATACGATTCGATCACAATTGCCGTATTTATCGCAACAACGTACTGATGTTTATACATTAGTTGACAAGAAAAAAGATGATTGAAATGTAAAACCAAGTTTTTACTTCAGGCTCAAATGTGACTTATGATTTTTACTTTTTGATTGAAAAATTCTAATGAAAATCAGTATCATCATCGAAAAACTTAGCTATTATTTATATTGTATAATTATTATTAGAACATGCTTTTCATCATAGATGAGATTGCTGAATATCTTAAGATTGATTACATTTTAATTCTAGATAGATATATATGGCCAGTAATGTTTCGCCTGCAGCAATGGATTGTTCGAATGATACGGGAACAGAACTAGGAACAAACGTACAAATACCTGGCGGCGAAAAGAAGATATTACCAGAAGAACCTCAACCAACTGGAGGTCTGCTGATCATTGTATATTTATATTTATAACTGTTTCTAAATTTCATCCTATATCTAGAACCACAAAATACTGAAATGGGTATGATACCTTGTTTTTTTCTTTTGTTGATAGACGAACAATTTTACGAGTATCAATTGTACTGATATTTAGATGTCAATAATTTTTTGAATTCTGATGTGTTTTGCTATAACTTATAGGCTGTGGACTGACAAAATCCGATGAATCATCCGATCATGAGAATGGTAAATAATTATTCTATATTTCAGCATAGAAAATTTAATATATGTATATTTAGATAATCCAAGGAAACAACAGAAGATTGAGCAAAAAGTAGATATGATCTAATAATTATATCGAATAAAATCATGGTTCAATTTTTAGAAACCTAAAGCAAATGATCATGCTTTTCAACAGTCAAAATCAACTACAATTTCTCAGCCCATGAGTGCCGACGAAAATGAAGCAAGGAATCAATCACCTAATCGTGTGACACGAGCTTCAGTTGCTTTATCTAAGCTTAATATTAAGTTTGAAGATTCTGATGATGACGAAAATTCATCGCATTTTTCATGGGCTAAGCGAGATATAGCCGAATATCGTAGTAATTATCCGGATTCCCAGCAAAACAAAAGCGTAAATGATAACTATAAATTCTATACGAACAAAATGTTCTCGCATCCTGATGGAGATTTAATTGATAATATACATAAATATTGGTGGGGTGATTATCATAGATTAGAAATGCATCATGGCTATATTCAATGGTTATTTCCATTACAAGAGCGTGGCCTGAATTGGTCTGCTGAAAAATTACAAAAACATGAGATTGATTTAATTAAGCGGGATGGTGAAGCACTAAAACGAATATTGAAGTCCTATGAACTCATGTAAGTTTAATCATTATTGAAATAAATAATATTCATTTCGCAACATTTTATTTTGCTCTATTAGGCTTGATTTTTATGGCTTTCAATTAATTGATAATACAACAGGCGAATTACGCCGCTCATCGGATGATTCGTATGAAGAACGTTTTCGTAATTTGAATCTTTCAAGCCATAATTATTTACGTATTACTGTAAGTTTATAAATAAGAAATGCTCCATGACTTATTGTTTTTTTTCTGTTCTATAGCGTATTTTAAAATGTCTTGGTGAATTTGATTATGAATATTTGAAATTTCCTTTTCTTGCAAAAATATTATTCGAAAGTATTACAGAAAATACATTACCAAATTGTCTTCGTTCGTGTAGAGATTATTGGATTGAAACATTACGAAGTCGAGAGGAACGACGAACTATTCGACGCTATGCAAAAGAACTACTTGAATATCGAAATAAGGGAATTCGACCACCTAAATCACATCATGCTGAACGACCACAAGCAGCACCAAAACAACGTAGAAAATCATCTTCAAAAGCAACAACAAGAAGTACTGACGATCTGCGCTAACGAACTATGAACGTCTGTGATAGATTATACAAATAAAAATAAAAACTATTTTTCCAATGATAAAGAGACTTTTTCTTATTTTGTCACATATTGCAATAAAATAAAATAATGAAGTAAGTGAATGAACCATATATGTTAAAAGATATGAACGAAAGAAAAAGAACTTGAATAATACAGAAAAAAAGCTTTCTCCAATATTCTAACATGCTACTCATACACACATTGAATGACAAGATAGAAAAAAAAATTAACAAACTGCAAACAGATCAGCTGATATGGATATAAATGGTTGTTTGGTTTTTAAGTTTAGAGAATAAATGTTTAAGCGTATTGTTCTATGCGTTTAAAGATCGCGAACAACTAAAAATTAAGAAAAAAACGTTTATTAAAAACAAAACTAACACAAAGAACTTGACTTACTTTCAACATTGACAGTACACGATTTCTCAACTCGACCTAATGTATTGCTTGCAACACATGTATATGTACCTTGATCAATGGGTTGTAATGATTGAATTTGAAGCCATGATGTAAGAACATGAGCATTGGGTCCACCTCGAACTAATGTTGAGATGCGATCGTCATCAGCTATATTAATCATTAGATTTAAATATAATATATTTCATTTTATGTATGTATATTATTTACTTGGATAGACAACTTGTTTGCCTGTTGTTGCTGTATAAACCCATTCAACAACGGGTAATGGGACACCAGCAGCTTCACATGTCAAAAACACGTTGCTTCCTGTTTTGTTTGAAACACTTACGGGTGGTAATGTGATTTCAGGTGCTAGGGAAAAAAAATCATAAGAAGAAATACTGCTTTGTTCTTAACACGTCTCTACCTGAATCACATGGTTTACGTTTGAAAACTTTAATAGCTGGTTTTTGTTCAGCTTTAGCAAGCTTGCTTGATTCCATTAAATGACAGTAATTACGATAAGTTTTACCGTCGGAACTTTAGACAAAAACAAAAACTTGAATCTTAGAAATTTTATTTAAGAAATGAATGCATTTCACTTACCCGCACATTTCAACTTGATCATTACATTCACATCGAGCTTCACGAGCTACTCCGCGATGATCCATGCGAAGTCTATATGATATAAAAACGTTTATTTAATATTGAAAAATAAATAAATTGTTAAACAACCAAAATAAATAAAATTTCTATGATCGTTTCGTATTTCTACTCTATCGACTGAACTATTAGCCGGACAATGTTTCAATGAATATTACAAATTACTTACTTGCATTGAAGATTTTCACCACATGCTTCATATTGTTTGCTTGATGGGATTTCTGGGTGATTGCAAAATTCACTCTATAAGAATCATGCATACGAAGGCATGGTTTCGTTTTACACAAATCATTTTTTACTGACCTCGCGTTGAGCGCAAACTTGACAACAACCACATTTGTCGAGTGTCAATCCAGCAAGACATTCTTTATCCAAGGTCTACAAATATTTATGGAAATTTTACAGTAGAAAACTAGATAATATCGTTTTCTAAAATTACCAATGGACATTTACTTGGATCGCAAGGTTCGCATGGTCTATTTTGTGCGATAACTATTGAACAGAAGATATTTAATGCAAGTAATGTTAATAGACGAAGCGTAGCCATTGTGTATTACTAATGCTAACAGAGCTGATATATTGTTTGTTCTTTCTCACTGACGCTGCTTCAGATATTATTTTGTCCGTTTGCGGTTATATAGGGGAGTAACGACGATATATTGACAAGTCCCTAACCAATGTACAGAAAGGGGGGGGGGGAGAGAGGGAGAAAAAGCTAGTACAAACAGCAACCGTACAATATTATACTACGAGAAAAAAAAGAAAGAAAGAAAGAAAAAAAAAGAAGCAAGAGGATGGTTGGGCCGTCGTTTATCTTCCAGATCTATTCCATTCTAGTATATCTGTGTTTACTTATCAGTCTAACCGAGAAAACTAGTGTCCTTCTGCTCTAATTTTTTATCCTATGGAAAAAATTCTCGAGAAAACACAATTAATTCTCCTATCTCTGCTTGGCCACCAATACTGTCTTGTTCTATTGCATAAACTATGCATTTATCCTCCACTCTTTTTCTCTCTGGTGATATTCGCACATCTTTTCGTCGGCTTACAGATTGTATAATAGACGTGCATAGGAGAAAAACGAGCAGACAGAAAAAAGATTGTACTAGATCGCATGTACATGTAGTAACAAGAATATTAATAGAAGAAGATATTCTCTATCTTATCCTGAAACGTTTTACAGAAGACGAGAGCTAATGGTATTATTATTCGATGATATACGATTATTCTGTTTTAACAAACCAAAACAAAAACAGCAAAGAAATTCTTTTTGAGTTAACCAATGATTTTGAAAGTCAATCGAGACAAAAATAGATTAGATAAAACTTGAATTTGTACTTGAAATAAGCATGATTAATCGGTAGACAACAATGAATACGATTCAATGTAAATGCACTTTTTAATCGATCAACATTTTGTTTTAACGAGGCGATACGAACCCCTCAAATGTTTTTTTTACTATGAAATTTCTGTTTGTAGTAACTCTTTGAGCATAGAAAAAAATGTACAATTTTGTTCTAACGAAGCGAGGAATTGCAGCTTTACATGTTTCCTTCAGTTTACCGTTTGGTTTTACTTTTGCTAGTAGGCTTATACATAGCAGTGTACTTCAATGTGTTGATTACTTTGAAATCAGAAGAAAAATCCTGTGTGAGCTTGATATATCTTATAAGAATTAAAAATTATTGACAAATTGCATTTATTATTACTCCTACTCTTAATTTTTCATTTGTCATGTATGATATTTATGATTATTATTAACATTCATGAGACACATTGTTTGAGAGCGCATGACGTTGCTTGTGTAGAAACCATATTCATACAGGCTAGGCCAAATATCAGTGGTCTATTCATGTTAAGAGTAATTTTACAAAGTGTTGTATAGAGATTTCACTATTGATGCTGACGGAATTGTTTTTCATGGAAAAGATAATCGCCTTTTTTTTGTGATGAACATGTGAATTCCAATCGATAATAAAATCGCTAAACAGTGTAAACCTAACTCAGTTGTTTTCTTCCTGATTTTTTTAATTCGAATGGTATTACACACAGCAAGCAGAAGCAATGAAGGGATACTACACTCAACAGAATCGCTGATGAAAGAACTGCATCATCATGTCAGTCACTTTTTACATTCATAAGATACTAATAAACTAAGTGGCATTTCATAATTTTTTTCAATCAAGAAGAAAGTATCTTTTTTTGCAATTTTCATCCTATTAAATTTTTCATCAATTATTCAAAGTTTACATTTGAGGAATAATTTATAAAAAACAATGGGTATGAACTCGATGTCAGTCATCTTTTCTACGATGTATTACGATTCTATCTGACGCACTACTAATCATCTGATTAAATATTTGAATCAACTTAGTCTTTTTTATTTTATGAATTATTAAGGAGATCATTTTTTAAATAGTTCCCTGTGATTATATTTAGATATTTAGAAAAAAAAATGCAATTGCATTGTATCATAATTTTAACAGACACTAACAAACAGTGTGGGAAATAATAATATTCTCTTTTTGTTTTGAAAGAAATACAAGCATAAACTATTGAACGAATCAATCAATCGTTATAACGAAGTCTTCTTGTTCAGTATTAATTATACTTGTTCTGTTAAATTGTTTGCAGTTCATGCCTATGACTATTAAAGAAAAGCAATTGACATATATCTTTGCTTAACGGTGTGCTTCTGCGAACATTAAATAGTATGTAACGACATGTGCACTTTATCAAAGTAGATAAACTGAAGTAGAAAGCTAAAAAGTACTAATATCTATAAACTACTGATTACGTATCAACGAAAGTATCTGATACGTGCACGGGGGATGGATGTAATTGTAATAGTTCTTCTAATAATGTCAAATTAATATTGTATCATGTATGAGTTCATTCAGTTACTTTATTGGAAACATGAGTGGTAATAACTTTTCTTGATTACCTTTTTTTCTTATACAGTTTAGAAATTCTATAGTCTTTTCTAATGAAACCTTCTGAAACATTTTATCCCTTTTTCAAATCGAAAATAATTCAGCTTATCCAAATGTCACACTGTGATATTTTGACAAACTGTTTTGCAATTATCTCGAAAGGCATAAGAGCAAACAAGGTCGTTCAAACGTCATCCGACGCAGGTTATCATAATCTATTTATGTTGCAAAAATGGCCTAGTTTGACTGAACTCTCGTGTTTCTAGAAAGGTTTTATCATCGCATAACACTGACAAAAAAGGACCCTTTTTCTCCAGGGCTGCTTATAAAACTCTAATTTTTTGGCAAATTATTTCTTCAAATTAAATGCTTTTGGTACCAATTTTGTAGAGATTTGAATTGGCTTTCAAGCAGTAAAAACTATTTTTACTCAGATAAAAAATGCAAAAAACAAACGTAACGCTGTGACACGTTTTTTTGTCGATCAAATTTGCAGCACTTAACATACTTAAAAATTTTTAGTGCTTATATGTATTGCTCACTGTCGTACATATATCCTTCTGTAAAAAAAAATCAAGTTGCTACATTGAAATAGGAGCTGAATAATTGTACGGTCAGTTAGAAACTGTACAAGAGCTTAGAAGTTGTCCCAATGAATGAGAGTAAAAGATAAATAGGCCATTTTGTAGAGAATCAAATTTTGTATCGAATGGTATACTACTCTGTACTTTTGTTTTAAATTTCTTGGTTAGAAAATTGAAAATACAATTTTTGAAAACTTTAAAACCCGGCTTTCGATGCCAAGATACAATTTTTTTTAAAGAAAAAGTTCAAATTCATAATCAACGTAAAAAACTGTACCAAAATATACGGTTAGATCTGTCTATACCGAAAAAAAAGCAATTTTTAAAACTTGATCAGCGGAGTAGCGCGCTACGTGGGCAACCCGAATTATATATTATCTCTATATCATATCACTAGAATAATTTATGTTTCTTATCCTTTATGTGATTGAAGATCAACCTTGAGTCCTTGTTTTGTGAGGTTTCTAAAAGGTTGTGTAAGAAATTTTTCCTTCTATGATCATCTCAGCAAAAAAGAAAAAAAAATAGAATCTCTGTAAAATGTGTGATTTGTTTAGAATTATTACGCTCGAGCGCATTTATAGAATAATTTCGAAATAAGATTGAACTCTACGAGCATATTTTGTACAAAAAGCATCTTATTAAAATCAAATGAAAACTCGTTCCTAAACGTTAGCGTGCTATGAGACACTACTATTCTCAGTTCCTAGAGAAAGAAAGAAAAGCTACGTGGGTTGATAGTGTACGAGTAAAAATATTCGTGAGAGTTAAGTATATGATTTTCTAGTCATAAGACATAATCTGTTTTCCTGATTTTATTGGAAATTAACTTTGTTACCCTAAAATCTACTGCTTAATTGGGTTTTTAATTGTTCACGTGGGTATTAATAGAAATAACGATTTGAATAAATGACGCAGGCTTTTTGACTCAATCGAACTGTATTCGTAGTCTATTAAAAGACAATTCAGTATGAAAGGCGTTTTAATATTTGATGGCATACCTTACATAGAAAAACAATTCCATTGGAAAATCATGAAACATCTTATGAAAGAAGAAGGGATACAAGACGTAGCAAGTTGGGTGTAATGCAAAGTTCAATGGCAAAAAAATAAAAAGGGATAAAAATAATTCTGTCGACTTGACGTGCACAAACTTTCGATTTTCTACTAATGACATACTTGAGACTTGAATAGATTCATAGATAATCCTTATGTTTTTCACATGAACAAATATCGAACACGGTGACTCGAAAGTTGGGCTTTTGGGAAGAAAATTATAGATAGTTCGGTATTAGTAAGAATGTATGAAACGATTCTTTTTTGCAACTCATAAAAGTGTGGTAATAATTACAATTGATAAGGTAAACAATGAAAAGTACTCTCTAGGAGTGCTAATTTTAACACATAAGTGGGTGAGTGATTACTCTTATGTGTGTCTGAAAAAAGTAATGTGTCTATCAGGGCTCCTAATGGGATGGGACGAAATTTTCGTTCCGTGAGATAATGCAAGTCGGCCCATCCCATTAGGAGGCCTGGTGCCTATTCTTATGAACATCAAACAAACTACTATACATGTTTCCCGACAATGATTTCGATATTTATTGTATGGTCTGTCTAAATTAATTGGTATAATCTAAAACTTTTCCTGAGGAAAAAAATGCAAGGTATGAAATGAGATATTGTTTGTTTCTTAAAATTAATCCACCATGGTAGGCGTATATCTTTGTCAAAAGTAACGCTTTGGCTGAGAATTGTTTTCTTCCTCGTTTTTCTTCAAGTCATGACGTACTAGCATTCCGTAAATGGTAGGCGAAAAATCAATCTTGCCTAGAAAGTAACCTATCGGTTCTTCTGTATATATATGCATAATTGTATAAGAAAAGAAAAAGCATTTTTTCTCAAGCTAGAAAAGTAGTTTTCAGGTAAGTCATTATAGTCGATTACTTTCCATTTTTATTTTGTGTCTAAATTGTTGGATTTCCTCTCTTTGCATAACATAATACAAGTTCATTCCTCCATTAAGATGTCATCGTCATTGATCTTCTCATTTGGCTTTCTTTTTTTATTCATCATATGTATCTCATGTACGCCAATATATTTTTCTGCTCATAATGATGGCGGTAATCAAGGTCTTTATGGTCAATTGAATAGCAACGAAGATGATGATCATAGCCCAGTAATGATTTATCCAATATATTCAAAGGTTCATAATTTCCGAAGATCACCTTCATATTATCCACGTAACGTTCATAATTCATGGTTTCGTGTAGCAACTTATCAACATATGAAACCAACTGCTGAAGCCGAAGATAAACCTAATAGTGATAATCTCTTGCGATGGGGATAATCACGATTATCAGTGACAATAAGAAAATATGCTTCTGCTTTTTTTGCTTTTTAATAAACATGAATGACATGAAAATTGTATTTATGCTAAATAGTAGACAAGTGATGCGATAATAAATTTGACAAAATAAAAAGACATTAAAATGATTAACAAACGTCATTTACATCAAGTTTTATTCTTTTATCTTAAGCACCTACTCTGAAGAAGTCCTATATAGACAGGAATTTAATTCAGTGTGATATAAAAATTTGTGTGCAAACATCAGTTAAGGAAGATTCTTAGTAAAGTTCAAATTGAAAAAAATGCATCTATCTGGTTTGTCAATTGTATTCTTTGCAATCATTATACTGCACAGCACAACTGCCATGACTTTTCCATCTCTATATGAAATTGAAGATGATCAAATTCCTAACACTGCTGGCGACGTTGATACGCAACGTTTTCTTAGACAACCTGTAGAACAAAATCCATGGTTATTTAAACGAAATTCTCCTCTGTGCGATTATCGATTACATTTTCGACCTTTACCATTGGCAACAACTCTTTGTTCATATCGTAAGTCTTGTTTTTCATTTAAACATATATATTCATTTGTTTTATTTAGGAAACCATCATAAGGGAGACGACGTAAATCAAATAAATCCATTTAAATATGGTTAAAAGTTTTTTCGTGATTTTATTTTGTATGAAGTATGAATCCTACATTTCTAATTTAAAAAAATTAATAAACAACAAATAAAACACAAGAATAGCTTTGTCAGTATTCATCCATTGATTTAAATTTATTTGAAGTTTCAATAAAACATTCTCGTTAACCAATTGCTACAATGGGAAAATAATTTTCTATTTGTCTCAAGTCATGGAAAATATTTTACGTAGGAGATATTTTTTTCGCCATATATATATATATATATAATTGAATGATATAAATTAGAAAATAATAAAAACGATAAGTATAACATATTCTCATGATATTCATTATATACATGTTTTTGTTCTAACTATTTAATATTTTCTTGGTAAATCAATTTGATTCGGTGCCTTTGCCGTTGATAAGTAACACACTAGAATAGAAACATGACATATAGAAAACTTAGTGCGCATGGTCACATGAATAACTAAACCATAAATCATGAACGACGAGAAAGCTATTTCCAAAGAAATAGGCCGCTATGATTCAAATGTAACAATTATTCAATTAAACTTCCATAAAACTAGCGAAACAAATTTTAATTACTTCAATAAACATTTATGTGCTATTTCCATTTGTTCATGAGCTTGAAACCTAGGGAATAAAGCTAACTAAGTAGCAATTAAGTTAAATAGTATTTTCAGAAATGTAATTCATTCAATATATAATTATATATATGTAAGAAATCGCTGTACTTCAAGGATCTGAGGGAAAACAATTAAATTTAGTATCAGCGATTAAAATGAAGGCTAAATACATAGTTTACTCGAAACGTAAACAATTCACTAGACGAAGAAGTTGTATTAACAATAATAGGCTAAATTAATGGAACACAAAGGAACAAAATATTGAATTCAGCAAAATATATCGATTTATGCTAAGAGTAAACACAATATTATTGGAAAATAATGAAAAACAAAACCAGAAAAATGCACAGTAAAATGTTTCGCTACAAATTAAGCAAAAATTACATGTCACGCATCCCAAGCATTACTTAGCAACGTCAACCAGACAATAATCGCATTAGTGTACATAAAGTTAATATTTAAACAAGACCATTGTAATGACAGAGTTTCCTAGATTGATGAAAGGGTAAAAAACATTGTATAGATACCAAGTAAAAAGATTGCCAAGCACAATTTAAGAAATAGAGATCAGGTTCAAATGAAAAAACTCGAAAATATTCGTATCTAAGAAGATAAATTCTTGCTTTATCCAGTTTAATATTATATGAACGATGAAGAAGATAAAGATAAAGAGGATAATTACGCGAATACGCTTTTTACACTATTCATTTAATCTAACAAACAAAGTCAACGTAAGTTACAGTACCAATTTTGATCGGTATAGTAATTCCCAAAAGAAAAACTCATAATCTCTAATTAATAATGTCTAAAGCACATAAGAAATCATTCTTAGATCTTCTTATAAATTTTTTTCTATTCATCTAACAAACAAAATCGCACCCACATACGTTGGTGGCACGCACTTTATTTCAGTCAATCACGAATCAACTATGTTAACAGCGGAAAAACATGGTAAAACTGTAAAGACAATAATCGATGATAGAGTTTTCATCGGTGAGATATCCTAAAAAAAAGATTATTTATAATTTAATACTACCAATCCACAGAGGAAAATGTGGAGCTAAATACCTACACCCAAGTATCTTTTTGCCTCAATTCTACTTATGCAGTTTTATACAGTCAATTTTCGCCATTATCGAAATGTGTTGCCTAATTTATTTCATCCTCACATGCAAAAAGTCGTGCAGCATTCGTTCGCATATTATTTGCACAAAAACACACGAAGTCACAAAATAAGAATGCTTAAAAAGAATCAAGAATCGGAACAACTATTCGCCAGCCGAGAATCGAACCCATTAGCCGTTCAGTGATCTGCATCATCGTTAATAACTTACGAAAATGGAATTCTTGATTGGACAGAACACGTCTTTTTTAAATATTCTATCGGAATCTCAGTCTCGTTAATACCACGTGATACCACTACACCACTAGCGCAATCATAATTACACTTAAACATGATTTTAAGTAGCACTTCCTTGCCATCTTTAATGAATTAATCGAAAAACGAAAGAAGCTACTTCATAAGAATGTTGTTATAAATAATTAAATGAAAATTCCTATGAAATATTTTCATTTTTTTCTCTGACAGGCAAAACAGAATCAAATCTGGATGAAAACTGTATAATGCAGTGATTACTGATGCTTCTTTTCTTAGTTGAAAATAATTTGATGCAGTCTCCAATGCCAATGCATACAGATTCTGATTTCTATTCAATCTATGGTATGCTAGTCGCAGGAGGAGCGAAACAGCAATAAAAGACGACCTGCGATTGTAAACGTGATTCTACTTTGTAAAAATAATTACGCTCTATTATTATTCGTCGTAAGAAAATAGACGAATGCAATACATTAAATTCGAATGATGATGATGATGAACGAAAAAGGTCATCTTGGATACAAGTATTTGAATTCTTCCTAATGAAGTCACTGAATCGAATTGACAATATTTAGTATATGTTATTGCACATAATGATCTAGTCATTACCACCTGTATATGCAAAGTCACGTCCCACCCAAATAAAGTTCTATATATGTTCGAATTTTCGGTCACCATAGCACATTACTGCTATTTTTATTTAAAGTACAGCTCTGATTTACTGTAGTGTGCTAAATAAGAAGGTCAAACCAAGCTGAATTTGTTTTTTACTCTAGGCGTAAAGTTGAACTACAAAAGTTCTTTAGAATCAAAATTGATAAAAGCACTGAGATGAAAACAAATTTGTTTGAGAAGGCGTCTGTGATTTCTTACGTAGAAATAACGACTTCACTTGACTGATGCATAGCTATAGATTCTAATATGTATATATATACTTGCCATTATAATACACAACGAATTATACCATGATCTCGTATGCAATCGAACTCGGACACTTTCATTCTGGAAGACCTTTCTAATTAGTGTATAATCATTCAACTACACTTCACTTGTTTTCGCTCACGCCTTTGCAATGTGCAAGAACAAGAGCTAGCTGTTTCGCAAAGTCTACGATTGCCATATTATAGAATCCGTAGCAAACAGAAAAAGCATACATTGACATTCAAGCTCCATCATATCCATTTCAAATAGAGAAAAAGAACATCACATCAATCACTGCATCATGTAATTTCCACTTCAAGTTCTATATTTTTCTACATTACCCATCGTAGAAAAGCATAAAATGATATTTTATGGCTTTTGAATCCTACTTTTCATAATAATTTGATTACGCAGGTAGTTTTCTTTTTTCTTTCTTTTTCAATGTTTGAAAGCAATTGTGAATTATTATCGCTCTTGCATTGGATAGTTGAATGTCGAAAGTAACGGCAAAATTCGGCGCTGGTGTCATCGAAGTCAAAAGGATTGGACAGATCAGCCGTTTAGGACGCAAATTTAAACGGAGTGTGAGCAAAAAGACACGAGTTATCGCATTGACACATGATGAATCTGTATCGCAGGTATGTCGTAGAACGCCGATAATTTGAAGGAGAACTCATGGAAATGGAAAAGGATTGCAAGGGTATTACGTAGGTAGATGCCATAGACATTATGCTGTTCAAACCAGATTCCTATTAAATGAATGGTTCTGAGCAGACTCAGGCAATGTTTATACGGTATTCGAGCAGTTCCAGCCCAGAATAACTTCGGGGTCGTGTTAGGTTTGTACCCCCGGGTCGAACAGTCCGGCCTGGAATCTGGCAGGAATCCGCCGTAAAAGCCCGGCCGTATTGTTGACCGGAATACTGCTTTCCCCGCATATTTCCTGGAGTGTCCTACGGGATCCGGTGGCCTGAGTATGAGTAGGCACGTCAATCTTATAGTATGAGGAACAATACTAAAAGAAGTTCATTCTCCATAACCTCGGCCATCACTCATAATTCGACTTGTTTCTTTTACATAGCATGGCCAATCGATAGTATCCGGAGAACAGTATTCAAAAACTAGATCTCTAACTACTGGATGCATCGCAGCTGGTCAACCAGATCATGTTCAAGTGACTCACGTGAAAATTATACCTAAACCAAAGAATGCTATTACTTTGAATAACGTAAATAAAATTCAGTCTGATTCAATAAGCTACTTTTTTGTTAAGTATTAAATTGATCGCTTTTCTTGAAATATTATCAAGATTGCAACTGTTTTCACACCACTGGCATCGCCACTTCGTCATGTACCAAGTGGTAGCTTAGCAGAATCAGAAATTAAATTGAAAAAGTGGAATCCATCACACGAACTACAAACGTCAAAATACAAGGTAGTAATTAGTAACGAGGAAACTATTTCCTATATTCACTGTTTTCATATAGACGCCAGTTAATAATCAGGGAAGAGCTGTTTTCCAATACGATCGGAGTTCAAAATGGAATGTTACAAAAGGTGAACCATACAGCTTACTGCCATCTTGGTCCTCGGTAAGAGCTCTCGTAATATCCATCTTTTTAAGTTAATTTCTATGCATTATTACAGGCCGGTACAGATTTCAAATCCAACAAGGAATTGAGCTTACAAACTGCGACTTCAGTAAATACCCCGTCATGGAATCTGTTAATATGCTATTTATTTTCTAATTTAGACACAGCGAGATAAACGCAAGAAACCAGAAAAATCAACAAATACTAAGCAACAAAAAGATAAACGAAGAAGAAAGCTATTCAAGTCAGTTTGCACAAATCAATTAGATTAATAGTCGTCGTCATTTTTAGATGCTGCTGTTGTTTATGCTCTCCGTTATGTTTAATCCTTTCAATATTGGGTGCTCTTCTAGCGGCTGCAACTGTGACCGGCCTAATAGTCATCTTGTTTGTATCAAACGTATCAAAATGTAAGATACAGCTATCTATGGACTTTCTTTCATTTGGATCATTATGCATTTCTTTTAAAATAGCTGTGTCCACCACCACCACCACCACCAGCACCAGTACAACAACAACAACCACATCGACCATTACTTGTAAGTTGCAGTTTTCAGTTCAGTGGTCGATGAGCAAGGTATTTCAATTTTGTATGCATTTGCCATAGGTATTGGTTCGTGATACAGAAAAAAGCAAATAATAGTGTAGCCGTTTCTAAATGTCACCTTTTTCCGCTATGAAAACAAAGGGCGTTTCTAAAAACAAATTTCAGCTTCGTTCGATACTTGAAAGATGAACGTTTTCTTATGTTTCATTAGTATCTATACAACCAGCAGCTTAGTTCAAGTGTATTTTATACGAAATTATAGTATCAATCGTATGAATAATACTAAAATCAAACTGGTTTGTTTTTCGCATAACTCTGTAGAACTCATTGATATGAAACAATTAAAATTGTATATTCTAATGTTTATAACAAATTCCAGCCAAAAATATATCTGACTCGCTTGTTTACATCTGAGACCATAAAATGAAAGACTATATGGTTATATGAGAAAGAAAGGTCACGTCATTCGCAAGATACAGGAATTAAAGCTCAATATTCCTTGATATGGCTTAATACAAGCTCTAAAATCGTAGAAAGCGAGAAATATGAAAAAAGACTCGATTCTCATCCTAATTCATGGAAATATTATAAAAATGCTTCGGTGAATACACAAATATTGAGCTTTTCGCAAGAAATTCTTGATAAACTATGTATATATATATAATATAATTATTTGTAGATTTAATTAATATATAGATTTAGTATTGTGTCTATTCCAATACTATCCATATCTTCTAAGTTCTAAAAAATCATGGAATAAATATGATGTAATGAGAATTATCACATTTTACACCTATTATTTGATTCTTAGATTTGTGTAATCCGACATGCTTGAATGGTGGCACATGCATGTCAAACAATAGTTGCATGTGCATCGCTAATGTATGGACAGGATCCGTTTGTGAAACACGTTAGTATATTAATATATGATAAAGATTGCAAATATTTTTTTTTGATACTAAACACAGCGGTTCGTATTTTGTGGACATTCGACAATACTCTTGATGATTTTTACGGAATCTTTCCAGCAGTTGGTAGCAATGGACCTACCTATAAATCTCCAGGTATCAATGGATACGGTAGCTGTCTCTATTTAAATGCATCAGCTTCTCAATCAATCGATGTATTGTCACCACCGTTTCTCAGCATGGCCTATACATCGTTTTCCTTAAGTGCATGGATTAAAGCAACAACACTGAATAACGCTGCTGTGAATGGTCTTAGCGACAACGGTATATTCGGTCAATACGAGCAAAACTCGCAAGATCTTTCTCTTCATACCATCGTGCGCAATCAACGTCTCTATTTTGGTTTTTATGGTGATGATACTCAAGGCAATCAACTTCTTGTATCTGATACTTGGTACCATGTAAGATAGTCTATGAAGTAGCTAAACTATTGTTACTATTCAATTTTTTTCAGGTGGCCTATGTCTATGACTACTCAACATTGACACAAAATGTATATGTTGATGGAGTTCTTGATGGATCAAACTCTCCTAGAGGTCCCTATAAGGGTACGGTTGGAAATATGACCATAGGAACCAATGAAGTATTTTTCCCATATAATTATTGGAATGGTTGTCTTGATCAAATATCCTATTTTTCTAGAGTCAAAAAGTAAATTATTAGTTCTCTCCGTATCACAACACTTATTGATCGTTTGCTTTATAGTGCCACGGAAGTATTATATGATGCTACGCTGACAGTAGCCTACTCATTCAACAATACACTTTTAGATGATGGTCCAATGGGTATAAATGGAACAGGAATCAATTTTGCTTATACAGCATCTGGCCGGATTTCTACAGGCTTAACTTTATTGACCACTGTTTCGTATGTACAAGCTGGCGGCTTAGTCTTACTAGGCACATCTACTAGGCCGTATTCAATGAGTATATGGATCAATCCTACGGTGATCACGTCTGGAAACATCATTCATGTAGCACCTACAACAACGAGTATCTCATGGTCAGTACCGATGCTGGGCTTCATTAATACAGGAAATTTAGGAGCTCAAGGCTGTTCTCCTAGTGGATCGGTATCACTTACTGGGCCAGTAGTTCCTACTGGCACCTGGACTCACGTGGCTATTACTTATGGAAATTCAAATGGGCTTCGTCTTTGGATCAATGGTACTCAATTCGGTGCATCGTCTTCTGCCTATAATTATACTGCTCCTGGTGTTCCTGTTACTGTTACACTTGGTGCATCTCTTAGCAGTGCTGGTCCATGTTCATCCGGGGTTATCGCAACTGGCCAATACCATGGATCTTTAGATGAATTTCAATTGCATTCAAGGGAACTTTCGTCAACTGATATATGGAATCTTGCCAATCCTTAGAAAAAAACATTTCGATTTTATTCTTGCAGAAAACGACTGAACAATATTTTCTAACTTATACATTTTATAAAATAAATTGCATCAAGATTTACAAAAACATTTCGTCTACTAGAAAATCCGTCAAATGATACGTTCGCAATCACTCAGCTTCTCATGGTCAGAGTAGAATTGCATATTGAATATGTTAAAGATAAAATTTTATTTTAGACTAGAAATAAGTAAATTCAATGAAACAAACATATATACATATAAACATTTAAACTTTCGTCTATTCTTATTCGAACAAGCTCTAGTTAAAGTCAATCATATTCATGTCTGCCTGTATCGAAATCCATACAGATCTTTCGGCATAGTGACAAATCGATTGAGAAACGATCTAGCTCTAGAAGAAGTGAATAACCACAACTGCAAATATCCATACTTTCAAGAAAAGTGCGAATAATAGCTGTTTGTAAATATAAAAATACAATATTATTTTTCTATGAATAAAAATTTTGACGCATATCAATCTTTTAATTTCTGTTTTTATTAGTATCTCGATTAATCAAACGTCTACGTTGCCATATAGTTGTAGTCAAGAAATACACCGAATTGAAATCTATTACATATCAACAACTTAAACTAATATGAACTGAAAGCAAAAAAAAGAAAACTTGAATCGAGTATAAAATAGTTCTAAATTAATTTTTTCAAGCCTGATCTTTTTCGGATTTAAAATATATGTATGCAGCACATACATATTTGAAAATTTCTGAACGAGCATAAACAGAAAAAAAACACGTAGCAACTAAATCAAGTAAATAAGAAAAAAAAATTAAAAAGCAATGTATATAAGTTATTGTGTGTTTTTTTCATAAACATATACATACACAGATACATGTATATAAGCACTGACAAACAAAAACAAAAGTGAATACAACATGAGTTAAAATAAAGTGAATGAACAACGAAAACAAGCGGTGCATTTTATTTATTTGGATCATTTCAGAATGTTTTTTCAAGCCTCACAGTTGGTTGTTGAAGATTTTACTCGATTTGATGAAGAATCCACCGATGCTGTCGATGATGAAGAAGCTAAACGAAAATTCAATTGGATAAGACTCTCTATTGAGAATTTCAGAGTCGAAAATCTGTCGTATCATATTTCAAAGTGCATTAATCTTTACTTGGTTTATTATTACTATTTCCATTGGCAGGTAATGCAAATGGTCCAATGAAGTTCGTATAATTTCCATAAGGATATTCACTTCCATTTGTTGTTGTGGGGGTGGTGGGGGTGGCTGTTGTTGCTGCCAGTATTGAGGATGATGATGATGATGATTGTAAGTTTTGACCATTTGGTAAACGAGAAAGAATATTTCTTTCAGATATCTTAAGTCTTTGAGATACAGGTGGTAATCGAGCTAATGTGGCTGGTAATTTGTTTATTTCTTGTTTCATATCACTTAGTAATTCTTCTAATTGTGTAAGTACTAAATAAAATAACAAAAACAAATGCATGTAATGATGGAAAGAAAAGCAGAATGTATAATACGCATACCTTTATTAAGTACAGCATTAGCTGGTTTATTGCCAGCTAATGATTCTTTAGATAAATGTTGATGGCATTCAGCTAAACATTCAACTTCACTAAAACGCTGTGATAATGTCAATGCAGGATTCGTTTGTTCCATAGCTAAACCTAAAAATGCAGCGCGACGTAACTGTTCTTCGATTACAAGTGCTTGTTCTAATAATTTAAAACGACGGGCTAAAAATTTATTTTTCATTTCAAGAAAATTTCCTTTGGCCATATCCATTTTAAAGGGTTCATTGATAATGGCAAATTTTGAATCAATTTGAATATCTTGCCAACGTGAATAACCATGTGTGACTATACCTGCCAATAACCAATAGTCATGTCGCCGATGCCAAATTTCTTGTTCATGCTTTGGTTCTAATGCACGTTGTTCATTTAACCATAATGAATGCAGCTCGGTAAAACCGCCGTCAGCAATATTAAACATAAATTTGTAATCTTTCAATTTCTCACTTCGAACATAGTGAACTTTACGATTGCTACTGGATGGTTTACTGGTTTCAGTTGTGCGAACATTATTGGCATTCGGTTCAGGTATATCAAGCTTTTCCTCTGAAAAAAAGAGAAAAAACGAGGATTATATGCCATAGATCAATTTCAATTAGTAATACGGATCGATTGAAATATTTTTTCTTGGTCCCTACAAATGTCAAAGATCTCATTCAAATTCGATTTTGACAACGCCTAACTATGATTTAAGCATAGCATGTTTATCGATATTATAAGAAAAAAAAACCTGCTCGAGAAGAGTCTTTCTTTCATATTGGATATTTAAAATTTTCAAAGTTACAATTAACTTACCATTGACTGGTTTATCATTAGTATCTTTCATTTCTACATCAGTACTTGTTTCATTTTTTTCACTATCATTTTTATTATTAATTAAATCACTTAAACTCATAGATTCACCAATTAAATTACTACTTGAACCACACATTGATGCTTCGTTTAGTGACGTACCACTGGTCAATTGTTCGGTAGATTCAGATGATTGAATATTTGTTGTACTATCACTTGGCGTAATACTTGCATTATTTGTTGACTGTTGTTTTGTATTACTAATTGATTCATCATTTAAATCGTGAGAATTCTCAGTTGGAGCTTGTTCAGGCAACGACCACAGCCCATTAATACTTTCAAATTCTTGAATTTTCTTTCGAATTAATGACATAATACCGATGCGCGATAAAACATGATGTCGAGATAAGCCTTCGCGTGGTACACCATCAGAAAATGTATCTGCATTCTCAGGTACATGTTCACATAGATGTTTCATAAATAAGGAAACATAAGCACGAAAGTCTTTTTCAGATTTACAACGTAAATCTCGAACTAACCATTGAGATTTGAATGCATCCGGTGGTGGAATACCGAAACGCATAATAGCATTTAAAAATGCTTTACGTTGTCGCTGATTAAAACCTAAGATTTCAATATTTGAACCGGACTTCGATATTAATGGCGGTAATGGGCGATCACGTCCTGTTTTTCGTTTACGATCAGGTGTTTCATCGAAATCAACATCTTCATCTTCGCCACCAGCCGATGGTGCATCATATTCACTAGCTATATCTGAATTGTGTTCATTCCAATTTTCATCATTATTTGGTACAGCATAATTAACTTGACGTTTTAAACGTTTACCTTTACCATAGGCATGACTTTCTAATTCTCGATCTTGTTCATACTGTATACGTAATAGTCTTTCCCAATAGCATGGATCAAGATTTTCATCAGCTGTCGGAGGTGGCTCACGTATATCTTCTTCTTCGTCGTCTTCATTCGTTTCACGTGTAGCATAGGATGCAACTTTAAAACTAGATAAATATTCATTAAGACCATCTTCTTTTTCTTGTATGCCTTCTTGCGAACGATCAAGTAATTTGTCGATAGCTGGATCATCATAATGAATTTTTGAACCACAATTTTCACCGCCTTCGCCATTGCCTGCAACTTCATCGTCGTCTTTAAATAGATCTTCTGTGCCAAAACGTAATATATCGTCTAATTCTTTTTTGCTCATGTTCGTACCACGGCCAACACCTGGTCGAACAACTAAATGTGTTAGCATCATTTTTTTCTTAGCAACTTGTGTAATACGTTCTTCAACAGAACCACGAGTTACAAAACGATAGATCATAACTTTATTTTGTTGACCAATACGATGAGCACGTGAAAGAGCCTAGAATAGAAGAAAAATAATAAGAAAACTCTTCTTCTCTTAACTATTATATAGTCAACGTTGATATATATATACAAAAAAACAAAACTCGACATTAAATGATTATTGAGTTCGATTAAAAAAATACAATATTCTATTTCTTACTTGAATATCATTATGTGGATTCCAATCACTATCATAAATAATGACAGTATCAGCTGTAGCCAAGTTAATTCCAAGACCACCTGAACGTGTTGAAAGTAGAAAACAAAACTGTTCAGCCCCGGGTGCATTGAAACGATCGATAGCTTCTTGTCGTTCAGAGCCACCTGTTTTCCCATCCATACGTTCATATTTATAACCCAAATATTCAAGAAAATCTTCAAGTATATCTAACATTCTTGTCATTTGTGAAAAAATTAAAACACGATGACCTTGATCTTTTAATTTTCTTAGCATTCTAGCCAATAAATCTAATTTTCCACTTGCTTTGATTAATGCTGAGCCTTCATAGGCTAAATTTGGTGCACGCGGTGCTTCAAACTGCCCAGCTGGTAATAGATATGGATGATTTGAACATTTCTTTAATTCCATTACAATATTTAATAATGATACTTGTCCACCGCCGCCTTTAACATTTAAAGCATCAAAATTTTTGGTCAATATAGCACGATAATATTTCTTTTGTACAGGACTTAATTCAACTCGAACAATAAATTCCGATTTTGTCGGCATATTTTTTAGCACGTCAGCTTTCAAACGACGTAACATATGTGAACCTAATATGTCATGTAGTTTGGCAACTTGTTCGTCCTTAGCTAAATCACTAAATTCTTTAAGAAAACCATCCATATCACTGAATTTATCAGGTTTTAAAAAATTTAATAAATGATATAATTCTTCAAGATTATTTTGTAATGGTGTACCTAAAGAAAGAAAACAAAACATATGAATATCGAAGAAAAAATTAATTATAAAAACGTTTTCTTCTTACCAGTAAGAAGAACTTTATAGCCAATACTGAAATCAAATAATGTTCGAAAAAATCGTGATTGATTATTTTTTAAGCGATGTGCTTCGTCAATAATTAAAACACTCCAATCAACCGATGAGAGTGTTGCCGAATCGACACTGACTAATTCGTATGATGTTAACAGTGCATGAAATTTAACTTTAACACCATTACGAACACGACTTGCACGCGGACCAGCACGAATAGCATCATCTAAAATGCATAATTTATTTATTTATTCTATATGCGCAAAGTCTTCTTTCGTTTCTTTATTCTGCATCTAAATTTTGAACACTAGTGAAATTGATTTCATAATGACTTCAATACAAAATACTACAAGCACGCTCAAGCCTTCAGTCTACTGTATATTTATCTCGATTATGAATACTTTCGAATAATTTATAACGAAATAAATTATCTTACCTTCGAATGAAAATTCATGTTTACGAATAATTGAACGTGCTTCTTTATCTCCCGTATAAGTAACAACGTACATATCAGGCGCCCAGAATTCAAATTCTCGTTCCCAATTGATAATTGTAGCTAATGGCGCACTAATAAGAAATGGTCCACGTGAAAGACCTTCTTTTAATAGCGCTTGCAAGAAGACAATAGTTTGAATTGTTTTCCCAAGGCCCATTTCATCGGCAAGAATAACATCAGTATTTAGTGAAAATGAGAAACGTAACCAATTTAAACCTTCTAATTGATATGGATGAAGTGTACCACCTGTTACGTCGACAAAATCGGGTTGTTTTTCATAGCGTTTACGAGGTGGTGGATATTTTCCTGAGCGTTCGCTTTCATCACCTGAATCACCATTAGCATCGACTGATCGGCTTTCTTCAAGTTCTCGATTAGAACGACGTGTAACTTTTGTTGAAGTCGTTTTCTTCTTTTTTTTCTCCTCAGCATCAGATCCGTTTCTAAGTAGAAAAAGAAATGTAAAATAATGACTCTATGACATGCATCTATGATTTACCTGAATTTCCAATAATTATCAATATGTTGTTGCCAATTTTCAATTAAATGTGTATATTCACCATCTTTTTCAACTTCCCATGTGGCTTGATCATAGCCTATCTCTCTCCATTTAACAAAATAATACGTGGGTGAACCTTTCTCTTTTTGATGATTTAATATCCGATGTACACAAAGCCATTCAGGTCGTACACCATGTTTATAATATCTTTGCTCTAATTTTGGATTATAGTAACGTCGTGATACTTCATCATCTTCCTCGCCTTCGATATCTATAGTTGGTTGTGGTTGTCGAGCATCACCAATTTTTTTAATATAACAACGCCATAGAGACGATTGATGAACTTCAACTTGCAATTCAGGTAACCATTCGCATACCCAATAAGATAAGCCATCATATTTAACAAATAATTCTCGTGTTTTAAACGGGCCACGTGTTACACCTGGCGGTAAATTTGGATCTAATATTGGAATAAGACGTTGTTTAACATTAGCACCATTATCAGCTCCATCGGCTGGTGGTACAGTATCCTTTGCAGTTGTTGAAGTTATAACACGTTGTTCAATAATTGTTGTAGTTGTTGTTGCTGACTCACCATTTTCATCAACTTTAACTACTTCTGATGTTTTAGTTTCACTTGTTAGTGTTGAATGAAGATCAGGATGAGTTACCCAACGCCATGTAAGAATTTTCTTAACAACATAAGGTGGCGGTTCAATCTATAAGAGAAAGATAATGTTTTATGTAATCATGTGTTTAGTTTTATTATAAAAACAAAATAACGAATACATACGGTACATCGTGGACAAAACCAATCCTCTTCAGGAATGACAGTCATCGGTGGAATTAAACAACGCATATGATATGAAGATGGACATCGATCACAACATAATAATTCTCCTCCATTACGACAAACTCGACAATATTCCATATGATTATCGTCTTCTTCTTTTGCTTGTCGAGCAGCTGCAGCAGCAGCAGCTTGTCGTGTACGTATGGTAATACCATTTTTTGTACATTCTGGACAAGACCAATCACCTTCCGGTGCTTGTTCAAGTTCCGGATCAAGACAAACAAGATGATAGGCTTTCGGGCATGTATCACATAGAATAATTTCGCCACCTTGTTGACACACTTCACAATAATCTTGATGATCAGTTTCATAGCCAGCTTGTTCAAGTGGAAGATTTGCTAAGTCTTCAGGTACTATTTGTTGTTGTCGTCGATTATTTAATCTAGCAATACGTCTCGGAGGTCTAGGTGCTTTTTTAACACGTTTTTTCTTTGGCGGTTCTTCTTCTTCGTTTATTTCACTTTGTACAAGCATAGCTTCAAATTCAGCATCGGATTCATTCGATGGATCATCATCATCGCGTCTTTTACGTTTACGTTGTCGATTGGATTTTTTCGACGGTTTTACTTCTTGTTCATCATTATTGCCCGATGAGGAGGCGTTCATTTGTTCTTTAGCAGCTAAAGCAGCTGCTTGATCTTTTTGTAATTTTATTGTTAATGATGGAATTTTTTTATTACTACCCGCATTTTTACGTGATGTAGAAGCTGTTACTACTGAACTATCATCATCATCTTGTTGATCATTGGTATCATCAGGATCCATGTCATCTTGTACAATAACACGACGTCGGCGAGAACGACTAGGCGGAGGTGTTGATGCTGCAAGAGAACGTGATTCATCCATATCCATACGCTCACTTCCATCTTGATCATTATTTGATTCATTTAAATTATTATTTGAAGACGTTTGAGAAATTTTTAATTCAAGAAATTCACGCCAATAAGCAGCCATAAGTGTCATCACCTTTTGTGTTGCCAATTTCGGATAACGTGAATTAATTGTCGGACGAATATTTTGTGAGAATAATTTAAAAGTCGATAAATTAACAAAATCATTATCGGCATATTTCATAGGCATATGTTCAATGCCACATTCATTACAAACATCTTTAGATGATTTTTGATCCTAATTAAAGAAAATTTCAAAAGTTTATTTTCGAAAACTAAAGAAAAACTTCCTACTTTAGACTTTTTACTTCCACCACCACCGTCATCATTGGAGTTGATAGTGTTCATGTCGTCAGCCATGATAACTAATTGTGGTGTTTTCTTTATCTTAGTTTTATTATTTTATTAGTTGATTGTATCATCTAGAAGAATTAAAGATAAATGAAAATAATCAAGAAAAACAAAAGTGCAAAAACACCACCCACACACGAAATTTGTCCCCCCATCTTGCTTTTTTTTCTGTTTTTTCCTCTACACTGCCGTCTGTTTATTAATGATGATGAGTTAACTGACATTAATTGAACTCTTCTATCGTGGCATAAAATGTTGCTAGCACAAGATGTCAACCAAGTAGCGCTAACTAGTATAAGATTTTTTACTACAGAAAGTAGCGACAATCTATTGAGTACTGGAGTATATCCAATACTTACAGGACATGACAATAGAAATAGAGAGCGCTCGATGACAAGTTTAAGTGTATTTTAAAAAAGTGTCGCAAAATTTTTTTCTTGTTAAGAAAAGATTTAAAATATATTGGACAACTTTCTTTTGAATTAAAACGAAAATTTCGTTTCGAACGATTCGTAATTATTAAAATTGCTAATAGAAAATCGAAAAAAAAGAGAGAAACGATTTGACGATGAAGTGCACTTCATTGCCCTATGACCCTTACTTGCATTTGTATGGAGTGGTAGCATTAAAGCACAAAAAAAAGGAACAAATGAAGGAACATTCTAGATTAATGTTGATCACGAGAATATTTTCTTTTTCTATTTGCTTCAAGACAGTTTTATTACTGTCAATTATATTAATCGGACGTTAACAAAGAATATATATATATGAGCAAAAGAAAACGACGAGGAGTTTTCAGCAGGGAAATTGTAAATATGAGATGGTTGCATCAAAATCAAATGTCTTTATAACGAAGATTAATTTATGAATTGCATCATTGACCATTTTTGAAGCGATTAAAATTATGAAAAGAGAGAGAGAGAGAGAGAGAGAGAGAGAATAGAGTGACATAAACATATTCAATTGATACGTCTAAATCTGTAAAAACAAAGCAAGGCACGTTTTTATATGAATACTACTTCGTAGCACTTGTTATATTGCTAAATTTGCAGAACACATTTTAGAGAGATTATCTCATAAGCTATGCTTGAAAATGGCATAAAGCGAAAGATATGCTAATCAGCATACCATAAAGCAATGTTCATCATTATTAAATAGGTTCTATGGTCGATTTTGGTGAATAATGAAAGAATGATATATCGACTCACCTTTTTTCAGAGAATAGACTGATTAAATCTACTGCAATGAGGGTGGAACATTACACATATTGACATCTGCAGTTTTATCGGATAATTTTTAATCTTTTTAATTGACATATAGTCGAGAGATAATAAATATCATGTTGTTAGTATCGTTTTCATCTATTATTATTCAACGGAAATATCTGAAACTAGGACAGATTTCACTAAAATTACCATTCGTGGCATTAAGTAAAACAGAAAAGTAACGATGTGTCGTTCCCTTAAAAGCTATTTATCAAGCTCAAAGCGATAATAAAATCTTGATTTTTATTTGTTGTCTCAGCCAGCATACAACTAGTAACATAACGTACGCAGAAAATATTTTTTAAATTTAATCACAACCGGATATCTGTTTTTTATCATATAAATACGCCAGTCTATTCTCGGAGGCATCAAAATTTATTCGATTCTCAGGTGAATTCCTTTGAATAATTAACTTGATTACATTAGTGGATTGGCTGTTCTAGACAAGAAATTCGAACAAGAGTATAATCATTAGTAAATATTCTCCTGAATAATTAGAACGATGTACTGCTCAAAGTTTGATTTGCAAAAGAAAAAAATATAAATCGAGTATGATGACAGGTATCTGTAATTCGTCACAATTATTGATTGATCGATCGATGACAATTGCACGTAATTTACAATAACATAGAAACGTTCTCGTTTCATATTAGAAAACAGTAACCTAGCGACTAATTACAATTTGATGAAGATTGACGATAAAGATAAACATCAAATTAGTCTTTCAATATTTGTATCATTCTTGCTCCATTACTTAGTAATGACAGACAGACTTAATGCGAAACGACCGAAAAGCAAATGTTAGGCATCTGTTCGCGGTTAAAATTAAATCAATTAATCAAAATAAATGATAGCCTATGAAATTTTACCGACTATTTTACAAACTCGCAGGCTAATATAAATTACAATCATGGATTCATCCTTTTGGTAGTAATGAGTTGATCTGATTCGAGAAAAGTTTTCAAAGGCAGTAGCTATTTTAAAGTAGATTTCGGACGTGTCGGTGACATTGTCTTCCACTCGAATATGAGCGATTAGTATTTAATTCTGGCGCACATTTTTTTGTTTTGTTTAATATCACCAAGAGCAGATAAAAAACGAAGTAGAATAGCCATTTTAGTATGCAAATATGTTTCGAACCTGGCATATAGGCATTAACAACGATAGGTGATATCAGTTTTCATTAAATTCGATGCCTAACCTTTGTTGTTGTTGTTGTTTCCTTATTCAAAGATAATCTAAAGATCAGTTGTAGACAAGAGGCAATCATTGTATCATCATCGAGAAAAGAAAGGCTATTTGCATATGCCAAATGTTAATCGGTCTGTGTGCAAAAGCATTGAAAATGAATGTACTAATACACTTGAAGGTGTAAAAATTGACTTTCAATGAATGCATTTCTTGGACTAAACGATATTTGATGAATGACTCAATTTATTCATCTAATGAAAATTTTCGATACCATCAAAAAAAAATAATTCCACCCGTTTATTGTATGGTAGAGATTAAAATCTTGGTCTTCATGGAATTTATGCCTAGTGACATTTTTGTCTCCCATGGCAATGTCAGCTATTCCATAGAAATCAATATTATCTTCGATTTGCCGGCTGTGAATCATGGAAAATTTGTTTTCTACTATCAATTATTGTTTATTATAGCAACATATATATCAAAAATGGATATCCTCATATCTTACAAATGAGATTTGTGCGTTTTGGAACTGTTTTGCATTCAACGACGTATCTTGATTTTATTGAATTGAACATCGAAGTTTATTCTGACTGATCGCGTTAATATGTTCGACGATCGGCTTAACGTTGGTAATAACTGTCAGAAAATTGAACAGTGATACGGTGATTGTCACAATACGATCAGCTATATTTCCTAACCAAAGTGGCGAAGAAGTAACGAAACAACAAAAGAAAAACAAACAGATCAATACGATGCAAAATAACAGAATTTATTCATGAACAAAATACGATGAGTCAATGGTATTCTAACTTCAATGGTTCAATATATTGAATAACAAATGAATAACACTCGATTAAATATCGTTTCATACTAGAAGCTCATTATAAGTAATCGCCAGTGAAAATCCTCCAGTGCATCTAAAGCAATCAGTCACACAGATAAAGTTTTCCTATAACTAGCAATAATTAATCTTTTTGTTCTGCTTCAAGATTGTACGTCTAGTTTCTGATTGATTCGTCAATCATCAAGAATAGTCCTTCAAACTATGTATTGTCACGAGACAATTCAATATACGTATTCGTCATTATGGACGTATTGATTCATCAAAAAGCAATTTTGTCTGTTTAATATAAGGATCTTTTTCGGAACAAAATTAAAAACAATTCAGAAACAACACGCACTTATTCTATCGCATCTCTACGTCTTGCGACATAGAGACTTCCTCAGGCTATTGTAGAATACAATATGTTTGCTTCAATTGAATTCATCGAAGAATCCATATCTCTCGAAAGATGTAAGAAAGAAAAGAAAAATGAATCAATGATACAACAATTCAGCAATCTAATAATTGACCTAATAATAAAGCATTCATGTAGTAAAATAGCCCTTTTGAGCTTAGAATGTCACCACATATACTTGAGTAGCTTTATTTGTTTCCCTAGCCATAATACAGCCATGAGCAGAACACATTTTTGGTATTGCCAACTACTGCTAGCTACGAATCACAAGTGTTTAATCGTCTTATGCATAGAATGATAGGTCTACATGTCGCATTAATCTATTATATTCGATAAATTATATGAATATTCATATGCGTTGTGGTTTGTTTGAAGTTGAAGGTATTTTATTTTAAATATAACGAAGTAACTTCCGATTGCTCGATATAGATCATCCATTACTTTTCAGACGGTCAGAACACGATAGATAGCTCTATGGATTTTATCCCTCAAATGCACAATCATATAACTATGTCGCCTAAATACATAGCTTATATTTTCATGTTATGCGTTTATTTGAAGGAAAACATCACTACGCTATGGGTGCATCTCAAGAGATTTTTCTAAATGTATTTGTTGAATTATCCATGATATAGAATCAAGCTACTTTTAGTTTTTTAATTTTGTTCTCTATTTATTTCCTGTGTTACTAGCAGCATAATAAGTGAAGATTAAAAAAACACATTTTTTAAGGACAAAAGTATTTATCAAACAGTACTCTCAATTCTATCAAGTATTTCTTCTGCATCATACCAACGAAAATTCTTCACTGTATGTCTTCGTGGTATATCCATATAACTACTATCTCGTGACATAGTTGTTGTTGTCGTTGCTGTTGAATGTATTAAATGTAAATGACTTCGATCTTGATTTTTTTCCAGTACGTTTTTTTGTTGTCGTTGATTATTTGGATAATCATTGTTGTTTGTTGCTGAGAGTGTAAATTTAAAAAATTTTCTTAATGGCGTTTGCTGAAGAATTTCCCTTATAACGTTATAAACTTCTTCGCGAAATTTTTTTCCCGTCAAAAAATAAATGTAAAATTCTAAAACAGTATCAATTAATGTTAACATACGTAATATAAGATAGATATTCGATGTTTTGATATCTTCTGTTAGACGCGAACGACTTGAACGGTGACTTGATTTCACATAAACATAGATACTTGCAATACTATTCGTTGTTAAAAATACACAACTTGTTGTTAATGTTATTGTTGTTTCATAGCTAACATCTTTTTTTGTTATATTTGTTGTTACTTTCAATGATGGATGTACTGTACCGGCGTCATGAAATTCTGTTAATGATTGTTTATGATGACCATTGTTCATTGTATTCATTTTTATTAAATGATTTGACGATGGATTTTTCAATACACGCACAATAATCACAAGATTTGTTGATGCAACTATTGTAAATGGAATTAATGACGAAACAATAAAATTAACTATTGGAGCATTATATACAAATTCTTGTGTAGATTGAAAGCCAACATAAGAAAAATATCCCATTTGACGGCCAAACAATATATTACAATAGCTAAATGTACGATTTTGATCATCAGTTAAAATATTTTGAACAAGACTTGGATAATAGAAAACATGCCAATTATAAACAAGACCACAGAACATCATGATTAGAATAAGTATAAATACGTGTAAGCGTGTTGGTTTTGGTAAAAATTTTAAATGTATTATAGTAGCAAGACGTACAGTACAAGCAAGAATAACAAAACCAATTGACCATGAAACAAATATTTCACTACTACGTGATAATGCACATAGAATTCTCGATACATTAATTTGTTCATCTTTAACAAAAAATTTTGTATCAAATACAAATGTCCATAGAAGTGGAACGAAATCGAATATTGTTTTTAACAATAGAAGTAAACCGGTTGATGTGCCACGAAGCTTTGATTTAGTAGAAAACAAAACTATTAGAGAATTATTCGATAGTTCAAACAAATACAAACCGGCTTTCGAAGAAAGATTATACAATTAAAAACTTTACCAATTAAACCAAATGTAATAAGAACAATTGCAATTTTTTGAAAAATATTCGTATACCTGTGACAAAATAGAAATTATTATCAATTGCTCTTCGTCAAAATTCTCAATTGAGAGTGATCACTTAAAAATATTAGCTGTCACTTACGATCATAGTTGAAAGAGAAATTTGCATTCGCTCGAGCAAAGAAGAAATTACATTGAATTTCTATTTCTTCATTTATTCTAAGAATAGAACATGCAAGAAATTTGCCAAAGCCATATTAATTTTGCCAAAACTCAATCTATATCTACTTATTGCGCTGCATTAACTAATCCCTTGTCTCTATGTGAACACACACATGCCCAAGAGAACTATTCTAACGAAGAAAAGAACACATCGTCCGCAAATAAAAAGAATTTTCTTGAAGATTAGCCGCAGCAGCAAAATAATATTGGATTTGGTGAAAACTCAAAATTAGTTAGTTCTTCAACAGCATCAAAATAGAATATATCAGTCATTATAATCTCTTAAGATACACCCTAACTCTACTCTACATTTTATATATGATTCATAGTAAATAGCTTTCCATCATGTTTTGCTTTCTGTATAGAAATTTAAACAAAAACATTGAGTATTTCTCTAATAAATCTTTCTTATGGAATAAAAATAGCTTCATAAAGTTAAAAATAACTGTCTAGCACAATTTAGTTGTGATTTTGTCTAAAAAATAAGTTTTTCTTGGGCTTGTATAGAACCCATATGACTATAAATATCATTGTCAATCTGTTGTTTTTTTAAGTTTGTTAAACAATACAATTATAAATGAAGCATTTGGCACACTCTCAAAGTCATTTTTCATAGCCTGTCAATTTTTTTTAAGGCATCATATGTTCCTTCTCAACTATGTAGCTAAATGCATTATTATTCTATCGCGCATCAGTAGAGAAATCCATTAAGAATACAAAAAACAATCTAATCTTCGTTAACTAAGTTGCTGTAAAGTTGAACTGAATATAAAGTAAATATCTTTTCGTATTCCCATGAAAGTATCTAACATTTCGATATTGATAATGGTAATGAATACTTCTTTACTACGTACTTCTCGGCTGTATGTTCATAGAGTTTTTCATAAAGTTGAGAACAGTGTGTGATACATTCAATGTCGTAAGAATCATTTCCAACAAGTGTACCAGTACTATTCGTATTTTGACATGATGCCATGCACAGAAATAGATCGTCACCCATTCGATCAATGAAATATGAGTTTATATTTTTACATGAGAATAGTTCTAATCAATTAAATTAAAAATCTAGAAAAATAGTAGAATTTATGATGAGCTGAATAGATAATAAAGAGACTTGTAATTATTAATATGAATTCTATAATGCAAGCAAAAAAAGGACTTATTTGGAGTTTAGTTGTTATGGGTATTGATGTGTAAGTTTCTTTACAATCTTTATTAATTGTGTTTTTAGACGAATGAATAGAATTTATGAAAGGAGCATTAACTCAAGGGAAAAAAATAAGACAAGAAAAAAAAAGAGAAGAAAAATTACGTGATGACATATGTTCTTTATTCATTGACAGCTATGTAGGCCTGAGTCTGTCTATTCTATGGCGAGACGTCTCGATAATAGATGTATGATCTATCAAAAACTGTGACAATATCGAACAGTTCATTTTCTTTAATTTTTTTTCATTGATATTGATTACTTCTAATTACATATCAATCGACAAGAAACAAGACTTCTTAACTTACATTTCAGTTATGTTTTTCTTATCATAAACGATGTATAACAAACATCCTTAATATCTAATCTTGAAGAATAAGTAAAATAGATACTAAGGAAATCATAGAAAGAGAGGTCGAGAGAACGGAAATTTGCTTTAGTGAATTTTCTAGAGCTTCTACAATATTATTAATGCTTGAGGGCCACTCGGTCTCTTGTATTCGCTATTTTTTTGGAGTAGAATGCATTATTTCAAGATTCATTATCAAATACAAACTTAATAATACAGAGAAAAAAACGAAGCAAAAAAACTGATTGACAAATCTATTTTCCTGTGGATCATCAACGAAACAATGGGAAATATAGTCAAAAACCAAAATGAACATAAAAGTCATGGCGAATTGTTACTAATTTATTGTCTTCTTTGCTGGATTGAGTTTAGTATATATACACACCAGTATAACAGTTATCTATATGTTGCTCCGTTTGTTTTTTTTCTACGTGCTTACATTGTATGATAACTCAAAATATGGTGTCGATCAAACAAGTCGTCACGAGATCGTGGTATGCTGACGATTTATTATTCACGCGAGATTGACTACACAGCTGCAAGAGAGAAAGAGAGAAAGAGAGAAAGAGAGAGAGAGAGAGAGAAAGAGAAACAATCGACTACATATTTTCCCACGAGCTCGAAAAGACAATCAAATTCCACATAAACATCTACGATAAAAGTATTCTTCCTTATTAGATAGAAAAAAATATGAAGTTTTTTTTAATTCAAATAGTAAAATAGAATCGTTGGAACAGAATTAGAATGCCAGTGCAAACTAGGGGTGCATCAGCTCAAGCTCGAAAGTTCAGCTGAGCTGAGCGAAAAAGCTGTTCGAACGTTCATTTCGGTAGGAGCTGATTGATTTGAACAGCTCGTTCTAAAAGAGCTGATCAGATCGAACAACTCTCGTTCCTGAACTGAACTTTTTGAACAGCTCGTTCTAAAAGAGCTGATCTGATCAAACAGCTCTCTCTCTCTCAAGAACTGATTGACATAATGCCAAAAACATTATCTTTGGCATAATGCCAATCAGTTCTCGAGAGAGAGAGAGGGCTGTTCGATCTGATCAGCTCTTTTGAAAGGAGCTGTTGAAAAAGTTCAGTTCAGGAACGAGAGCTGTTCGATCAGATCAGCTCTTTTTTTAAAAGGAGCTGTTCAAAACAATCAGCTCCTACCGAAATGAACTTTCGAACAGTTCCTTCGCTCAGAACTAGAGCTGAACTATTGCACCCTTAGTGCAAACATCAGCTTTGAATAGAATTAATTATATCATTAAATATAATTGTTCATGTTTCTATTATTATTCTTTTTTTTTATAGGATTCACTATTTTAATCTTCTTTAATTATAAACAGAATTATTTTTTGATCTATGATGATATACAAATATAAAAAGAAAACAGCTTTGCACTTATCGTACCTTTATTTTCTAGGAAAGTTGAACGAGTAGATGATTTGTAATTCGTTGTTGGAGGATAATCAACATTTATGAGAAGATTGCTTCTTATGCATCAGAACTAACTTTCTCTCTCTTGAACTTACTTCAAAAGCAAGAAAATTTATCTATTCAAGTCAAGTGTGAATACTTATAGTCATTCGGTCCTTTCGATCTTCATTGTTGTTGTTGTTACTTTTCATATATTTCGGTTAACATTCGTAATAAGAATGGCAAGGTTGTTCGAACTTCACCCTAACACTTTCCTTCGTCTTATCGAAATGAAGAATATCGAAATTACGTTGCCAGCGGAAAATCACTGGAGAGAATACAGATAGACAGAAAAAATAATAGATTTATTCTATTTCTCGACAAATCTTTTTCGATTATCGTTTTTTGCTATCATGTTATCTATCTTTAATTTCCGATAATCGAGTTATAAAAAAAAAAGACAAAACGATGTTCAAGGAAGTACATAGACCAATCGTTGTGTCGTAGAGTAGAATGTTTAATTTCAATGGAACACGTACATGCGTCTATTTATTTAAATAAATATTGCGTTCAAAACAATGAATAAAATACAAAATAAAAACACCGATTACAGAACAACGTTGACTAGAAATTACATTTGTTGACTGAATGATAAAAGCACATAGAGGAGAAAAAAATGCACATATACTACGGCTCATTTGATACTGCAAAAACAAATTTGAGAAACATGACATCTAGCATTAAGCCCATACCTGAAAGAAATAAAAATAAGTTTTATTTCAATGAAAAGAATGAAATCTTACTCGAATTGTACAATCCCATGAACCGGTTCCTAATGCAGTCCCATCAGGTGAAAGTTTCAATGAACTAACACGATTCTCGTGACCATATAAAGTAGCTACACGCGATCCTTTTAATGTATCCCAAACATTAATACAATAATCGCTATAACCACCGAAAAGAAGGCGACCTGAAAATGTTCGAAATGATCATTAAAAAGAAATGAACAATCACTTTTTCTTACCACTCAACGAAAAATCAACTGCATTACAAGCAAAAATAATTGATTCTTTTTTGAATATAGCAACTTGTCGATCAGCACGTAAATCAAAAAGGCGACACTAAACAATAAAAATAAATTTCAAAATAAAATGGCATCTCTCGTCGCTTACTGTAGCATCATCTGATGCTGAAACAAAAGCATCTCCACTCGGATAGAATCGAACAGCATTAACATCGGATTCATGACCTTCAAATGTTTGAACATAACCACCTGTTCGAATATCCCATACCATAACCATATGATCGGAACTCTAAATAGTCAAAAACAAAAATTCTTGTCGCAAGACGAAACTTCAAAAATATTTTCCTACTCCTGATACAAAAATATTTCCAGCTTCCGATGGTGATATGTCAATGTCCATGACATCCGCTTGATGACCTTGAAATGTCTGTATTGCTACACTACTTTCAATATCCCATAATTTAGCTGTACTATCACCACTAGCTGTGAGTAGCTAAAATAAAAGAAATTAGATATAACTAGTATGCTTTTCTAAAACAAAAAAGTATCCAAACAATGAAGCTCTACTTTCAGTAAATGTCATAGTGAGGTGGGCTGATTGGCTCGTAAGAAAGAAAACAAAAATAACAATTGCCTTCTATATTTATATGGAAAGGGAAGTTGGTTATTCGAAAATCAATGTGAAACAATTATATAAAGGAAATCATGATAATATGAATAGATTTCGTATTCAATCATCAATTATTACCTGTTGATCAGAATGCATAAATTTACACGATGATATATAACTCGAATGTGTTGCAACAACTTTTTTATGTTTATTTGCATCGTCATCCGCATTTAATGGGTATAATGTTAATTTATTATCCAACCCTCTGTATAATAGTAAATAAAAAACAAAGAAATTATTTTTTAATTTTTAATTTCTTTCTTTCTAGTAGTATTTACCCGCAAGCGACAGTTGCACCTGATGGCGAATAAGCACAAGCTAATACCCATGTTGTTGGCATTGTAATAGCATGCTGGAAATCAAAACAAAAAGATTTCATTTTCTTTTCCTGTCTACTTATCTAAATAAAATAAAGCTCACTTCTTTATTCGTTGTAAATGCATCCCAAATAATTAATTTTCCATCTTGTGATGTGCTAACCATGTGTCGTTTATCATTAGACCAATCAAGAGCTAACACTTTTCCTTGATGACCCTTTAAAATTCGTCTTGATTTGGTTCCAAACGGCGGCAATGAATCGAGCTTTTCCGCCACGGTTGTTACTAAATAATCAAAGAACAAAAATAGAATAAATAAATAAATAATTTTAATTTACATTCCATATCATTAAACTTCGCTCGTTCTTCTTCGAGTCGAGTTTTTAAGGATTCAGCTTCTCGAACAAGATCATCAATCGATTCCGTTACTGTACGTTCAACAACGATCGCCATTTCTATCAGCCGTAAAATGATGAGTAAAGAAAAATAAAAGAAAAAACAACTCCAGTAATGAGACCTAGTCCATAGTTTATTCTATGGATGCTGACAGTGAGCATAGAATAGTGTTGTCAAGTATGGCGATAACAACAATACACACACGTATATAATATAACAATGATTTTTTTATTTTCTTGATCATGGATAAGCCACAAATTATTTTACATAGTCAAAAGTCAGTTAATTATACCGTTTTTGATGTTAAATGGATTCCGACATCAGCTAAATTTATTTCACTTGGTAATCATGCTCGTGGAACAGGTGCTTTAGATATATTTGAAATAACACATGGAGATATTACAGTTGTATCACAAGTAAATAGAAAAATTGATCAATGGATTTTAGTTGATAAAACTGAATTTTATTTAGAATGAAAAACCTTCAGCTTTCAAATGTGGAACATTTGGAGCTTCACCAACACGAGAAAGACGACATTTAGCGACAGGAAATTTCGATGGTTATATTCAAGTTTGGTAAGAAACCATTTTTAGCACTTCTATTTTTACTTTTATTTTATTTTATCAACTGTAAAATAATTTTAGGGATTTAGAAAAACTTGACAAACCAATTTATTCAGTCAAAGGTCACAAAGAAATAATCAATGCTATTGATGGTGTCGGTGGATTAGGTGTTGGTGAGGGTGCACCAGAGATAGCAACAGCTAGTCGAGATGGTAAATTTATTTAATTTTCTTTTCCTTTTAAATGTATGTATACTATACTTTGCTTTCTTTTGCAGGTCGAGTACATATATGGGATACGAGACAAGCTGATCTTCCTGTAGCTAGTATGGAACCTGCTGAAAGTGAAACAAAACGAGATTGCTGGTCAGTTTGTTTTGGTAATGCTTTTAATTCAAGCGAACGAATTGTTGGTGCTGGTTATGATAATGGTGATGTGAAATTATTTGATTTAAGATCGATGTCTCTACGATGGGAAACAAATATTAAGAATGGGGTTTGTTTAATTGAACTTCGTAACGAAAAAGAAAAAATTCCTTTGTTTTCTAAATTTAGGTATGCTGCTTGGAATTCGATAGAAAAGATATCGAAATGAATAAACTTGTTGCAACAACATTAGAAAGTAAAATACATGTATTTGATATGAAAACTCAACATAGCGAAAAAGGTTTTGCATCAGTTGTGGAAAAAGTAAAAGATAAAAATCATGAATTTATAAATTATTTTCAATACTAATTTATCTATGTACAGGCTCATGATTCTACTGTTTGGCTTGGTAGACATTTACCACAAAATCGTGATGTATTTATGACATGTGGAGGTTCAGGTTCATATTATTTATGGAAATAGTAAGTAAAAGAATGACACAAAGTTGTGATACGTTCATAATCGAATTTATGAAATAAAATTTGTCTCTTTTCTTTTTTGTTAGTAACTATCCAGAACAACGCTTCAAGACTCAAACTGATAAAACTGTTGTGGGTGTCGCCGGCAGTTTAGCTCTTCTTCAAAATATCAGCTTATCCAGTCAACCCGCCAGTGCTTTTGATTGGAGTTTAGATAAGCTTGGTTTAGCTTGTACATCCGCATTCGATCAAACCGTTCGTGTTTTAATAACAACAAAATTAAATACAGTTTAAACTTTTGCTTATCTGTTATTATGTGTATTTTGCATTGTTAAGCTTCATCATTTCTCATATTAGATAAAAACAAAGGACTTCTTCATACATTCATTCATCGTTGCGATTTTGTTTTTCTAAGCATTTTTGTTTTGTTTTGTTTTTCTTGTTTTATTTCAAACGAGACAAAAAGAACGAATAAAGACAGAAAAGAAAAATCTTGGTTGTTGTAAGTAGTGGTATGATCAATCTTATTTCTAATATGTTATTAGAAGAAAAAAAGTGATCACATAAGATGGACAAACATTTACACATGAACTAGAAAAAAAAGAAAACACACTCACACACACACTAAGTCATATGGATGAGTTTTATACTGTCTATCGATGACAACAGACAGAATAAATCAAAAAGAGAAAGATACACAGCAAGCAAAAAAACAAGTTAAAACATAACACCGGAAAAAAAAACTTTTTTTGGATGATATAAATGAATGCAAGAACAACATCAGTAAAAGAAACAAAGCTTTATTCTCAAACGCAAACAAGAAACATAGTGGGAAGATGGAAAACGAAAAAGAAAAGAACAAGAACAAGAAGGAATTCGTCTACGGTTCTCTGGAGTCACCCGATGCTGTAGTTTGATTGACTTGTTCAGCTGCTGCTGTTTTACTTTGTTGATGTTGAACTGGAGCAACATCACCGGCTGAATTTGATTCTACGTTTTTTCCTTCTTCACTGTTATTTTGTTGATCATCGTGAGGTTGTTGATTCTCTTTGTTATATCCTAACGAATGCAAAAATAGCAGTGAATTATCTATAGATAATCAAATTAATTTGTAAACGTACCTCCTCGCTGACGGAAACGTCCACGGCCACGACCTCCTCGACCACGACCTTCAAAAAGAAAAATGTTTCTTCTACCGTTTTAATATTATCAATAAATCAACATACCACGTCCACGATATCCTCGTCCACCATAACCATAATAATTTCCATAGTAATACGGCGACATACCATATGGATCATAATAGCCTAATGAAAATTAAATTATCAATAGAATAAATCTAGTTTACTTTTTAGAAAAAAAAAGATTACCTTGTTCAATGAAATAACCGCCACCGCCACGAGGACCACCACGTCGACCACGACCACGGCGTGGATTTCCTGTTCTTGTTTGATCAACATCAGCGTTATCTTGATGATCGTCTTGTTGATTTTCATTGTGTGCGCCGGCTTCTTTATTATTAGGTCGACTTCGTCGGCGATTTCTTGGTGCTAAACGACGAGCTATTTTACTAACCATATTACGAACAACATTTTTAACAATTGTTTCATCATCTTTGGGTTTGTGAGGTTGTTCTAAAAAAACGTTGATCAAGATGAAAATGAAAAGTTCAATCAAAAAATTACGTACGTTCTTCAGTCTCTCCACCACTGTGACTAGCATTGGTATTACGATGTCTTCTACAAAATTGGAATCAAAGAAAATAATAATAATGAAACAAGATATTAGTAAATATTTCTTACCGACGATTCGATCGCTTTTGTTGCTGATTGGATGAGCCTTTATTTTCTTCGTTTTGTTGATCATCAGTCGCAGCACTTCAAAATTGAGATTAATTATAAGATGAAAATTAAATATTTTTTTAACTAGTTTACCCATCATTTTGTTGTTCGGCTCCAGAACCTTCGTCGTTTGTCCGTCTTAGACGTCGGCGACGGTTAGAATTACGTCTTCCCTTGTTATTTGCATTATTTTCAGTAGTATCACCTTGTGGTTGATCATTTTGATTCTCTTTTTCGTTGTTATTATCAGCACTAAATATGATAGAATTTTTTTCATAAAAATAAAAATGAATTATTGTCTTTGATTAAAAACAAACTTTTCATTCTGAGTAATTCGTCCTCGTCCTGAGCCACGACGTCCTCCACGTCCGCGTCCACGACCACGACGAAAACCTCGGTAATTGCCACGCATTGGAAAATCATTACCACCATCTTGTTCAGATAGGTCACCACCTGGACCATAATTACCTCCTGACTGATAACCACGACCACGAAATGGTGGACCGTAGAATGGAGCTGGAACACCATAGTATCCTGTTTTTTGTGAAAAAAGTAAAAGTAAACCGTGTTAACGAATGTTTCGATAATAAAATAATATAAACGTTCTTTTTCTTAAATTCTAAAGTAGTCTCTGTGTGTTTACACTGTCGAACTAGGAAAAACTTAAATATGGCCGGCATCAAATATGAACGAGAAAGAAAGTGCCTGAAGATTACTATCATAGTAGAATAGAAAAACATCAGACATGCGTGTAAATCGAACTGTTACAAAATCAAAATATGAAATACAGTACACTTACCACGAGGAGGTCCATAATTGCCTTCAGGTCCATAGTTACCTCCAGGTCCATAGTTATCTCCGGGTCCGTAGTTTTCTTCAGGTCCATAATTTTCCCCCGGCCCATTGACATAATTTGAATAAGGTGAAAACTCTCGACGAAAGTTTCCATAGAACGGTCGACCACGATTAAATCGTCCCCGACCTGAATAAGCAAAAAATTGGAATATACCTAACAAATACATAAAACTTCTCTTACCACGACCGCGTTGAAAACCTCCCCAGTTACCACGACTACGACCTTAGAAAAAAAACAATTTTTTTTTAAAGAAAATTTTCAAAATCGTATTAAAACTAAAAGTTACCACGAAAGTTATTCATGTTATCATTATCTTGATTGTTATTATCATCAGAATTATTCGATCGTTGTGTGTCATCATCATTTGATGCTCGATATTCATCTTCACCTAAATCTTGGTTTTGTCGTCCACTACCTAGACACAATCAAGGATAAAACAATTTTTATTTTTAATATTTTCCAACCAGGTCGTTTGCGATAGAAATTTCGTGCACGATGAAATCTTGGTTGAATTAACCCTTGGCCATCATTATCCATTTGGGCGTTATTATTTCGTTGATTATACATGCAAAATATCTAAAATAATATTCAACAACTAATCAATGTGGATATGATGCGGCTAAAAAAGAAGATGAAAACAAAAAAAGAACATGATCATCATAGAATTTGGCGCGGCATATTGATAAATGAACGTTATTCTTTTAATGTGATATGTATGCATTCATTTCGATTCGAATGTGCATTCAATAGAGGGTGTAAATGTAAAAATAAACAAAAGAAAATTTCTTAATGTTGGTTGCCTCCACTAATATGCATAGTGCATATAACGACTATTACATGAAGAGGCATAACAACATTTAACTCTTTCTCGTTCTACCGGTCCCTGCCCTTTTCTTCTTTTCTTTGTGGTCAGAGAAAAACGTGGACTATAGATGTTGTACCACGCGAGCTTTTTCTGTTTCCCAATCTATATGTATGGATGAAGAAAGGAAAGAAAAAAAAATAGATTCATCGTTTGATATTATCATTTTCATCGTCTACAATTTAAAAACTGTAACTTTTCCTTGAAAGAAAACAAGAGATGTTTGTGTTGCTGGATTTTTAATTTTAAGTTCATTAACGAATAAATCAACAAAGTAAACAAAGAAAAACAGAAAGTTTTAAAAACGGGAAAAAAACACCGGTATGTATAAAAGAAAGAAAAAAAAAGTTAAACCGGTTCTGGACCGATGATCTTCGACATGTAGGGCCCATCAAGTTCATAACCCAATTTACGATAATAATTTCTTGTTCCAATACCTGAAATAACACTTATCTTCCACGAACCATGTTCTTCCAATGCTATGCGTTCAGCTTCTTCCATCAGTAACATACCATATCCCTATTATAGGATTTAATTTAGAAAACAAACAGTTCCAACAAAAATTTTCCTATCTACAAACCTGATGTTGAAATTTCGATGGATCTTTAGCATGCACTGGTACAACACTACCATAAACATGCAATTCTCTTACAATTGATACTTGTCCTCGTTTTAATTCTGGCCGAAATGTTTCATTTGTACATTTTCTTAAACGTAATAAACCAATTAATATATCTTGTTCAGGATCTTCATATGCTAGAAATGTTTCCCAACCATCATTGGCAGCATAATCTCGTCGTATAAGTTCAACTTGTTCTGGTTTTATTCTATTATGAATTTCTTGTATACCAACTTCACGCGTACGAACATCACGACATTCCAAATTTAAATCGCGCATACGTGCTAGAGCATGTTCACGTAAATTACCATGTTCAACACCCGATGTAACAAGTGGCATTGGTATATCACGTTGAACACGATAAACACGTGTCCAAGGTGGAACAAGTGCAAGAATTCGAGCAACTAAATCAACAAGAACTGAAGGAGGATAACTTGCATAACGATTCGTTCGCCATAATTCATATAGACCTAGTATGTGTGTAAAGATAATAGATAAGATTGAATAAAAGAAAAAAAAATTGAAGTTCTTTGTTTATTTACCAGTCCCACGAATAACAAGGGTAGGATAAAGTTTGAGACCATCAGGCCGAAATTCTGGACTTTCGAAAAATTCCTTTATAATGAAGAAAAAAAACTACTTAGAAGAAAAAATAGACTTGAAATAAAAAGAAATACTTTGAATTGATAAAGATCACGTTCAAGATCAACATTGGGTAAATTAGGCATCATATGTGAAACAACTTTAAAACCAGAATCTTTTGCCATACGAAAAGATTCAGTGACTGCTTTTACTGTATGTCCTCTGTAACAAAAAAAAAGAACATACGAATCGTTGTAAACGAAAAACAGTAATCGAAATTATGCAAATGAACAAACCTATTCGTATCTCTAGCAACATCTTCATAAACACTTTGAACACCAATTTCAAGACGTGTACATCCATATGCAAGCATATCACTAATGCAAAATAAAACAAATTCAATATTCAATAGATTTTCATTTTCATTTTTTTACCTTAAATGAGTTTTAAGACAATAATCAGGTCGAGTTTCAATTGTAATTCCAATACATTTTGTTTTACTACATTCAGAATATCTATTAAAAATCGAATATATAATTTATTGATATTGATTAATAAAAACAAATTCTACCTAACAGCTTCAGTCACACTACTGCTTGTGTGTCCTGAGCAAGCATCATGTAAACTTCGAATGAAATAGTCTCTATAAGTTTCCGGTAGGGACATAAATGTTCCGCCCATAACAATGAATTCGATTTTATCTATATTATGTCCGAGTTGTTTTAACTAAATTTAGAATATCTATATGCATTATTACAGAACCATCAATATTAATAGAAAAATTACTTGCTCAAGGCGATGTTTTGTTTGTAGATAGGGATTATATCGTGCTCGAATTGCTCGCATTGATGTTGGCTAAAAATAAATAAAAAGTAAACAATTAGTTTCAAGGCACTTGAGAATAATAAGAATATAGACTAAATAGAAATATTTTACTCAGTGAAATTATAGTTTGATAGTGTTAAATTCATTTCGTATTTACTTCATAGCCTGTATATGATTGTGTGGAATATTCAAAGTCCGAATCTGGTCCACCAGGACAATAAACACAAATATTTCCAGTCATAGCAATATGAGGACATCGATGAGGTTTACACATAACAGCAACAACAACAATCTGATAATGAAGAAACGATAAAACGTAAATGAAATATTTTCATGCCTTAATCTTACACCGCTGGCTGTTCTAACAGGTTTAGCTTTGATTTTTGGTAGAAGAACTTTTTTATATGATTCAGGGATTGCGGCAATAATATCAACTAAACGTGGTTGTAAACCAAGACCATATTTAGCTGATGCTTTACATTTAACTCTAACAGGCACAAAAAAAAATTTTTGTTATTAAATAAATTTCTTTTCATTTACTTATTTAAATCAATTTCTTTTCCTTGCTCATATGCCTCGATTAATTGCTTGACTACATCAGAAATTGTTGCTAGCATCAACTCATGAGTTGATATGTTTTTTCCTAAAATTTCAAAATAGAAATGAATTCTTTTTCTAAAATAAAAAATCACGCAACTCTACCTTTCTGTTTCACCATAATCAATTCTACTGATTAATCTACAGAGAGACAATGACAAATTTCCTCAGAAAATGTTTGTTTATTTCTTGGGACAGCAAAAAGATTACCACATACGATTGGTTAGAATTCTTTTAGAAATGTGGTTTAATTAAATTTATTAAAATCGAATGTAAAAATATTTCTATAATATTGTGCAAGATTTTTTCATTGCGTATGATGAAATTTATTTATCAAATCATTGAAAATTTTTGTTCAACCAATCAAATTTCATCTGATGCGTCATCGCCGTGACAAAAGTGTCTCGAGCGTTTTTTGTTTATGAACATGTCAAAAAGAAAATAGGAACGTCTGTAGATTTTTAGATTCTGATCTTGTTCTTCGGCAGATATTTATTTCTTATAATTTCCAAAAATAATATTGTACATACTCACGTAGATTTCAAAACTCATTATCAATGAATGAAATACATTTACCGATCACAGGCATTTGTTTGGTGACAAAACCAAATAATGTACCAACGGGTTATGATTGTATTAGGAAAGGTAATGCAAATTATTTTACTAAATTGAGTTTTTTCTCCACCGTAATTTATACACATAAAAATTAACCTCGATGAATATATTTCACGAGAGAAAATCTATCAGAAAATAAGCAATTTCAGTAATGCTTAGTGTATATAATGATTTCAAAATAGAATTTCTCTAATAATGATAAATAGAGATGGCTCACTCGATAAAATTTATACATCAAATATAGTGCGAGTCTTGAAATAAAAAGCTATTTGATTTAAACATTCTTTTTTTTGTAGCTTACGATGACACGAATCGTGATGCGGATCTTATGGCAGATTCAATATTGGAACGTAAAGATCGTTTTGTCTGTATTACTCGTATAATTCCATTAGCTGACAATCGTCAAGATGTCATTGAAGATATCAAACTTATAAATGAACGTGATAATCCACCACCAGGTTATTCTGTTTTGGCGTATACAACAGACACACGTGAAAAAGGTACAAACAAAAAATTAATTTGTGTCAAAATGGCCGAAAGACAAGGAGGTATGAAATGCATATGTGATATTATATTTCTTTATCGTTCACGACGATCACCACAATTTTATACATCGATCGGTGAGATAAATGGTTTACAAATGTGTGTTAAAGAAGGTACTGTACCAACATTACGTCCTCCACCTCCACCACCAGCTCCACAACTCCAATCGAATCTCTATCCAAATCCAATGAATTATCAAACATCTGGTCAACAGCAATATTATCAAGCACCACCTGAATATTCAAATACAAATACTCTTACGAAAAAGAGCGACGAAAGAGATATTCTTGACGGTATACCATTTCAAATAAATCCAAAATATCTAATGACAATGAATAATAAACGTAACGGAAATGATTTATCTGGTTTAGATTCATTTAATATTTTATCAGCATATGATATTGAACAATGTTTTCAATATGATTTTAGTGTTGAAAGATCATCTCTTTAATATTAATTCCATAGTATTAGAACAACTGAATCTGTCCACGTAGAGCTTTGTGGAGAACAACTTTTGTTAACTGAATGATTCAGTATTTTATTTACCAACTTTCTTTTCTCTTCTTGGTTTAAAATATGTAACTTTACACATTCTTTTTCTTCTTGCAAACCCACCGCAACAAGCATCGCTATAGATAGCTGAAAATATTATTTATTATTCATTAGTATTATCAAGAAAAAAAACATGTGTATTTGTTGAAATGGGCTCATTCTACAACACATACTTGTACTGTTTCACTCTTTTGTTCTTCATTTATTATTGATTTTATTTCTTTTTGTGATATGAACTGATTGAGGAAAGCATGTTGTAATGTAAAAGATGAATTTTTGTCCAATAAATAAATGATCTTTGAGTAAATTGATTGTTCTTTCATAGACACTGGTAACACTATCTACACAGTTTACCATGAAATCTATAAGAAATGTGACTTGACTGTGTCTTAATAGACTCAGGTCTAGCATTTCGATGACCGAAAACTGCTAATTACGAGGCATACCCAACGGTAAAATAGTTAACTAAGACTACCGTTGATACGGTCGGCTCATGACATGTATTTTCGTGCATATAGAAAGCAAGTGCAGCAGGTAGAGGATGAGTTTCAGAATGAAGAGACAAGCAACTTTAGATTTCATTTTTTTATTTATGCCTGAAATATCGATTTATCTTTGGGTCGCAGCCACATAAACACTATCCAATAGGCTGGTCGTTTATAGAAACAAGCTGTAGACCTCAGCATGCTAGGAAATAAAACGTCTGGTAACAATAATGAGAATTTCAAGCGGAACAATAGCGTTCAATTCAAAATACTAGCATTCTTCTAACGCAAACAGGAGACACACACATCAGTCAGCTGCATAGCAACTTCTTGGATGTTTTTATTCAAAGAATGATGCCGTTTTCTAAACGTGTATAGATCTGCTCATTTTCTACTTTTTCTAAACCACAGTAGGCTGTAGAACGGATTATAATTAAACTTTGCAGATGGGCAGTTTCGTTACAGAATGTAAAAGTTTATGTAGTCGTAACTTAGAAAGTACGCAAAGGAACTCTTATATCATAGACACAATTGGAAAGATGGAGTGTAGAATATCAAAGTGATACAACAACATATAAGCGATTGTTTCTACACGCATTTTATTATATTCGAATGATAATGATACAAGAACTCCATACATGTACATACAGTGGTGTGCAAAAATAATTGCCATTAGTATTTGATAAAGTTATTCTACTGAACATGATGAATATTAAAAGTTTTTTTTATTTTTATAAATAGATTATATATACACAAGAGTACACCAATATAATAATCGATAGTTAGCTTTTTTTTTACTTCAGCCAAAACAAAAGCAGCAAACACTATAGCTTCATCGATACACTCAAATAGCTTAAGATCGCTTTGCCTATGTACGTGGATTATGTGCTAGCCTAAAATATGTGTTTGGAGAAGAGTGGAAGAAGCTATGGACCTCCTTTTGGATCAAGATCCAGTAGCCGGAGTTTCAGCTCGACACGATATCTTCCCGATTTTTAAAGCGGGAAAGAAATGCAACACAACTTTCTCAAATTTTGACATCTATTTGACGCTGAGGATGAAATTTCAGAATTTGTTCACATGGGGCAAAATTTTATCTATTAGCCGATGTCTGTCTACTATCGAAATTTCAAGTCGGCCAGACAAGTCATTGCCAAGATAGTTAGAAAATTTGCTCCGATCGTCATGTTTTTTGGGAATTCTATACACCGTGATTCTCCGTTTGTTTTTACAATGCCGTGTCGTTGGACCTCATTTGTATTTCGTTAGATACTATGGACGTAGAGTTTCTTTAAGAAGACAATTTTCGTATCGCTACGATTGCCCTAGTCGTGATAGTGTAATATGACTGTTTGATATTCTAGACAAGCGGTAGATATTCGAATCATGATGCCTCTCGCTCTACTGAACGACACTTTTTGAGGATTTCCGCTCTGATTAAAATCTATAGCACATCCTTAATTACTGATAAAAGTTTCAGAAGAATCCGTTCATGAGCTTCACATATATGACTCGAGAAAATACGTAGGTGCAACGGCAATTCTTTTCTGCACTTCACGGTATATGTATATGTATGTCACCCATCGTTCTAAATACACAGAAATAAATAGTATATTCAATGATAAGCATAATGCAGTTCTTGCTTAATTTTAAAATTCGTTTCAGCCTATTATTTGAACAGGGCATTGTTCTCGGCAAAATATTCGCGACTATCAGCGTTTTAGATGGCTTTCAATGGATTGGTTGTAGCCAAGTTTTTGCTTAGTGACTGGCCATATGCATTGTCTAGAGTATTAGCAACCACTAAGAAATGTGAGGTCTCGCGAATGATTGTACCAGCTTGTGAATCAGTGCCTATCGTCGGAGTTGACCAGAACAAAGGACATAAATAGATTGTCTACGGACGATTTGAGTAAACGTAAGCATAGGTATTTGCAATGGTGCATTCACAACTGAAAACTAGAGCTTGGAAATTATATGTATTTTTAATATTTTGATAGTGCGTCTTTACCGTATTCCAATTGGCTGATGTATATGTGCCAAACCAAGTCTTATAGCGGATTGTTCCAGAGGGTGAAATATTACTCAAATAAGTAACAGAGCTATCGGCATATGAACGAGCCGAAGAAAATGCAGTGTTAATCAGATCTTTCATATTACTTGTAGAACAATAAATATAACTATGGGTTGCTACTGTTGGTTGTACCTTCGTAATATTAAATTGTTCGAACTGGTTATTAGAACGACCTTCTATGGTCTATTGAAGATTGTTTGACTCCAGACCTATTTGAAGGATACTATTGGGATCTGTAGCAATACTTCTCGATGTTTGAACAGACTGAAACAGGACACGTTATGTTGGCATATCGTATTGAATTAAATAATTGCCAGTTTTAGACATATCATACGCTGATGAAAGTTGAGCGGTAGCGACAATAGCTTTTCCTGATACTAGAGAGATTACATCACCACTAGTTGGTGCACGCCGTTTCATTAACGGGTCGACATAATCAACAGGAGTACCGTTACATGTTATTCTGAATAATGGATCATGTGTTTCACTGTTTGGCAAACACTATTTAAAAATAGATATTGATTGAGTGCGATTGTTAGTGTACTGTATCTTGACTATTACGCTCTTCGTTTTATTAAACATCGAGCGCAATGAAGCTATTCGAACTTGTAAACCATCTGCATAGATGTTCGTCAATATCATTATAATTGCAATGTGTAAAACGAAATTCTGTTTGTCCATAGCAACGTAACGTTTCACAGTTCAATAGAATGTAAACGTCTTGTTAATATTATACGTAAAACAGAAAGCTCATTATACTTATATACGAAATGGAGTAGAAACATTTTTCACACTGTAGATAATATCTCATAGTCACGATAGGCGTTTTTAAACGACTCTGACAACACTCGATACTATGAGCCAAATTGGGGGGAAAATCCGGAACGTTGAAATTTTCTCTTGTTACTCTCAAATTAATGAGCTGACTAATATTTTAAAATAATCATGTATGCATGACGCAAACGAACAGAAGAGAAATTATGACGTACCAAAATCGCTAGTGTCTAGCTGAAATAAAACGATGTATCAGACGGATCATAAGCGCTTATTACTCATTTCGCACAAGTTTGTTTTAGAGATGGATACTTTATTATTCTAAATTGGACGCATTGAAAATCTAGATCGAGTATTACTATCTAATTTTTAAAGCTAACACCAATATTAGTAAGTATCCCCAGGTGAGCGATACATGAATGAACTCGAAAATAAATACCAAATTTTAGTTCTGTATCAGAATGTCGAAACATTTCGACGAAAATAATCAACGAAGACTGGTTAGGTTTGACATGAAAACTACATTATTCATAGAATTAAACGCTGATAAAATCAACAGATACAAAATAACATTGTAGAGAATGTAAGAAAAAACCCAAATGGATGCCATTCATATCTATAAAAAAAATTATTTACAGTTTCACACTCATTTACTATGCCGTTACTTTCTTTTTCTATACATTAATTCGTCATCTAACTCTATTAATTTGAGAATGACACAATAACGGTTACATCCTATTCGAAACCAAAAGATCACACTATTGTTACTCGTAAAACAATAGTATTCAACTACTACTATTTCTTCACGGTAACTGTGTACACTACAGAAGTTTCCTAAGAGTCCTATGTTAGCAATGTGAAGAAAATAATATTTGTTCGTGACGTCTGGTGCTTGCTTTTAATTTTATTGAAGCATCACCACTGTGTATTGGCCATTGCAATAAATATTTCGATAGTATAGTGATGTGAGAAAGTTTGATTTTTAACTGGTGTCTTTTTCTGTCATTGATATTGAACTCTTCAATGCACTCTTACGTTAGAAGTTATATTCATGGTCGAGAAAACATAAACAAGCTAGTAAATGCTGGCATATATCTTCATTCATTTAAACTGTCACAGTATCAGTAGTGTCTACAGTAGTTCTTGTTTCGATGATACTTCTTAGGAGCACATGAAATATAATAAAAGCAACAACTTTGGTTTCATTGAAAGCTAAATTCTAGTATTGTGACTTTTTTTTATTAGAAGTCGGTAAATATTTTCCCATGAAACTAAAATTTAGTTGATTATATTGAGTAGATTTGTACATATTAGTTCAGACAGTATAGAGAAAACTATTTTACATGGGAAAACAAATCAGAAATTAAAACCGATTCTTTTTTTTTCTTTCAAATGACAGAAGATCACACAGTGTAATTGGCTTCAAGATATAATTAACATCTTTTATTTTTATTTTCGCATTTTCATTTTGCTTATACGACGTTGTAATCGATCAGCATATTCACAAGACCACGAGCTAAGTTTCGGTGCTGTAGATTCAATTAGTTGGTTAATGTTTTTAAAAACTTTTTCTAATTTCTCGTCATCCATTAAATAATTTTTCATTTCAAACGGAAATGGCATTGGCAAATGAGTTGTTTCGTTGTATAAAACCGCATGACGTGCTACACAAAGTATCAATGTGGATAACAGACGCGTGTTTACCCATTGCGTACGATTCAGTTGTCCACGTCTTAAACGATATTTAACTGGTTTTAATAGAAGTGTTTTAATTAAACAACGAAATATAAATGTTGATATGAGCACAAATTTTGTTGTGAAATGATCTAATTGTGTCAGGCCTTTTGCTTTCATCTTTGTATAACTCATTGAAAGAAGATGCCTTTCAATAGACCACAAGTATGTTGGTGGATATTGTTCAAGAGAACAGTTCAGTAAATAAATTAGAACTGAATCATCGCTATTTGTACCTAAAATGCCATTATGAGGTAAGAAATCTGATATATTGTTTATAATGGTTTCTGCACAATGAAATAACTGTTCTTCATTTAACAATTGAGATGAATGATTAACAACATATGATAGAGCCTTATAGATAGGAGAATTCGGTTCGAGATAAACTCGATGTACAGCTGTTAACAATTCAAGAAAACGAATACGACAATAATCACGATGATAATAGGTCTTTTTTTTTTTTGCTACACGCAAATTTCTTTTTAACATAAAATAAAATATCAATATAAAACCGTAGGCTTTCCAACGGCGTTTTAAATTCAATTGTCTTGTAGTATAACTTTTATTTTGATGAAATCTTTCATAATCAATTTGAAAACGATAATAATGTTGTGCTAGAGGAAAAAACGATGGCTCACGATTATATGAATTTAAACTTGGAAAATCATGACGACAGCAATGTTGACAAAATAAAGGTGATTGGTAACGCGTAAGATTGATACGTGGCAATTCAACTGGTGTTATAGGTTTCGGTAGTATAGGACGCATGTCAAGAGAACGATCTATATTGAAACTACTGAATCGAGTAGGTATTGGCTGTGGCATTGGAATTGGTTTGTATGTGTTTGTACGACAAAATACGTCTGATGGCAAAATATACCGTTGATAGAGACGTTTTGAACGAAGTTCACGAACCGCCATCGCTTCAATCAAACTATCCATATCGCGCGACAATAAAGATTCGTTACAACAATGTCCTGATGGCCAGAAATGCATATTATGATCAGCATACATATTTCGATATTAGTTAAGTATTACGTTATACAATTTTCGATTCTGTTCTGTTTTTTCGTTGAATAAGTTAAGTTGAAGAATTTATCAAAAATTATATAGAGACGATAATCAAAACGTCATGCATTATGTGTGATAAAGTAGCTTAGATTATAATCCTATTTCCTATTATTAACTAACATGAAATCATTATATAACGAGAAAATAATTTCTTTGTTAATTGCTCCGAAAAATGCACAGCACTGTTGCATTACTTACTTCATTTAAAAACCAAAAGTAACCGAAATTTTCAGGTGCACTGACGAGGGAAGATCCCTGAGTGTGCCTCTGAGATTGTAACCAAAAGTGAATGGGTGTGTCAGGTCAAGTATTGGCATCTCAAATATATACAAATTAGCGACCCAGAGAAAAGGAATAAAAAAATTTAAGCCAACAAACTTTTTAATACTCTGAGCGGTACCACCAGTACTTTATCACCAAAAAAAAACTCGCCCGTGTTACCCCTCAGATTATTACAAGATGTGTTCACTTAAACGTTTTGATTCGTTTTCTCTGGGCCGCTAATTTGTATATATTTGAGATATCAATACTTGACTTGGCACACCCATTTATTTTTGGCTAAAATCTCAGAGACACGAGCAGGGGCCTTCCCTCGTTAGTAGTTCATTTTCACGACGAATCACACACAACACCATATGGCTACTGTCACAGTTATAACCAATATCATAAATATCGAACATTTCAATTAACAATTAAATGATATTTACTTTGACAGTTAATATTAGTATAACCTAAGTTACACTTTGGTTTTTATTTCATTTCGTCTTTGCAAAATTTGCTCATATAACAATTGAATGATTCTGTATTGTGCTTCACTGCTTGCAGTTTTCGTTTCTTTTAATCAGAACCACTCTTGCTCTCCTGCTGTTCTCATTAAATTATGAAAAAAAGAGAAAAAAATAAAAGGAAAAAGAAACAGAAAAGTGAGAAGACCAATAAATCACACGAACGAATAACACAATACGATAATTTGTAAAAAAAACATGTATTTTTTTTCTTCTTCTTCTCTCTTCCATATAAATCTATAGTTAATTAAACATGCTGAAATGGATTCATAAGACTTTGTAAAAATGGATCTCGTATTAAACCTTGAATAAATTCTTCTTTGGATATATGTTGATCTTCATTGACATCAAGATTTTTCATGATTGTGTCTGCACATTGTTCGTATGAATATTTCCGTGCTTTATCATCACTCATACCCAATAATTCAAACATTGCATGTAAAATAAATAAAATTTCAGCTCGATCAATTGAACAGTTTCGATCTATATCGTAAACATTGAATGCATAGCGAAGTTTATCCTCTAATGGTGCTTCAGTTGTCGAAACATAGGCCATTAAAAACTATTTAGAAAGAAAGTATATTTCGATAAAAATAGAACTGTCAACATAGACAAGACTTGTCGATTCTCAGAGAAACAACTGATGTAGATTATCTATTCGCATGTTTCATATCTGTTATTATCGTATGATAGTCTCTTACTACGTCAAGAGTCAAGATAGATTACATCCGTAAAAGAGAAACATGATGTTCCTGTCATTTATAGAAGAGTGTTAGTACATGGAGATGAGACAAACATACAGACAAGCGAAAGAACTAGAAGTCGGATGTAATAGATTGTCATCGTTGGACATTTTTCATGCATCATCAAAGGCTCTTTTGTATTCTTTTCAACCAATTTTTTATCTGGAAAATGTTCTTCATGAAAAACACCAATAATAATCTTTTGTATCATATAGGATGTAAAGTAATCAAGCATTTTGATTATTATTATTATTCTTCTTCTATTCAATGGGATTCTTATTCTATAAGCTCGTCAGGTAAATCCTATTATTTCTGCCCTGTAGCAAGACTATTCTTTAATTTTGTTGTGAAAATCTATTCATCTTCAAGATCCTGCCAATTTGAATAGCATTATTAAAATACATAAAACATACTTCAGAAAATGTTATACCATGATCACCATTTAAATCGAATGCTCGAAAAATATATTCACTTAAACGTTTCACATTTTCAGTTGGGCGAAGTTCTTGATAGAATTTGCAAAATTGTTCTTTGTTCATTGTTGTCGAACCTGGACTGCATTGCTGAGTAAAACGGTCTTGCCATATGCGCATGTCATCACGTTTCAATTCCGTATATTTTGCTATCGATTCATGAACTTGGTCCTCAAGTTTCACTTGGTTTAATCCCATTACGATGTCGTTTTCTATTTCTATGTATTTGAATCTAAAATACACATTACTTACATAGTAACAAGGCTTTTATCAAATAAATACGAGTTACTCTCACATGCCGCTGCTATTTTTCTTCTTGAGATCAATCATACGCTTGCATGCAATCCGCCGTGATAGTTCGTTTCTTTTTCTTTTTGGTTATTTCCTCTGTTTCTCTCTTTTATCATTTTTTTCTCTTCTTGCTGTTTATGAGAAAAGACCCACCCAGCGGATTCCATGCTGGCTTGAAAATATTTTAGCTTATAATTTTTTTCCCTTTGTATTACTGTATGGTTCGTTTGAAAGATCTTTTTGCTTCAACAGAAGCTAAACTAATTTTGACCGATCTCAAGCTGTCAACCATACGCATATACAGACTTTTCGATAATTGAGGAAACATGCAACCACCGTGTGAAATCAAAGGCACCTGTATGATGTTTATGTATTTGTACTAATTGGGACATACAACGTAACTTAAGCAAGAACAATGTTTTTTTTTTATGTAAAGATGTTTATTAGAAATCTTTGTCTCACAGACGAATTGAAAACAAAATTTCGTTAATGCATAATGTAAAAATCAATATGAGCAAAGAGATATAAAAACATAGAATAGAAGTTTTCGGAAGATATCAAAATTTTGTCTGTTTTTGCTTGAATAAATGGACGCCTAATGTATTAAAGGATGTCATTTGGTGTTAAATTAGCTTTTTCGATATTGTCTTTGCTGATCAATATTGAATTAGTAAGCTGTCGTAAAAGATATTGCCGACGATTTTGAGGCTCTTTAAGGGAAAGGAAAAATCCACCATTAATTCGAAATCGAACTATGAATTTGAGAATTAAATCATCAAGTTCATTATTTTTTGCTGTACTAAACAGAAACAAAATGAGATTTTCATAGCATCTGGATGTTTAAGATAAAATCAAATTATTACGATGAATATTTTTTGCACAATTTATCAAGTATATCAAAACATTGAACAGGATTTAGATAATCAAGTTTAGCTGATAGTTGATCAAAATTTTCTGGTTTATCATTATCATAACTATCGACTAATTGATTGCATTCAGAAACGTTCTTATCATTCATCGATGTAAGTCCTCTTGCAATACCTATGAATAAAATATTCTAATAAATAGTCGTATAGACAAGTAGTTGATAATTTCGTACTTCCTGAACAATATGGACATAAGCATTTTGTTGAGCTATTATCATGATGAGTATTTTCGCACATTTTCTCGTGAAGAAAAATTCAAAGTTAAAAACAAATGAGGGTCAATCGTTGGATCGTTACACCTGTGAATATCAAATAAACGAAAGTAAAAGAAATGCAGCTACCATAAAAAACACATACGCATCTAAAAAATCTTATTTTATTTGATTAATGATAATCAAAAAAACAAGTCCGATTGATTGAATCAGAAATTTTTGATGAGATGTTAATCTTACTATTATTATTCCAAAATAAATTTTGTAGATTTTTTTGCAATTTCACTTTTCTATTAAATAAGTTTCTCTAGATGGCAGTAGTGCATTAGTAAATATTGACAGGTATAGTATTTCAATTTTGTTATCATTTTAATACAATGATATCAACTGTAAGCCGCAATTTAATGATGCTTCTATGTAGCTTTTGACATTTCTTTAGATAAACGAAGTGACAATACAATTTTATACATGTTATATGCATATTTTGCTTTTCAATAATGAAATGATGAGAATTACAAATGTGTAAGGAAAAAAAATAATTCTTCGGTAGATGGCGATGCGAAACATTTTTTCATTATTCTCAAGAGACTTCTCTTTGAGTTTGATCGATTAATCAATCAATCGTTATTTATTGGATCCTATCCTTGCTTACTACTGTAGCATTAACACATTTAATATATTCCAGCTTGAAATATGCCCATCATCTAAGTTTTTTTTTTTATATCTATTGATGCCAAATATGGTTTATGTATCTCAGCCCGTATTCACCAATCGGCGTGTTGCTTTAAAGGATTGTGCTATTTTGAAACCAAGCTTTCCGGAGAGAATAAATAGTAACATGAAAGCCCGTTTTCCACACTATAAACAAATCTTTATATTGAAAAGTAGAATCTATTTTTTATGATGGAACACGCGAGCTTTCATGCAGTTATGAATTCTGTACGGAATACCTGTCTCAGGTATATCACTACTTTTATTCCAAAACGATTCGCATTAAGGCTAACAGGAATTGAAATTATGATTCTTTTTTACGGTAAAAATTAATGTAACTAGTAATTTTCTATCTTTTTCTTGGTTCTATAAATTTCACTCATGACTAAAATAGCAATAATCATTGCTATTTTTTGAATTACTTTTAATAGAAATGTAATGAACTGATTTCGCGTAGCAACACTTTTTCAAAAACAAAAATAGCAATGTATAGGAATTCTGAGTCATTCGTTAATACAAGAATATTCTTCAACTATATAGGAAATCTATATTATTATGGAAGACTGATTTCCACTAAGACAGCCGTTAGGTTCTTCTAAAACGATAAAAAAGAACATTTTAGATGATAGGTAACATTTTACTCTACGCACAGCATGAACCAAATAAAAGAATATTTTCGATTTTTGAAAAATAATGAAATAATTGTTTTCTCTTCAAAGAGAAATAGAGTTTATTCATGTTTGATTTAATTCAAACTGCTGTACACGTACACTTTCACATAAATATAAACAAAAGTCTAGTATTTGAGATACAACATGAAAAAAAAAATTATTTACCTTCTATTTAAAATCACAACCGGAACTGTTTTTTTATGAACAGCAAAATGATGAAATTTCGACAAGTGAAATAGTATGGACGTCTCTCGCCACGTGCTTCTGGCTATTTGCTTCTGTGAATATGAACGTGAATCAGAATTGCTCTCGATCGCATCTACACTCCTATGTGAAAATCTTCGATAAAGTTTCCAACAAAAATAAAATCCTGTTGTATTGTTTTTTGTTTTTATTAATTGGGATTAGTGATCAAAGGTGGGACTGATTCCAAATCTGCGGTAATGATAATATTTGCAATACGAGCAAAGTAGTTTTCACAAGTATCCTCAGCGTTCAAAATATACAGGACCATAGGGAAAAGACTTAGAGTGTAGTCTATTATAGGACCGATTTTTAAAAAAATGTCGGAACCATGGCCCCTAAGAAAATTTATGGAACGATTGAAAAACAAAAGTCACCATGCGATTAAGCGTAGTTCATTTGCATTGTCTTCGTTTATTTTGCGTCTATCTAAGATCAGTAGATCATATTATTGAGACTGGTGAAACAATTGCAACTTTGCCGTCGATCTAACTAGTGTGAGTTATTGATCTTGTTAATCCACTCAACATCTATAAAATCCCACATATCACTTTATAAACCTCGTAGTTCTCTTATGATTGATGAAAACCGCAATATTCATTGCTATTTGAAAGCATGAGTAGTTTTCGTTCTGTTTTTTTTTGTGTCTAATCTGAAAAAAATCAGTAAAATATTGACAAATAACTGCAACATGTATATGGATATCTCAAAACGGAGACATACTGCTTAGAATAGGAATCAAAAGAAAAAAGTCCTTTACCATCGGAATAAATCGACAATAAGTCGTAAATAAAGCCGATTATTTAATAAAAAAATTCGTTTCTTGTACAATCAGGTTTTTTACATGACTTTATCTACAACGCTGACAAAAATAAATACATTTTCAATATATTAACAACAATTAAACAATACAGCTATATTAATATGCATCAATGAAACACAATTATTCGATACAAAATATAACTGATAACCGTTACCAAAAAACGAACAGATATTTATTACAAAAAGAATCAAATCTGTTCTTGTAGACTGATCCATGAAGAATAATATTCTTCGAGTCTATTACTCTGTTTAAACCAAACACAAATGCGCAAGAGAGAATATAAAAATTACACGAAAGAAAAAACGAATAGAAGCCATCACCTTTATTTTTACAGTGTATGCAAATTGACCCCTCTTGCTGTTGATATCGCCAACATATTTTGATCGAATACTGTGGCACAAAATGGTGGCGGATTGTACGCAGATGATGCTTTGACATTTCCATCTTTCGATATGTGAAATAGACGTGAAGTATTTCTATCGACTACAAGCCATTCATCGTGTGTCAACAAACAACATCGAGTTCTTATATTTTGACTATATGCAATATTAAGTTTAACCGACCAAAGTCTATCCAATGTAGCTGATGATCTCATTTCAATGTGTGTCGTTTTTTCTGACGGGTTTTTAATCATCATCGCAATTGTACCATTGTTATAAACAATTCCATTAATAACTTCATCACGCGAACATGTATCTGGCGATTGCCATTGCTTAACAAGTTCAATGGTTGGTTTTAAACTAAATTCCATAATAGATGATCCCCATACTTTCGTCGATAGAAATAGCGATGTTTCAGATGTTGTGCATGATAACCATTTGCGCTTTTGAAGCGCTTGAATATTTTCAATAGACATACTATCTTCATCAACGAGAAAAACATCACTACCGTTTATAACAATAAAACGATTTAACGCCGATGACCAACACATATCATAGATTGTTCCATAGATCCAAGAATTTTGTTTTATTACTGTTGAATCTCGATCAACTAAACACAAATTTGGTTCTTGATGAATTAATAAATAACGATTATTACACGCTAATGGTGCCCAATTTTCTCTCATATAATTAATTGTTTTATATAATGGTGATATTGATGATAAATTAAAACGATTTATATCTGAATCTTCGATGCGTATTAAACTGTCATCGATAACTAATGATTTTATTTCGATTTTCAATGATGTTTGTTCGATTTTACTCATTTCACGTTCAAGATCTCGTAGAGTTGACGTCAACGAATCAATATCTTTATGTGTTGCTTCTTGTTCTTGTATTAATTCAGACATTTTACTACGCATACGACTGATTTCTTCGCGTTGTTTTTCCATTTTTTTTGCTATGCATCGATCCAGTTCTTGACATTTTCTATCAAAAAAAAAATCAATCGTTTTATGGCAATCTACTCGCCATTTTTCTAATTTTTCATGTGAGTCCCCAATTGCATTTTCAAATTTTATTGATTTTAAACGTTCTCCCAGTGCATTGATTTCGTCTGATAATGGATTTAATTGTGAATTCAGTGATAAGTCATGTTCAATCATATGTTCACGACAAAAGTTCTGGTTACATCCATAACATAACGTTCGTGAAACGCGTTTACACGTAGAAATAGCGCATGGCTGAGACATTTGTTATTCGTTGTAACAAAACTCACTGCTCTCTGTTTTTGACAATGATGAAAGAAAGAAAGACGAAAAGGCATTTGTGATACTCGAGAAACGAAGACAATTTTTTGTTTGCATAAGAAAAAATTCTTGCTCAACAATCTTAAACGATTGGACTGTAAGTACAAAATGAATCAATATCAAAAACCTTTGCGATCGAAAAAGAGCCAACCAATGAACTATGCTGGAATTATTAATTCCAGAGAGAAGAATCCAGTAACCTCTTGATGGAAAAAAGATTATCATTGAAAGATTTAGCATTAATTGGAGGAAAAAATACGTTTTTTTTCTTTTCTCAAAACTTTGTTAAGAAAATTTTCTTTTGCTCTTCAACAGTTGTTGCATACATTTTTTTTCTTTTTTTCTTCTTATTTAATACTACGAATACTTTGGAGTGCTTTATTTCAAATGCTATATAAGTAGGCGATTTCTTCCTTTGATTGCAAGTACGACCTATTTGTTCGAGCTTTTTCAATTTCTATCTTAAGTACGTCACTAAGAAAAATATGAAATTGGCAAAAATATTTCTTTTAATTTTCAAATATATTATCAAAACAAAATAGATCATGGCGTACTCTTTTACAATACAGAATAAAAAACAAACACGCAAAATTTGTTCAATTTAATTGTCTGTGTAAACATATGTTATGAATAAAGTTTTGATTTCAACGAACTCGAATTGTATGAAAGAATAAAAAAAAGAACTCAACGCCGGTATTAAAAGAATGCCATCTGATGACGCATGTAAACGGTACACAAGTAAAGAAGCCATACTCATCAAAAGGAATAAAAAATTGTTCTCTCTTGTATTTTTTATTTGTTGTCAATTATTATAATTATTGCGCGCGCAAATAAAACGCTCTCAGGTAGGCACAGTAAAGCTAAGTGGTACGTTCTTTTGTCCTATATTTTTTTAAATAAAAACATTATACAGCATTTTTCTTTTGTTTATTAACCTTGTAATCAAATAAAAGTTAACAGAAAAAGCTTCGCAATACATTTTTGTGGGTGCTTTGATGGGTGACGCCTGCCCAAGCAGTTGCTAAAGAAGGAAAACATCTGTAGTCAACGTCTCGTAATTATCTTAACATACTTCATTCACTTTGTATTTGATTGATTTAGAACATTGAGACTCGATAAAAATCAACAGGTCGAATAAACTATCTACTTTAAAATTTAGAAAGAGAACGATGACATACGCTTCAAGGTTAAATGAGGAATTTTAAAGCATAGGATTAGAGTGATCGATCCATGACAATGATAGAGCCATGGAAAATGATACTCTCTAGCTTTTGATTTTTTCAATAGTAATAAAAATTTAATTAAATTTTTAGATATTTTCATGCGCTGTTTTGTTCAAGACCTTGGCAGACTTTTCCTTTGCCTCTATAGATGCATTTAACTTTGAAAACCTCGAAAGGAAATTCTCAGCTATAAAAGATTTGAATTTTTATCTATAAATTGAAATCGGAATATTCATGTTCAACTAAAGAGAGCCACTGATTTTCTCCTACGGCATATGTAGATTAAAATAAAAAGTAAGCCATTCGAATTACATAGCAGACTGTTCAATCGTGTCATTTTCAAACATTTATTTTATATTAACTTATTTATATTGTAATAATCAAATTAGCATGCTACTTAGGCAACAATTTGCTCGATTTTAATATTACATGCAAAAATAAATGCTTTTTTAAAGCTTCCCTTTTAGTATATTTTGAATCGTATTTTATTGCAACGCCTATTTTGGAGGATCATTGAGGACTCATATTTTCTATTGTAAAGAACAAAAAACAAATGTTGTTTTCAGTCTACTGTGACTGACGTCCGAAATAATTTCTTAACATTGATTTGATCTAGATGACAGCATCAAATTTCTCGGTGTGCATACTTCATGGAACATAGCAACCATCGTTTCATCGGCAATTTAGTTAGCAGATGCAAAATGTCTAACCAGTGGAATTCAGAATTCCATAGATTTATAGATTTTTTTAAAGAAGCCGATGCTTATAGAATGAAATTATGTTTAGAATTCTATTGTGGTTGGATTGAAGGGGTATGAACGGGTGTATTCTTGCTTGGTTCTCCCTCAATTCTTGAGATATATGCTTTTATATCAAATACATTCAATATGTTCTTTTAATTTAACCATACTTTACCGTCACTCTAACTTTCCTTTCTTCCAACATATTCTATTTACTTGTATATTAAGGTCTCTCTTCCTGTCTAGTTGTTATTAAATAAATTACTGAATGTTCATCCATATTAAATTTTTATTTATCTGAACACTATTGTTTGCCATAATCAATTATTGTGGCACCTGAAATTTTCAGTAGTTGCGTCTCTGATCTCTATCAAGACGTTGCAGTCCTGTTCATTGATCGAGTGATCACAAATCAATGAATAGGTTTCACTCAAGCAATTTAGAACAAATGATAGTAAACTTCTGTGCTAGAGAAAATCGTGAATTGGGACGCAAGTATAGCCTCGAACGAATCGATTGTAAACTATAACATAGAGGAAGTGATGACCCTGGCGGAGTTTCCAGAAACCTTTGACGCTAGCACATGAATTTCGGCTTAAGTAGCGGTTCGTTTGTTTCCTTCTTTCTCCTCTTACTCTTTAGTTCATCTTGTTGTGCAAATGTACGGATACTAAGACATGTATTTTTGTTATTGTTACATTTTTTCCCTCTCTACGTTCACTTTAATGATGTTTCTTGCATGTTCACGTTCATGTTTTCTTCTTCTCCATTTTCACTGCTCTTTTGGTTTTCACATTTGTAACTTTCGTACTGAAAGGACCTTGATGGTCGTCAGGTTATTGCAAATTAAAAAAAAGAAAAAAGATAGTAAACTTCCATCCATAGTTGCTTAGTAATGAAAAACATCGCTGAACGCAAAAACAACAAGACTTGAAAGAATTTATTCTAGTTTAATTCGAATTGAAGGCATTTGTCAAATTTTCGAAATGATGAAATCTCTTATATTCGTAGAGATCAACAATTATATTTGTACATCGAAAATGGCTAGTCCTATTTGAATGTAGTTGTCATTCAAAAAAACCTTGAACTATTTAAGTTAGAGCGTTAGATCAATAATCAATGTCAGTATTTGCGAGATTCTCGAATTCACGAGCAAGATAAATAAAGAGAACAAGAGTTAAATGATCGTTTCCAAGCAATTCTTCAGGTATTAATCGTTTATTGTCGTTGACGAAATAAAAAAGATACGCGCGAATCAAATGCAACAGCAAAGATTTTATCTATAAAAGAGAAATATATCGTAACATTAACCTAAGTTTGTTTTAGGTCCGTCTTATATTTCTTTTGCAAGTTTACCGTTTAGGCTTCTTCTGTAATTGTTCGATTTTGATGATGGCATCATGTACCTCAATTTTATTTTCGACTTCTGTAATATCATTTTCGGTTGATGCAATTTTATTTCCTAAATTATGTCTCACTTTGATCTGTCATGCATAAGCCAAACTTACTTCAATGTTGCTTGTGTAGGTAAATTTTCGTCGTTGTTACTTGTTTGATTTAAGTTCTTTGGGTATAAATATGAACGTTTGTTCTTTATGTAGGCTTGAACAATTTTCTTTGTCACCTAAGTCAATGAGTTTGGCGAAAGCAACACCTACTGAAGTATCGGTTGAATCAAATGCAATGTCAACCATTGCGATTGTATTGTTGAAGAACGTGTGTACTTCAGTTTTTAATTAAATTTCGTTAAATCAAGGTGGAACATTCAATATTTTGACGTTTGACGTCAAACTAAAATAGAATATTAGCATTTATTCGATTTTACTTTTGACAGAATGATAATTACTTCTTTCCATTAGGGTGCAAGAAATCGAGCTTTGTTACTTGTGATAGCGGGATGCCTAAGTAAACAAAAAACTTGAGCATTAATTGATTCGCTTTGGTATAACTAGCTTAAAAGATCTCATGTTTTTCATTAAATTTTAGTAAAATAAATGCGGAAACATCGGATTTGCATCCGATTGTTATGTGTACTTCAAAAAACGAAAATGTGCATCCATTTTTTTCTATAAGGCATAGATCTCATCACGATACATCCCTTCTCACTAAATTACAAGGAGAAAATACAGGCATGCTAAGTTAGCATGGACCACACTGTATGCAACTCTATCCAGTGATCACTGACTCTACTCTCAGCGTGATATAATATCTTTAGAGATCACATAAATTGAGCTCAGATTCGTGTTCAGCTTCAAAAACTGGATAAGAACAGTTATTTTTGAATGGTTTTGTGTTTGTATCTAGCAGGATTACGATCGTAAGCAACCTCATGAATTTATAAGAGATATATGATAGATACAGGCATTAGTATTTTCATAATAAATCATCAATAGTTATAGCTATCGAGTTCGGGTTTTTACCTTTCGATAGTCTTTTTGACTAGCTACAAAACCAGGCATTTGAGAAGGAAGCTCCCAAACTGCTGGTCATCTGAGACATATTTAGGCAATTTGGTTTCTAGATGTAGTTTTTGTGTATTTTCAGACCTTTTTCAGTCAATGTTTCGTTAAAAAAACTACGATTTTTTTCAAAACTAATATCAGATTCAAAATCAGCGTTAAAAACTGAGTCGATTTATATATGTTGTGGATAATTCTGAGAAAAAAACGTTTTTCTGAAAAATCCCTGTACTCCTCCTCAGGGATTGTCTGGTCAATAATGACAATTTTTTCGATAACTCAACAATTTCTTGACGGATCCTTCTCATCTTCGAACTCGACTGAGACATTGATGAGGCTGAACTGTGTAGAAAATGTCATCATGATCTAACTCTCCTTTCGAAAGTTATCGTGTAAACGGACGGCCGGACGGACACACTCACCGATTCTAGAGTGTATTCACTTTTTGAGTACACAAAAAAGACAGCGTATTTAAAATATTACTCAGCAAATACATTAATATATTTGCACTTAGAGGTGTAGTTTTAGTAAAGTTCATTTTAAGTATTTCGAAGAAAAAGCATGATACAATCTAATATGATGAAAAATGAGGTAGTGAAATGAGTTCCATAGATTTCATTGGAGTAGCTTTATTAAAAGTTAATCTTGGAATCATGTTTATAACGAGACTTGATAATCTTATTTTTAGTTGAGAACCATCCTTAAATAGATTGACATCCTGATTCTTAGATCAAACCATCACCTACCACAAGTTTTGAAATTTTGATTTTAGATTTATGAATATTAAATTATTTAAAATTGTGTAAATCTTTTTCAAGTCATCATTCGTGTTTAATTGCCTCGGTAATTGTTACTAGATTATTCAATGGTCACTTCTTTCTCATTCGAAAATTATTATTGCACTAGGATATTTTATAGTACAAATAATGAGCTAATCAGGTATTGAATCGATCCCCTAGTTGAGTCATTAATTTTACTTTCAGTTGCATACGATTTAAATTATCACCGCAATGATACGAAAATGTCAACGATGGCAAAATATTTTAAGAGTTATTTTTGATTTCAATTCCTTTTTTTCTAGTCTCGCTAAGATCAGTCTGGATGGTTTCGTCATTCGTTTTTAATATTATTCTCATATGTGAACTTTAATTTGAATAATATTTTTTAAACAAATTCACAGAGTATATTACTCTTGTTTTCTTCTTTTTTATTCTGTTCGTTCGTCAAATAGTTTGCTGTTTGTTAACATTAAAATGAAGAACAAAAAACAACGAAGTATTTCATATTATTTATGAGGATGTTGTTGCAGCGGCGGCTTTTCCTGCACGTTTTCCAGTAGTAGTTGCTGTTGGAGTAGTTAAAGCTAATTTTTGGCCACGGAGTAATGCAGATGCTCGACGAAGGGCAGCCTTAGAAAAAAGAATTCTTTCATATTGATATAAAACATGCAAATAAAAACTAACCATCTTAAGATCTTTACGATAATGCTGTTTACGGATTGTTCGTCGGATAGTGGTTAATGCACGACGTGAATCCTTGGTAAGTTTAACCTTATGAAAACGTTTGGTTGGTTTTTTTACATCTAAATAATCAGTTTTGATAGAAGAAAAAAATATCGAGAAAACTAATGTCTTACTTTTAATGCTGCCTGTTGAAAAAACGACACCTTTTCCATCCTTAGCAGCTTCAACTCCAACAACTTTTGGATGAATAAGACCATTCAAACGGAAGCTATTACGATTTTTTAAATTATTTGGTTCCTTGAATAAATAGAGACGCAATAGAAAAAGATACAACTAAGCAGTTTAATTACGAACTGTTGTGAATGTGCCCAATTTTCGTTTACGTAAAAATGATGAATTATTACGAATAACCATCCATTGAACATTGGATGAAGCTTGATCAAATCCTAAAATTTTGACATAATTAGAAAGAAAATGAGACACATAGAAAAACAGTAACTTACGTCCTTTAGGCATTTTTGGGCGACGAATTACAAGAAAAGCTATAGAATCTAAAATTAAAAAGTAATTAACTAAACTAGATTTCTAGTTCTATCAACGAAAATAAATAAAACAAAAAAATATGCACAACCAATAACCATTCTTCTGTCTATTTCATCATTGGTTTATGTTCTTAGCCATCCTGCGATGTATATAAAATTCGTTTTGTCCTTGATGCATTAGTGTGTCGATTTTATTTTAATGAAAGACGTCGCTAACACCCAGCATTCATATATTGCATAGAAAATGCACGATGCTGTGAAATATCTATTTAGGTACCCTAAAAAACAATCCTTGAAATAGATGACATACAATTTGAAAGATTAAAACTAACGATCGTGTAACCGGAAAAAGACGTATATAGTCGGCCGATAATTTTCTTGGGGAGGATAACTGAGTCTCTTCTAGCATCCATGCTCGTACACCAATATTTATCATTATCACAATATCAAAATTTCAATCGAAGAATCTACGTTTGCGGAAATCACAAGAAAAATGTAAGATGCACCTAAGTGAATCATCTAAATATTTAATTAGCTAATATGAAGCATACCACGTGGGCTTGGTCTGAATCATATCTTCTATTGATAAATGATTTTCTGTAGATTTTATTATTCGCTATTGTCAATAATGATCTTAGAATCGTAATAAATGTCTATGATATATGCTTTTGATCTAATAAACTAGTGAAATGCTATATGTTTTCTTAGGAAAAAATCTATTTAAATGAAAGCGGAATGAAGACCATTATTCGGTTGTTCAGCCCTAAGGAGTGCTATTACAGTATTCCATAAGAAAAAAAGCATTATACCTGAACTATGCGGTGAATGAAGTGAATAACATATACTGTAGATCTTAGAGATTTTATGGTCATTTATTAACTTAATAGGCACAAGTACTTCATGATTTTTCAATAAAATCTGTTCGCCGAGGAAGATCGAAGATAAGGTGCTACGAAAATTGCTCACATGTTCGATAGAAAACTGGTTTCTATTTCAGTTATCAAACATTTCAATGTACAGACATGTAATTCAGTCGCACGTAGCATCTTGCGCAAATTTTTATAGCAATTATTCAATAAATCTTGTCGACAAACTCGCTATAAAAATAGAATCATCTGACAGCTTTCCCTCTGAAGACTCTTTCATACTAATTGTATTTTGACTGCAACATTTATTATTTGATAATCTTAATTTTTAGATTTTATGTAGTGAAAATTATCGCCAGTCATAAAACATTTTAGGTTTAATAGATGCAACAACGTTGGTTATCTTCTATGAAAGTAAGTTAAGATAATCAGTAGATTGCAAAGGATACGAACAAAAGAAAGTCGAGAAATTTAAGTATAACGTTTCCATTCAACTACCATCGGAATAGTCTATAGTTATGACATGTTGACCTCTTGGGTACACTGAGTCACACGAGCATGTGAATAGACTAGAGGAACAGATATCGCTTTCATTTTAGTTGACACCTACATTCGATAGGCAGGGGTCGCAGCAGCCTAGTAGACAAAATCAGGAATCAGGACAGGAATTTTCAAGAAAAAAATCAGGATTTGAGATTATAAATCAGGATTCCAGAAATATAGGCACTATTTATTGAAAATGGATCGTATTTCGTAACACGAATTACAAATATCCATTGGAATTTATTTGCCGCTCTGTTCCCGTTCTGTTCACGATCTGATTTCCTTTTTTACCGGATCCACAGCTGAAAGCGGCTCAGAAAGGTGAAATAGAACCGACCAGATTGGCACTGGACAGAACCGAACTACGTGTGAAACTTCAGCTAATCCGTAGAGACGGGTATTTCATTGGTTATAACTAGGGATGCAACGGTGACGAAGGCACACCGGTCCAACGTCACCGTTTCACCGCCACCGATCTTCATTGAGCTCTCACCCTATTTGATTATGATCATAGATGGGCTCTGACAAAAAATTTCGATGACACATTATGTCAACAAATAGAATACCTATAGATGTAGAATCAATGATATTTTTGCGCAATAGTCAATGTGTCTATATTTTTGATCACAGAAATCCTTTTCAATGAATTCAGTTTATGTTTATTACCTTCAAAGTAAAGAAATATCTTGAAAGACAATATAATTTATGTTACCTTTACTTTTATATAGTATACGTCATTGACTAATGCAAATATTACTTAATGGAAGATGAGTTTTCGAATTAAGTGTCTTTCAAATAAAAAAACGTAATTACAGCTCAATTTTTCCGAGAGAATGTTTTAACTATGGGTCTTTAAGCTGTCACTCTTCTAATAAATAAGACAATTTTAAATGAATTTTACGAACTCGCTCGAATACTTGCCGATTCATAGAATCTAATAGTTTGGATTCGGAAAACGAATCAAGTTAAAACTCCATTATTCAATCCTTCTTTCTGCGTATCCAAACTAGCAAGGTTGATTGAATGATAAAACTAAACCTTTTAGTAGTAAAACCCAAATAAAGATTGAAACATTGAATGTGTATATTTTGATTGATGAACAGAACTACTTGATATTGACTTGGAATTTTTACAGAAAATGAATATGAAATGAATACCTTGAAAGTAGAGGATAGAGGACGATTGTTTAGGTTCTTACTGATAATTTCAAGATATACTCGGTGAAATCTAAAATTAAACGATAGCTTTATTATTCTATGCAATGTTGAGAGGTACTCGTACCAACCACCTACCACAAAATTAGAGACCACGATAAATGGTTGTAAATCATTATTTTTCAATAAAAGTCTGAAACGATAACCAGTGACGGTGATTCGTAACAACCGGTGGGACCGATGATGGTGCACCGTAACAACCGGTGGGAACGGTCACGGTGAAACCGGTGACGAATACCGTCACCGTTGCACATCTAGTTATAACTGAATAGTTCATTCTATAACCCTGACTTTGCTATAAAATCACGGATTTACATGTTTCTTACTCAGAATATGCAAGGCGGTGGTACCTTGAAAGGTTTGTGCAATTACTTGAGGAATCGCCATTACTGAGAGCAAAGTATTAAAAATTTGGTGTTTAAATCCGCTTTAGAGGTACCTCGAAGCTGCTGCTAAACGATGTTATCTACACTTCTATTCAATCTTAATCAACTATCAGTCTAATTTCATTGTACGGTATATCCTCAATAGTATACATTTTATTGGATTTGGATGAAGTAGATCAAATCAGAATGCGGATAAACTGGCATTGTACTGGAGCAGGATGGAATTTGAGTTCAAACAGAGTTTTACTTGTTATGCAGATTAATTGAACTATTTTAAAACTTTGGCTTGTCGTTTTCTAGTGATGTTGAATTCTCTTTGAACTCAATATATTAGGTTTGTCTCGAACGCTCTCATAATATTTATTTTTCTTGAGAAAACTATTCTAAGATAACTTTTAAGGCAACTCCATGCACATATTCTTCGAACAAAAACGCGTCTAAAAGGCAAGGAACGAAGACGTCTGAACGTAGCTCAGATGAAATATTTCTCGAGTCTAACGCGATTTCAAATTGAATTGCGCATGAACCCGTTTAAATGGAAGCTTAATCACGTTTGAACGTAATCACTTTACACAATGCGTCGAAAGGGGTTTTCCGGATTCTGATAATCGCAGCCGTTTCGTGGAAAACTGCGCTCAGACTCGCTTGAAACCGTGCATTTTAGATGCATTCAGGCGCAAGAATTCTTTTATCTGAGCCACGCCTAGATGCGTTTATTTTGCGTTTCATATTTACATGGAAGCCTCTCATGGCGCAGGATCAATGAGATGAAAATGTAGAGCTCACACTGGAATGTGAAGTAAACATAATCCATAATAAGAGAAATGTGAGAAAGTCTAATAGTCAGGATTCTTGATACGCTCAATCAACAAAGCGCGTTTCTCTCCCCATTTTTTGTCATTTGTTCAATTTGCCAAGGGATCTCATGTTTCATGTCCCACATTCAAATAATGAAAGAGTACGGTTCCTCAGATTACCAAATCTTTTTATCCAAGGACTCTTCATTCGAAAGCATGCCTCCATTATATGCCTCAGTTCATCACTACTAGAAATCTCAATGTTTCGAGAATTGTCGCTATGGGATTGAACATGTCGTAGTGTTTTTGACGTACGTACGCGACCCAATGAGGTGCAGAAGTGAACCTGAGTAGTGCTTATCTTTCTCCATCTAGCGGTTAAATAGTTCCATGCAATAATCTTGCCATTATCTTTCGCTTTTTCTCTTTCACCTCAAAATCTGAAGGGAAGCGGAGAAATACAATTTCACTGTGCACTCACCAGTTTATAGAGTGCTACACTAAATTTGACGGGTTTATTGTTCAGATCATGTCTGCTACATTTCAGATCTGTTCCACTGAAACGGTTGACTTTTTTGATCGGCTCGAGTTCTGATTAGATTGTGTCAAAAATATGAGTTTTTTAAGACTGATAGAGATTATCAAAAACTAGCTGTTTTGATTTAGAGAGTATTACAAAAGGCTCATGAGTTGCAAGTAAAGAATTCCTAGCAATATTGCTACGAAAGCCGTGAAATTTCCTTTGACAAACAACAAAAACACTTTAGCGGATTATCAGTGATTTTAAGGAAATCACTACTTATTTCTATGTTCAATCTGCGTAATCGTTCATCATAACTGAAGAACGACGGGAAAAAATCCGGAAAATTAAGAGAAATAGCTGGAATCAGGAGAAATCAGGACACTCTAAAAAAATCAGGAAAGTAGTGCCGCTGCGACCCCTGGATCGGGTATTAATCGTCCGCAGGGCAACCAGTCGGCATAGTTTCAGGTGTCTATAAAAAAACATTGTTGACTTTCTTTTATTATTCATGACTCTGTCTTGTGTAGTCCATATTTTGGTAATTGTTTTATCTGAGAAGTAGCTTTTAATGAATGCTTCAGAAGGATATAGCTATGACAGTAAAATGTTACACAACATTTTCTGTGACCTTAATTATGAATACAAAAATCTACATATTGATGAACTTTTGTTGAAGATTTAGAGCTCAAATACACATGTAATTTGCCATTCTTACTTGTGTTGATTGTTGTAACATGAAAATAGATGCTTATGACGAAAACAAATGATGAACTTTACTAGTAGAATCTATTGGTAATGTATTGAAACAACAGTTTTCCTTATTGATTTAACACCAACAATTCAACGACAATTAATTTATCATTACATATATTGTGCAACTTACTAACGATGTAATAAACAAGTGAGGACAAATGTACTTGAAAGTTTTTCATGAGGCAGTCAGATGAAAAGAAATCAAAATTAACTTCATAATAAAGCCACAATATTAGACTACGAGACAGGCAATATAGAAGCCATAATTTCACATAAAACGCTACATTTCGATTAAAATTAGAAAGATGATTATTGCAGAGATTGATAATAAAAATAATCGAGAATCCAACTCTGAACTATGAAACACTTTTCATAAAACCAATTTCTGAAATGTGAGAATCGTTATATTAACGATAAATCTATCGCTGCTACTACTATTAACGATATTTGATGAAATTTGTCAAGGATAACGCAATTTCTACTCGATTCTACTATTTTCATTTGATACATTTTCAATAGTATTATAAAGTCGTATCAGAAAACGACTTATGCTAGATGGTTTGCAGAAACTACTGCAAGAAATAAAAATGAATCATAGGACTTGTAGAAAATCATTGGAATGTGTAAATAAAATAATACATTGTATCGATCATGAGCAGTTAGAATTATTGATCATACGGTATCTAAAGACCACCTAAAAACTTGTTTTGTACAAAAGCCAAATAGTTGACAAAATTCCCTATCCTCTATGTTTTAAATTCAGTTCATATTATCTAGTACGAAGGTCAAAAAAACATTCCAGTCAGCTATAAATTCCATACGCCAGGGAGGTAAAGAAAAAGAAAAAGAGAAGAAAAGGAAGCAGGAGGACAGAAAAGTACTTATTCTCTTGACATCAACCCATAAATAACCATCTTGAATGCAAAATTATGCCGATAGATTTTTATTTAAGCATTGACCATTACATGAAATTGATTAAAAATAACTAAAATTCATATTTACAGAGTATCCAATAGCATAACGTAAGTCCATCATTTCTTTTACTATTTCAGTCGAACTTGCTCGTAACGGTGCTGCATGTCTGGTATCCTGTACATGTGACTTTTGTTTAGTATGAGAGCCGATTTATATGATTATGCAATAATTTTTTCGAAAAATAAGATGATATTATTGTTTTTTAAACTCAATTTCAATGACTAAATATTTCCCCCACAGCTACCATCAATAGTGTTCGCGACGATCTGACATCGTTTTCAAGAAAAAAAAACAAATTGAATCATGCACTATTAGGTACATCAGTTATTTCTGTAAGAAGTTTTACGATAAAAAAAACTTCCAATAATAGAATCATTTGTTTAATAGTTTTAATAGAATTATTTCATTTAGGATCATAGTACTGCAATGTCCACTCCTGTGTCTACAGCTGCTGATACAGAGCCAAAGATAAAAACAAGTAGCACCTGTCAAGTGTGTGAAGATCATGCATCAATCAATAATTATGGAGCATTAACTTGTTTATCATGTCGTACATTTTTTCGTCGTAATGGATTTAATAATAAAGTATATACTTTATGCATATCGATGAATAGAAAATAAAATATGTTTCTCATTTTATCTAGAAAATTGCTGTATGCCAATTTGATGGTCATTGTGCCATGACTGTAGTGACACGAAAACTTTGTACTGCATGTCGTCTCAATAAATGTTTAGCTGTAGGCATGAGTCCTGAACTGATTCGAAAAGAAGACTTAAGTAACAGAAAGCGCAAAACTTCTAAATCATGTAGTCAAGAACGTCTTCAATGCCAAACACTGATGGTGAGTACAAACTAGAAATGATTAGATCAGATCAAATATAGAGTCCGAACTGTTAGCGTATTGTTTCAAATATATTTTCATTTTCAATGATATTAATGGTCGACACTAGATTTTTCTATGCGAACACATGACTAAAGTTTATGTAATCTAACAATTGCTATGTTCTTATTTCAGCAAGGCAGGAAATCGAAAGATATCAAGCTTTTGTAATAAAATATTTTCTTTCGTGTCAAAAGTTAAAAACTAGCATAAAAATTTAGATTTAAGGTCGGAATCGAACTCTTCAAAGCGTATTCGTATCGTATGTGAATCACCATAATTTAGATACTTTCGAGTCAATACTAATAAATGAATTGAAATATTTTAAATTGTAGTAATGAATGTTTTCATTATTTATAAGTAGGTTGGTATCATCATTGTATAATATCACTCTATTCTCTAAGCATTAAGCAATATTAATCAATAAGAATACATCATTTTTATAAGAAACGTTTTCAGGGCTACATTTGCTGAGTCTTTTTTTCTCGTATTCTGTAAAAACTGTTATATTTTTCTGACCATAGATGAAATATAAACCAAAGTAAAAAATTCAACTCGTAGATGATTAAATTAAGAAAGATTGCTTTCAAATAAATATATAGTTTGGCTACAGATACTCACGCCTTATTCACATCATAGGCTAATTGTTTTAATCTCTAAAATGACAAAGTACTAAATCGAGAATAAAACATAAAAGCATTGTTAACGCTCGAGTACCATGCAGGATTAAAAGTACTTTTACATCACAATAGAAAATATCACAATATCATTAAAAAAAATTTCTTTTTTTCTTTCAAAATAGACTACGCCACAACAATCGGCATTAAATCAGCCACCCGGTGGTTCAAGTTCAATTTTAAATAGCTCAGAATTGATTGTAATTTCAAATGTTGTACATGCCTTTGATACATTTAGTCCAGTAATACAAGTTCGTCGTACTATTGATTTGATAACAACATCAGCATCGAATCTCTCCTTTGATTTACCTCAATCATTACAAATGATACAATCATTTATAAGTTCATTACAATCATTTATTAGTTCGACGCCTGATTTCAAAGTGCTAACAACATCTGAACAATGGTCTCTATTTCGACGTAATATGCTCGGTCTTCTATCTATTGGTGGAATCTATTTTATGCGTGAATCAGGTATATTTGATAAGCCTGAACATGAAATGGCTATCCTACCTCTATATGGAAATGACGTTGTACAACAAGTAAAAGCAATGAGTGGGCAATTTCAATGTGATCCAACAATTGTTAAACTCGTTCTTATTGTACTGGCATTTTCTTCGAATTGTTTTACGAAAGAAAGTGGACGAAATTTTGATAAAGATAGTTTATTATTAGGTACATATCGTTTATTTGGAAGTCAAAATGTTTATGTTGAACTTATATGGAAATATTTAATTCATCGATATGGTTATGAGGAATCAGTGAAAAACTTTTCTTCGTTAATTAAACATCTGCTTGATGCACTTAAATTGTCAATTGAAATTTATGAAAATAATGAAGTATTTCAAACATTTATTGACGACAAAGCTGCACATATGGAAAAATCTCCAAAAAATAGCGACAGCGTAATCGTTCCATTGTGGGGGAAAAGCTGATTTATTATGGTTCTATGTAAATTTAATTCCTCTTTAATTTGTGTGTCAGATACTAAAAATTGTATTTTATAAATAATGAAAAAAGAATACTTACAAAGCAAAATAAATCTGTGGAAAACGTTTGTTTAATAGTTAATAAAAAATTTCTATATTAATTAATAGAATTCGTGTCTGTTCGCCACCAGGAATGAGGCAAGGACAAAAATAATATTCATGCCAATCGGTAAAGAGAATACGTATATGTGGATTTCATTTTTATAGGATACAAATACTGAAATTAATCTTTCTGCATCACCGGATCGAATAGATGTTCGGGGTGTTTGATTTGTATAATTGTTCAAATAGTAATACTTGGAGAGTGAATGAAACTCCATTGAAGAATAATCATGAAATACAAGGCGTAAATGTGCGGCATAGGATTGTTTACATTCATATGCATCGATCAGGGTTAATTTTCCTTATTCATTTAGTGTTTCATCACATACTCCCGTAAATATTAAAAGATGATATACAAAAGTGAAGAATCAACAATAGACATAAGACATTCTACGATCTGAGTGAGCATATATGATTATATTTGCAGTCGCTTTGGCATTAAGCCATTACTCAGTAGAAAGACTTGAACGAGTAGTTAACTGATTTGATTCCCTCTTGTTGCTTTTGGGCTTATTAGATCTATTCTTTTGGCTTGAAATTTTTTTTCAGAACTCACTATTCTTGCATTGGTGCAACATCGAAATCAGTGACCTTCACTCATTGTTTGTGAAAAAATAGCTTCTGTGATTGTGATGTCAAAAGGTCGAAACCTACAAGACATTCCTGGTATTGACAAAAAATAATTTTGTAAATCTATAGTTTTATCAGAAAATCGATTCGTTTGTAGATCCTCATTCAGAACAAAAGAATTGCGTATAAAAGTTCTTAACAGAATTTGTGCCGGGACTAGTATAGGAAAATATGTACGTCCCGTCTTCATAACAGATTAAAATTTGGTCCCATCGCGATCGAACCTACTCTGGAGCTGCCTAATTCAGTCATCAAATGAGTTTTTTTTTAAGTTTTTTTTGGCATATGTATAACTTGATAGGAGATATTAGTATAGTCAAATATCAAAATATTGATTAGCCATCGATCTATTGGTTTATGATACATGATGCTAAAAGAAATCTCCACTGAGATGGCATGAAAAATTAAATCGGCTTCAAATACTTCTATCTTATAAACAAAATATAGTCAAAACAAAGACTTTCATTATTAACATGTAAATTTCATATGATAACGCCATGATTAGTGCAGACATTTATAAATGCACTTTTAGTATCGATTGGTCAATACATATGTTTAAGTACAATTGTACAAAAGAATTCACAAACTAATAAAAATAGCGAGAGAAGGAAAAATTGTTTTTTAAACCTTTATCCTTCCTTACATCTTTTCTCTGTTTAAAATATGATAAAATAGTAGCATAGATTTACCCAGTATGATTCTTTTGTTACAATATGCATTGTTACTTCTTATTCCGTTGACTAGAATGAAATATATTTCATACTATATATAACATGATTTATATTCAAAATAGAATTCTCTAGGGTAGCCAGAAATTTTCAATAGCGTTTTACTCGACGGTCGTCGTTTATTTCTATTGGATGATACGAGCAGAACAAAAAGCATTCATAAAATATCTTTTTTTACTACATTTTATTTATTTAATAATAATTCTACAGACACGTAAGCTCAAAAAAGCAGTTATGAATGCTATTCAATTTAAAAACAAAGCAGAAACGAACAATATTCTAAGCGCCTACTTAATAATTCATTCGTAGAAGTTTTGTATGCATTGTTAAATATGCACATGACATAAAAGATATATGCTTCAGTGCATCTTTCAAACGACCTGCATAGGAACTTTGCCTCGTTGGATACACTTTTTTTGGTTAATTAACTTTTCTGAATACGTACGAGAAGTTTGAGACTAGGGATCGCTACAGATATATTAACTCAACTTTTTGTAATCAGATAAATAACCAGATGGTGTTCGAGTTAGCTCCTAACAATTTTACACTGTTTGAAAAATATCTGTCACAGTTGACATGAGAATTTCAGTTGAGATTGGAATGCGCGAAATAAAATTATTTGAATTTCTTTCTTTTTCCCTGCTCGTGTTTCATAAAATAAAATATATTTAAAAGGAAAAAAAGATTTTACTATTAAATTGAATCGAATGAATGAAAGAAAGAAATTATAGGTAAATGATTACCTCGTGCTTTATGTATAATAATAATAATAATAATAATAAAAGTTTTGTTTTATTTAAATTCTACCGGTATGAGTCATAATATAATTAATCTCCTCTGAATTAATCATCAGATGGTATTACAAGGATGTTTAGTACATTTTTATATTTGATTTATAAAAGTTGTATAAATAAAATAATTTATTTTTCTCAGATAAATTCAATGTCCCCATGTCCCCATTGTTTAACAAATGTACAGAGAGTTGAATTTATATGAAAACCTTGTAAAAAGATGGAAGGAATAATTATCAATACAAAATTTTCTAAAGGCAGATCTCAACAAAAATTCTATTAAAAAAATTAAGAAAAAGCTATTCCAAACTCAACTAAATTCCAAACTCGCCTGCCACATGTCCGTCTGTTTCGCATATTGCCAAGCGAAAAAATCATGATGTGTTTGATCAGATGACTAATGCCAAGACAAATTTGAAAAACTTCTTATAATTAACCAAAAAGATGTCAGTAATTGTACGTAGACGCGTATTATTAGTGCTAGCGATAATTAATCGCTGCTAGGATCAGCGGCAAGTCTCGATGTGCTCGGATTGACTTAATGAAAATAAAATCCACAGATTATTAGTAATATCCGGATTATACTTTGACAGGGACGGTGCAAACGGAGGAGGGGTTCCCCCCAACTTTGGAAATTTTTGTTTCAATTTTACCCCGATTTGAAAAAAATAGAAGAAATTTTTATTGATTTCTTCCGATTTTTGAAAAAAACCTCCCGTTTTCAAGTAACCTCCCTATACTTTGGGTGAACGAAAGGTCATAAACCAAATCGGACAAAATTTGGTACCTATTCGGACCTCAACGATTCTAATGACGTTTCAATCACTGTCAAGCGATGTGCCATTCTCGAGATAATCGCGACACAAAATATGGAGCTTGGATGCGTAGGCCGAGAAAGAAAAAAAATGGCGACTTCGAAGCATCGCTATACAGTGCTTCGCACTGTAATAAACATGTTTTAAGCAGCACCGAGCTAGCGTAGATAAATTTTTGAGACTACTATTCAAGAACTAACGATAAGAAATGCATAATTTTGAATCGTGAAACTCTCTCTCTCTCTCTCTCTCTCTAGACATTCAATCTGTTGATATCTATTTTGAATTCAAAAGTCTTTAGTAGTTTATAAAAATTGGGCTCTTTAAATACTGTTATAGAACAAGGAAGTATTTGCTTAAACAGAACATTCTAATTATCGGAATAGTTTGATTTATGAAAAGAGCTAAGCACTGTTCAAAGAGGGAACGATCGGATGCACGATCAGGAAAGTGTAGAATGAAAAACAAAAACAAAAAGCCAAGTGTTTGCATAAAATGTGCTGCAATAAAATAAAATTTTTTTGTATTATGATGATATTTGTTCATTTCTGAAGCAAATTCTGTCAAGTTCATGAAAATAGATCAAATAATTGAAATATAAAATTAGAAAAATCAGCTGGCCTTGTAGGATCTGCGAGTACCTCAAGAGCAAACACGACGAGAGCAGGTGAAAATGAAAATAGTCTGTGGATTGCTGCTCGTGTCAGAAAGTTTATTTATCCAGTATCTGTGTTTTTGAAGAGATATTAATGCAAGTAATTAAATACAATGTGGAAACGAGGAAGAAAGTTGAATTCATTTACTGAATTCCTATGACAACAGATAGCGTCAAAAAACATTCACTCTTGTCATATTATTTATCGGCAGAGAATCTTAAGTTTAGTAAGAATTGATTATGTTCTTGGTATACAGAAACGGATTTTGTTTCATTAAAAAAATGCTTGTTCCAATTGTCTTTAAAGAATACCAAACTTAAAAATAAACATAACATATGATTTCAAGGGGGAAAAGGCGCGTTTGCGATTTTTAGGGATTTAAAAGCCCAAAAAATCCGCCGTTTCCCCTTGCATGATTTTCATACTAGTCAAAAATTATTAAATTCTTTAAATAACTTGAGCATTTTTGTTTTCAATCTTCTTTTTTGTTTTAGCAAAATAAATCATTAGTAGAATTTCATGTGTTGTAAAAATTATAACACATTTTTAGTTTTTTTTATTTATAGTTCACTCTATAGAATGGAATGTCAAGTCGGTTGTTTCGAGTGCGACGTTTCTTTCTGTGAAAAATCAAATACAGAGTTCGACTGACATTGATCGATGTGTACGACTCAGTATATTAATATACTGAGATTTATTCGCTTCAGTTCATCGATGCTAATAACTTCGCAAGTTTTATAAATAAAAGAAATAAACAATGCACTTGTAAAATAATGTCTTGTGATAATAGAAGAAGAAGAAGAGGAAGAAGAAAAAGAAAAAGAAAGTCAATTAAATAAGAAATTAACAGCTAGGGTATAATAAAAAGCACGTCCAAATGTCGTCAATAGAGTTCTTTTTATGATACTTCACTCATACTTAATGTAATGATGCATGTTACCTAGGAAACGAAATCATATTTCAGTATTCACAGAAATTAATTTGTTTTTTCCTAATCGTAAGATATTCTATTCATTTAACAGTCACAAAATACTAATAAAATTTTTAAGTTATGATGACAAAACTGATCAGATTAAAATCTGTGACATAAATGACCTATATATATATATATATATATTCTGAAATATGTACGTTAGAATAGAACTTTCAGTTTATTGATATATGCCTATGATGAAGGGTAATATTTTTACTCCGTGAACGAAAAATTATACAATATTTAATTTT